CGCTATCACCTCACAAACGTCAAATTAGTGTTGTGTCAAAATAGGGGTGAATTCACAACGACCTGGCGTTGGATTATAATAATTCTAGAATTTCAAAATAAGTACGAGAAACCCGATCGTGGACTAATCTCGGCTTATATGTAACTCCGGATTTCCTAATTCATGTATATTCCAACCGTCTTGCAACCGGCCGTTATAGTTTTGTAGCATCCGACAGCACTAGGCATGACGAAGCCAAGGAAAAATTAATATTTTCACCACCGTTAAGGAATTATATTAGATGATTTGGTTTTTCAAGTAACAAACATTAAACCTGCACGGTGCAGTTTATTTAATTATCGAACAATTAATCAAAGCAGTTTTAATTTTTGAACGTTATTATTCGAATACGCTGTGGCGGCTAGAAAAACCGTTGATCCCTCTACAAAATGGCCGAATTTTAAAAAAAGGTATATAATTTGTAAGATCATCTTTTTGACATTTTCGCTAAGGCAATCGCTGCCGTGTCTGTGTACCTTAATTCTGTTTTAGTTGCTTCCCTGAACCTAACCGACCGCCGAATTCTGGACTAAGCAATTTCTTCAAGTGACTGCTAAACAATGTCAACACTCACTGCCCTATGCATATTTACGCTTTGATCTCAACCTGCATGGATCAGTTAGTTCTCACTAGACGAGTGTTAATACCTACAAGGGTCCCGAGTTCGAATCCCAAAAAAACATTTAAAAAAATAAATGTAGCTAGTGCAAGTATAATAACTTCATTACTGTTTTATTGTATAATAGTTATTTACATAATAAGTCATGAAAGTGGTCGTTTACATGAGTATCTCTTTAATGCTAAGTCAGGTGGACTCACGGCAGGTTGCAGGAAAGCGAATTATAATCAAAATGCTACATTTGCCAAATCTGAGTTTAAACTAGAATTTTGACATTTGATTGGCTGCCCACTGCAATATAAAGCCAATCAAATGTCTTAATACCGGATTAAACAATAATTCTGGATTATTTTTTTTGTGCAACTGGCCGTCACTTTCATGACATATTATGTATAAAATTTTATTTAATTGTTTCCATAGATTTCAAAATAAAACAATCAGTGTCATTTTTAATGCAGTTTGCAGTTTATGCTTTGTACTTTTCCACTATAGTCTTTAAAACTAGGTACAAAAGCAGGTATCAGTGAAGAAGAGTACCTACGCAAGACGTTGTTATAATGTAGCCGAAGCTGCGGCAGCCGTAGTGCAATATTCGCTCCCCACAAAGTCAAGAAAGAGGTACGAAAAGGCGTACAAACCTCTTAATGACTGGCGCAAAACTAAAGGAATAATTACTTCCACGCACATATTCCATTAATTGTTAGTAATTAAAAAACCATTATCCTTTGTGTAGGTATATTAATATTTAAAAATATCCACAGTCTGCATTATAATTATTCAATCATTGATTGAATAACTTATTCAATGAACGATCTAATTGTTATTTTGCATGTACTAGGACTGTAATGGGAGTCAGGTAAAGATCAACTTTCTAATGTCAAAATAGCCCTGAAATTTATATTTTCTTGAGGGTTTCAGGTAAATATATATGATCTTAGGAAAGCTCAAAAAGATGTAAAGGAAAGTTGAATTATTAAATAGTTTAGCATATATTGAGTAGAAACGATTAGCTACATCTCACAGAACAATATGACACACTTTAATCTTTGCTAAGTAGATTTTTAAGGTCTGTCACTCTTGACTTTATCTCTGGTTGATTATCTTTACTTAGCTCTGGTAAGGTCTCATAAAATATCTTACTTATTCTATTCAAATTCGAATGACGCTTCTTATCTACAAAGTTAGAAAATGTAAACAAAGAAGGGGAGAAATTATCTCATAGAATTTACCTTTTAATTTTGTTGCAAGCACAAAAATCACACTTAAAGTATCCTTCCTTAATCTGGTGTGTTTTGCAATACCTGTAGGGAAAGAACAGTTTACAGTTTGCAATGGACGATATTAAATACGCACCTAAAGCATATATGCTTACTTCTATAATATTATCTACAATTTTAGATAAACTTTCGTTCTCTTTGTCAGTTAGTCTATCTTCTTTAAGCAAAATTAATTTATCAACAAAATCGCGTAGTGCAGAAATAACACAAACTTGTACGGATCTGGTGCACTTTGGCAGACACGCTTTGCAGTGCTCGACGAACAACTCCCTGTACTTCTCTTGGGTAACCTTACTGTTTTCGGGCCAAGCCTTGCCCAACGTTTCGTATATAACCTCCTTAATTTTAATTCGATTTTCCCTATTTTCGCTAATCTCCTCTAAGGACAGATCCTCATCTGTATCACCATTTGGATCATCTGTAAGAATTGACTGTGCCATATTGTGCACTTCATCAAACTTATCCACCTGTAGAGCCGATAAAACGTCGCCTAAAGACTTTAATGCTTTTGATTTATAAACAATCTGCTCTTTGCGGCACTCCTTCAGCACTACTTCGATTATGTTATTTATATCAATGTCTTTATCTTCTTTTAATGAATCCCTAAAATTAATGGAATTATTACAATAGAATGTAAGTCAAGCGGATTATAAATGGAAGGGGAGGGGGGGGGGGAACTAGCAACCTATTATTCAACATTCAGTTAATCCGTCTTTGACAAAAGTTTAGAATGAAAACCTACTGCTAACTTCTGGATCTTACTTCACATACATTAAAGGGTTGCCAACCGGAAATTATTCATATTTTTTCACAAACCTACATATTAGATTACGCACGACAAACCCCATTAACTCTAAACAAGCTGATCTTTGCACGCACAAATTTCAATAGATCACCTTTTTTCGCCCAAAAATAATACAAACAACTAACTTGGATCCTGAGCATATGCTTGCGAGAGCATTTAGCAACTTATCCTTTCCATTCCACGTCCTCCCGCTCAGTCCGTTGATTAAAATTCGAATTAAATTGTTTCTTTCCTTCGCTTCGAGCGATACTCCCAATTTAACCGCAACCGTACTTATAGCAGTGGCTGCCTATGAGATAACGCATAACCAAATTGTATTATTATACATTACAAACCTGCGCTTTCATGTTCCAAGACTGGGATTCTAACGCTTCCTTTAAAACGTCTGAGATCGGTTTCAAATTTTGCCGAATGCCGTACTCTGTACCGGGGCTATTTTCTGACCAGATTTCATTCCAGATTGTTATAGTACCTTCGGTTTCGGGCGTTTTCTCCTCGTGCATTGCGAAAAACACCCAAGGTAACACTGACGACGCATATTGCTTCAAAATTTCCTGATTGTAGTTACTTACTGCCTGGATAGTTTGCGCGCATGCGGATCTTCTTGAGTCATCTGCAAGTCGCAGTGTAAAGGAAAAAAAATTGAAGAAAAGTGCGTGTCACCTTCTCGCTCGAAATACCACTGTTTCAATTTTCTAAATAACTTCTCCAAGGTAGGGGGTTGGGATACTGCAACCAATTGTCCTATGGTTGAAGCACATTGTTTGCGGATTGCGGCGTTGCGATCAGTAAGACCGTGCAACAATATATTCTGAAGTGTGGCTGAATATGGTTGCAAGTCTTGCTTCATCTGTACTATCAAGAGTGAAATAAAATGTACGCACACAATTCGAGTACCGAAAGTGACCGAACTTTTCATCAACTCAGTAATTTTAGGTGTCAATTCTCCTAATATTGACGCGTCGGCGTATTGAAGACACTGAAATTATATCATCAAATAAATTACCACGATAAGTTACAAAAGACCTTTGACACTGTTTCCATAGTAAAGTGAGATTTCGCAATATTTGCTCTGGCACTATCCACAGCCTCTTGAGCGTCGCTTTGGGCGCTTAACATTGTGCTAAAGTGTGACAGTTTCTGAGATTCTAACTCGCCGGTTGCCTGCAGCAATGCAGGTATGAGTTGAGCTAAAAACGGCTTTAATTGGTCGGCCGAAGCTGCTACGAGCTCCGATAATGTCTGCAAACTAAAGAGAAATTACTATGAAAGCGTAAACTTCAACTGACCATAACAGCCTAACTTCGGCCACGGGATTTGTGATTTCATTTAATAACACTGGCAAGATGATCTGAACCATTTTTACACCTGCTTTTCCTTGACTAGTGTCAGATCCTCTCACACATAACTAAATATACACAATTAAACCTTAAAGTCGGCGAATTTAGTTACCTTGCTTAGTAGTTTTCCTGTTTTCGTTGCGACTACTCGCGTTGCTTCGTGATGATCATCCATAACTCGAAACACTTTCGTCCAAAGTTCCTCTAATCGACCAAGACAGCTGTGTATCGACGAGTTAACGCCGCTAGTAAAAAAGTCTTGCAAAGCAAAACAGCACGACTGCCTCACGCGATACTGGGGGGACGTCAGATTGTCTATCAAATCGGATAGAATCTCGTCATAATATTGTTCGAGCTGCAACAACAGGCTACGTACAGATACCAGCATAAAATATATATTTTTTAGGAGAGATTAGCGTAACCCTCTCCTACAACGCGTCAAGAACAGTGAGCGAGCACCCAAATTTGGTCAGACTTGGGCTTGCCCGCAGCCTTAAGTCAAGATAGCAGTATTGACATCATGATCCTTTTTCAGCCATCAGAGCGATTTTATAGCTATTCGACAATCGCTCAGCATCAATCAAGAGAAGACTACAACATCAACAAGAATTTAGTTTACTCAGCAGAGTGTAAGCTATACTATAGACTGCTAGTGCCAAACTGTAACGGTACTTTTTAATTTGCATTAAAATTGTTCGAAATTTCATTGTGAAGTTTCATTTTGGGATTTCTAAATTTGACCATTTTCTATTAGCCTGTTATATTGCAACATGAAAGTCGCAAAGTAACTTTTTCAAAAGGTAACCGTGTGGTGATTTTCGGCTCGTGTGGCGCAGTTCAGTTAGAGCTGTGCTAAGGGTCCCTGGTTCGAATCCGGGTTCGGGCATGGACATTTGTAAATGTATAGTGGGTTGGGTTGGTAGAGCAGCCTTGACTGAAACTCCGCCCACTCAAAAATAAAGGCAAAAAAAAAAAATTAGTCTTCTGCAGTTGTAGAAAGATGAGGAGTGTACTTGTACCTACCAGGCCGCATAATTAACAATTCTTTAGGGACGGGGCTCCATGATGTGAGGTCGGCGAAATCCGGGCGCCATCCCCGAGCGTGGTTTACTTAACATGGTGATTTTTTAGTTTTTTCTTATCTTCTTCTGCAGGAACAACTAAAAAATCACCACGTTAGTAAACCACGCTCGGGGATGGCGCCCGGATGTCACCAACCCCACATCATGTAACCCCGCCCCTAAAGAATTGTTAATTATGCAGCCCAGTAGGTACAAGTACACTCCTTATTTTTCTACGGGGTCTCATTTGCTGCCAGCCAACTAGCCCGCCGGCCAAAGTGAGAGTAAAAGCCACGGTTTTACAAATAAATTTGCAAAAAATGCGTTCGAGATTTTTGCAAAAAAAGTTAAATCACTGTTTGCTGCTAAACAATGACCTAGACGGTTCTAAAACTGTCGTCTACCTTCAAATTCAAATTCGATATGGGCATAGCTTTAGCCATATAATACGCAATGCCAAAAGTTGAGTCGAATTGAATCGATTCAAAATTCACAGTGCCCTTTTCGCATCTCGACTAATTATAAACCAAATTGCAAACTTTTTTATTTATGGAAGCATTTAAATGAAATTCTTCTTATAAACTGAAATTGAAATAGGACATCAAAATGGATTGCACACATGCAACGCTATCTTTCATATTTGTGGCCGGATTTTTACGATTTTAATAGAAGTTGCATGTGATAAATGAGAAATGAATGCAAGTGGAAATGCGCTTTTTGTAAATCGTTTACGATGACTTTTTTAACTAGTTGCCTTTAGTATTGAGTGGGCGGGGTTTCAGCTAAGGCTGCTTTATCAACCTAACCCACTACACATTTACAAATACCCATGCCCGTACTCGGATTCGAACCAGGGACCCTTAGTACCACAGTCCAGCTTCAACTCAACTGCGACACATGGGCCGGCTTAAGAATGATGTTATTGTTTGTAAAACATCCAATCACATGTCTTAACAACACTGTTAGCTGACAACATAGTTAAGTATGCTGTATGGCTTTATAATCGGGCCGATAATCATTTTGAAATTAACAATTTTGTGGTTTTCCCTGTATTTCTTATCCGAGCGAAAATTTTGATTTTACAGTATTAAGTTTTAAAGTTTAACCCTGCTGTCCTGTTCAGATTCACTGCACGAACGTACTGTTCGGGTCAATATGACCCGTCAAAGGTTTGGGGTCGTGTTTATTTAAATAAATTCATCTAATATGTATTAAAGTAAACTCTATTAACAAAACTACATTTTTCATTTAAAAAAAAAGGTCTTTCATACGGCATTCTCAATCAAAATATGCAAACGTACTGAATTCAGTTTTACATTTCGAGATTCACTATCGACGTTGTTCGACAGCTTTCGTCTAGCAACAGCTAGTTCTTACTTGCCGAGATCTATTTCTTTTCACACAAATCTTATAGACAAATACCTATGTTTACGTTATTTAGAATAATGTCAATTAAAAATAAGTGTATATTATGCAATTCTTGCTATTATATTAACTCGGGTCATATTGACCCAAACCATACATAGGTAACAATTCACTTTTTAAAAAATAATAGCGGAAGTAAAATTTTTATATAGCTCGAAAATAAAACCTTGTACACTAACGAACAAAGTCATGCAATATCATAGCGTTACACCGCGCGGTATTCTTTAAAATAAGAAATGAATTTGTTTTTGGGTCAAATAGACCCGAACAGGACAGCAGGGTTAAAAAGAGCACATGCACAAAAATAAGTTAAAATCAACAACTTTTTTTTTAATGAAAATACATTTTTATCCTTTTGGAATTTTACATAGTGTGTCATGTACAGGGTGTCCCATTGTCGACACTTTTATAGGCGTTATGTACTCTTTTTGGGTTAAACTTGCAATGGTAAAATCAAAATTTGCACATTTTTGCTTCAGAGATACGAAGATAAATTAAACAATTTTCAATTTCAGAATGACCGTATATATTCTTAGTAAAAACAGAAACAAAAAATGTTTCTTGAAAATTATTGATAAATAATTATACAGTACTATCGGGTAAAAAAGTCTAAGTTTATTTAAATAGCATACCCTGTATATTTCAATCTAAAAATAGCATATTAAATTCTGTTTTTTTTAAATATAACACTGAAAAAATTCAATATAGATTCAAAAAGGTTCAAAAAAGATTTCTTAAAAATTCAAAAATTCGTTTGTAGTAATTTTAGTATTTTTTCAGTGTCAGAAAAAAGAGCGATAGTTCGTAAAAAACAGTTGCTTTTGTTGAGACCTTTAATTAGAACACCATGAATTGGAAAAACGGGTGGTTGCCCCCCCCCCACGCCTTTCCCATTTTCAAAAGTTTTACTTGCCACTAAAGGCATGCGCATGTAAAATGGTATTAGACTCTATTCTATTCTTCAGGTAATGACGTGCAACGGAAGATATACTGAATAGACCGTAGTCTGGCAGCTTTCAGTAAAAATTGCGCATTAGATGAAGAAAGCATGAAACTCACAGGTATTGATTAGGGTATTGTCCTGATGATTTTAAGATCGGGAGGCCTACAAAAAGTTATCAAAAAACAAAATGGCGGCCGTTCAAAGATTAGGCCTTACTTAATATGGGGAGTGCCTTATTCTGCAGGAACTATGAGTTTTTATGGAAACATGCTTCTTATCTTTTTTATAGCTCTTAAAAATACCTTTACAGCGATATATTACACGACTACTTCCTACTTCCGGTTATTCAATAACCCCTAGTTTTAAGAAAACCATGCTTCTTGCCTTTCTTATAGCTCTTAAAAATTATTATATTGTACAAAATCCTAGTTTTAAGTATTTTAACTCCGCTAAACGCGAAAGAAACGGATACGGCCCAAAACGTGTCAGCCCCGCAGGGGTGGATGGGGAACCATAAACCGGTCCGTGAAATATACTTAACTAACGGCCCACTTAGCGGGTGGAGGAGGGGGTACTCAATGCGCCCTAATTTCAAACATATATGCTTTTTCTAACACCGATTCTTGATAATTATTTCCCAACATCCTAAATGCTTCTAGATTATTGTTACACAATATGTTCCTTAATCGGAATTATACATTTCAGAATTGCGAAAGAATAAGAATCAATTAATTAATGTATAAGTCTTAAAATGGATTAATTTATAACAGTAATTATAAGCGCGAACTATTCATTACTTCGATGTTGAAATTGGAACTGATTGAAACGCAATTTGATTTGCTTATATAGCAAACGCCGTTCTTTTTGGAGGCTACCGAGTATTCTAGAACGTTCTCTAACAAACAAGTCGTATTTCCCGGAAAATTGTGAGTGAATGGGACGTCGGAGGTGGGCAACGACAAAGGGAATGTGGTAGCCTTCAACAAGATCTTATTGATGGACACGAGGACTTTGATAATATTTTATATGCACCGTCACCTTCGAATATTAATTAAATTTAATTCCTTGCAAGTGGTGGCGTAGCCTGGCTCTATTTCTGTTTTGTGTTTTGATTTGAGTGAGGCTGCCAGCCGCAAAGCGCTCATGGATCCTACCGGCCCACCGGGAAAATTACCGGTAGTTCGCCGGCCCCATCCACCCCTGCAGCCCCGTTACGTGTGTAACGTTCATTGCCACATATATTTTTTCTTTTGTTTACAGATAAAGGGAGTACAGTTAATTTAAGTCAGATAAAGAAAAGTAAGAATAAGTAAGGGGAAGAATAGGACAAGAAAAGAATAAGAATAAGAAAATAAGGATAAGAAAAGAAGGGGGAGAGGGATAGAAGGAATATGGATTGTAACGCACTTAACGCGTCAGTTATGGACTGGGAAAAATGTGCCCTTTGTCAATGTGTTTCATTCGAAAAACTAATTGACCCGGGAAAGAGCAAAGGTCTGACTCCCGAAAACTGCTACCAGATCCTGGAGGAAGTCATTAATTCATTCAAGAGCCTAGGAACCGTCCCGGTAAAGATCGGGGGTTAAAATATACGTTAATGAACCACAACGCAAAGTGGCACAAGTCGTGCCGCCTAAAGCTGAACTCAAAGACAATGGAAGGGCTAACTAAAAAAAGGCTCAGGGAACCGGAAACGAATGCCCTTCAAGACTTATGCCACTTTGCGTTATGGTTCATTAACGTATCTCCTCCGCTCTTCATCAATAGCGCGTTCGCACCTCCAAATTCAGTATGGTGCTTATGGACATACAGTGCATGCTTGCCAAACGTGACAATGACAGCACAAGGAGATTATGTTTTGTTTTAATACTTCAATTGAATCATATGTCAATTTGACATCAATGCGGTCAGAAACAAGGATAGTATTATCGAAGAATGACGCAAACTAGTAAGAGAGGTAATTAGTCCATAAGACCCCATACTGAATCTCGAAGTGCGAACGCGCTATAGTAGTGATATGTGAATATGTCGATCTTTACCGGGACGGTTCCTAGGCTATTGAATGAATTAATGACTTCCTCCAGGATCTGGTAGGTAGCAGTTTTCGGGAGTCAGACCTTTTCTCTTTCCCGGGTCAATTAGTTTTTCAGATGAAACACATTGACAAAGGACACATTTTTTCCAGTCCATAACTGACGCGTTAAGTGCGTTACAATCCATTTTCCTTCCATTCTTTTCCCCCTTCTTTTCTTGTCCTATTCTTCTCCTTCTATTCTTCTTTTCTTTATCTGACTTAAATTAACTGTACTCCCTTTATCTGTAAACAAAAGAAAAAAATATATGTGGCAATGAACGTTACACACGTAACGGAGCTGACACGTTTTGGGCCGTATCCGTTTCTTTCGCGTTTAGCGGAGTTAAAATACTAAAAAGTTTTGTGCAATATAATGATTTTTAAAAGCTATAAAAAAAAGCTAGAAGCATGATTTTCTTAATATTGAATTATAACCAAAGTACGCAACTGCATGAATACGAAAACCTCGGATTTTGACGTCATTTCCGGTAACCGGAAGTAGGAAGTAGTCGTGTAATATATCGCTGTAAAGGTATTTTTCAGAGCTATAAAAAAGATAAGAAGCATGTTTCCATAAAAACTCATAGTTTCTGCAGAATAAGGTACTCCCCATATTAAGTAAGGCCTAATCTTTGAACGGTCGCCATTTTGTTTTTTGACAACTTTTTGTAGGCCTCCCGATCTTAAAATCATCAGGACTATACCCTGATCAATACCTGTGAGTTTCATGCTTTCTTCATGTAATGCGCAATTGTTGCTATTTTTTACTGAAATCTGACAGACTATATTAGTGTGACGTCAAATTTGAGCGGGAGATTCGAAATACTGGACTTGGCTGTTTTACTGTCAAAGATATTGACCCCTATCGCCCCATACATTTTGTATCACTTTTAAATAGGTCCTCTTTACGGGCTTATACTGACCTTATGCGCATTAAATAAGCATATCGACTCTCTTATATCGAAACACTGATTAGTTAACTTTAAAGGCAAGTAAACGACCAAGTCTAGCAATTGGGAAAATGTAAACACAAGAATAAGGTCATGATCATTCCATATTGCCAACCGTAAAGTTTAAATATGGTAGACATATCTTTAATTTTTAATTATAACGCAATTAATGTATTTTATTTAACGATTATTTATTTATTATCTCTCTCTTGTTCTGGGCCCTCAACAGGCTTACACCCAATTACAGAGTTATCCGCATAATACTTTTTAGAGGTGCCTTCACGCCCGAACCTGGATTCGAACCAGAGACCTTGGTACCATAGTCGAGCTTCAACTATACTACACCACACAGGCCGGTTACCTGACGAAATTAATTTATGGATGTCTAACTGTGGCGGTTGCTTGGGAATGTGCAATCCCTTTTTCCAATGAGTATATTTAAACACGAATTCCCTACCACCTGGAAATTTAAGGAAGTGACACGGACAGTAGCCATTGAGACCAACGCAATCTCGAATTGAGTTAAGAGGCGTCAAAATATTCATGATTCAACATATGCTTGTCATCAATGATAGCAATTCCGAACTTGAGTCTGCGGAGCTATTCATATTATAGGTCTAAAACTTATATCTCACATTAGCTTCTGGTCTGTCAGAATTGTACAATTAAAGCAGGTAGAGGTAGAGATATCTTATTAACAAAACAGAAATTCGCCGTCTATTGACGTCACGCAATCCAGAGCAAGGAAAGCATCTGCACGCTACACAAAACAGAATCAGAAGAGGACGAACAGCTGGTTACATTAACAACCTATAGAACACTGAAAGTACCAAACTACATTTCGACGCCAGCTTCCCCACAGATGAGATAGCAATCGCTTGGCGCCCATCCAAACCAAGTAATAACACAGGCCTATACCAGGACCGCAATCTAATGTCGTCATTAAAAATATGCACCTACCGTTTTCTGTGTATCTTGCACCAAAGTGTGCCAAATATTCTGCATAGACAACTGAATACTTGGTGTTGGATCGAACTGGTATCGATACAATTTCGGAATAATTTTCGGTAGATGCGGCTGCAACTTTTCGCCGCACTTCTCGGCGATACTCGAGAAACCGAACGCCGCCCCTTTCTTCGAGTTCCAAATGGCGTTGTGATTAGCGATGTGCATGAATTGATACAGCAGATCGGGTTTATTTAAATCCGACGCAAGCGCACAGAGTTCCTTGTATGTTGACAAATTCCCACTACAAAAATATGCGTTTGATAATATCAATTATAAAGTGACAATACCCTGTTGGCGCTTTCCCCAATTGCCCTTCCTCAAAAATTTTACTATCGCTTGATACTTGCGCGACATGTCGACGTCCTCCTGTTAACTGCTTTACCAATGCGTTCAGCAACTCCTCCGACTTGGAGTTGTCATATACAAGGCAGAGTCCCTTAGAGGCGACATCCTGCACGATATCTAAAACTTAAACTTGCAATCCTTGCCAAAAATACAAATGTACTCACCGCTGTTTTCACCTAACAAATCCATAAAGGCATTTTGAAAGGCACTTAATCGACTTTTAACCGGATCTTTATTCGCGCAGTTCTTCAGTATGGCCAACAACCAAATACACGATGCCTGCCTAGAATTGGGATGCGTCTTGCCCACAAGTTGCAGCAGTTCATCAACCAACCAACACAAATGATCATCAGACGGCTCATCCAACATGGTGGATAAAGGTGTGAAATCAGATGGTAACACTGACCACTGGTCACGAGCTTCCGTTGACCACACACTCTGAACACACATAACCAAGGATTCGCCGATAGTAAAATGAACTTCCACGTCCTTAGTCTGTAATTGCAAACTCTGTAATACGCTTACTTGCGTACGGGGGAGGTAATACTTCTTTAGCTGTATTCAAGAAGCCTTGAATTACTTGCTTTGTGTGTGGGAATTCCTCCCCGACACACAGCAAACCAAGCGCCTTAGCCGAACGTTCGCGTATCTTAATTGACAATTTATGATTGTTCATATTTTGGAGAAGTTGGGTGGTAACATCCAGTTTAGTTACTTTCCCGTTTGCAGGACGCTTGGGGTCAGGACTACCGTTCTTCATTTCATTTCCACTATCCAAAGGTAACGAAATACATTTTCCCACTTGTCCTATCGCCTCACTAGCCGCGGATACCAACAGCAAATTGGGATTGGTCAAAAAGGACACTGTAAGACAATGGTAAGTAACTGAGATGTCGACCTGTAGACCCTACCAATCGTTTGCACACATTTTTTAAAGAGCTCGTCGTTAAGGGCGTTGCCTCCACGATATTTATGGGTCATGATTTTCCTTTCGAGCGCATACGCAATACCCAAAATCGCACCATGTTGCGTTTCTAGCATTTTATTGTTTGTTTGTGTAATTAGGTAGTTAATGGCGTCCTCAAAATCTTTTGGAGATAACACTTCGTTAATAATAAGACTGTATAAAACCGACGTAATCTCGCGAACTTCTTCTTTTGTCGAATTCAATAAATCTCTCACCCAGTTCAGGTTACTTTTTAAAGTCAACGCCAACTTCGGTATGCAACCTATCACCTCAAGCATGCAACACAATGGTTCAAAAGCTAAAACCGCTATTGAAACATATCGTGCTATAAGATAAAATACTTACTTGGATTCGCCAGAAACAATTGGCGTACCAAAGAGGCATACTGCAAAAAAACGTTTTGCTCAACGCTCTCAGTTTCCACATACAAAGACTGCAACTGATCTCGAATTAGAGGGGTAAATTCGCAAGGATGGCGAGTCGCTTCGCGTTTCAACGGGATTTTTAAATGTTGTATTAAACACAGGCGCAAGTATAAGAGGATCTAAATTAAAAAATGAAGGATTAATCTTTAAAACTGTGTGACAAACCTCTAGAAAAACATTCAGTGTAAATGGCAGAACGTGATTACCGACGTTGACTCTCTTCGTACCATCTTTCAAACGCGCCTCTGCTTCCTCATAAACATACTTTGTAATCTCCTCGAAAGCGGGAAGTATCAGTTTAGATTGAGACTTGTCCCCTTTGCTTAAATCAACTTCGCCTTTATTCGATATTTTGTATAAGGCCTTAAAGGCTTCTGTGTACACTTCATCTTTACTGTAAATCAAAGAATATCTTTAGCAAACAAATTTCCTAAATCTTTAAGTTTTCATATGATAATAATAATAATAATAATAATACTCTTTATTATTACCTCAATTGCAAGTTTTGGTGAAAAAAGAAATTACAGTTTAGGTATCAAACAATTAAGGTAGTAAGTGGCGGAGTTCAGCATAGCTTTTTCTAAATGATCATACTAACGAACTTTGTTTGAGCTGTTCCACTCAACCAGTTAATACTGCTTGTAATTTACATACTTAAGTAGGTAAGTGTTATCTACTATCGAATCATATGATTGCATTTTACTTTCTGAATTCTTGCACGTATTAGGTCAGCAGTAAAAAGACTACCTACACAGTACTAGTTCATTAGGGTATCTAACTTGGGCAAATCAATTTTAGCACTACGTGTTCTGCCAAGAAGTTTTTCAGCCATTTCTTTTAGGTAAGTCTTAAAATATGTGTACAAAATTTGGATCCAATCGCTTCCGCCATTTAACCAGAAATGAGAGTACAAACAGACAGACAGATCAACATCATTGATTTAGATTCTTGGTGCTGCAAAACATGCATTTCCAGTGAGGGAGAGAGTGATTACAAACGTGGGGGTAGTAAAAACATTAGAGACCATACAGCAATGCAATCACAAATACGCTCATTATCTTCAAATCATATTCTGATGACATTTGGCATCATTGTTGACCAGAAGAGCCTGTACTTTAAAGTCAAGGTGAGACGGACTATAGGTGTAAAAGACGTGTTGCGGTTATAGCAAAAATTATATTTCGGTGCCCAGTACAAAGATATTATTATTTAGTACGTAGTCCGCTCCCTAGGTGTCATTGCAACAAGATTGTAACGGGAGCCCATTAACGCACTTACTTGAATTCGATTTTCCATTTATTTATTTTATTGATACTTCATGGTATATTATTCTGTATATGTTTACCCCTGTACCAGTGACCCTACCGCAGAGGGCACGTCAGACGGCAAGAATTAAAGGCAACACCCAGGCGAAAACCTACCAAAACAATCGACAGGCAGCGCCCTATTCGTCGATCATGGGGATCTGATGCATACAAGGAGCGCCTCAAGAGAGATAACGATAGAACGTCACTGTTATATCAAGAAAAGGACATAATTACTATCTAGTCTCCAAGTGATGCCACACCCTCACAAACACACCACCTTTAATCACTTGGTATATAATATACCATTTTCCTCTTGTAAAGTCGATCTGGAGTCATACTATAGATATAATTAAACGTGACTGAGGTTGATATAGACCAGTGTTTCTCAACCTTTTTTTTACGAGTGGCCTACTTGTGAATGTTATTTATATCTGTGGCCCCCCTCCGCGTTAGACCCGGGGGTATGGAACCCCCCTCCAGAAGGGGTCATACCTGGAGAAAAAAATATTCTTCAATTTTTTGTACTTCCCTTAGAAATGATATTTATTTTGTTCCTTTTTGCGGGTGTTTGAAGCTCTACACACTATGTAGTGAATATTAATTATATCATTGGACTGAACACCTTATATAAATACAATCAAATTTCACAGGAAGTTTTTAGGTGCAATACTACACTAAATAAGTGTCATATGACAGTTTTTAACATATAGTATGAACATCGAGAATTTTGTCAACAACGACTCCGTGTCTGCGCATGCGCTTCCCTATTTGTTCAAATAAATTTTTACCGTAGAGAATACTGCTAAACTAAAATTAAAATTAAACAAAAAATGCGAAAAAATCATTAAAATACCTCCAAAAGTTTCAAGACTTTAAAATTGCGCTTGGAAAAATCATTTTGATCCACGTGTGACGTCACTTGACCTATTACGAGGCCTTGTTATTGGTGCGACATATCGTCACCACCGTAACGGCAGCACTCGTATAGGTCAAATGACGTCACAGGCAGTACATACACTGTTGCGCATTGAATATTCTCAGTCATTTATTGACGGATTTTAAAGATTATTAGTTTTGATCTATATTTGAATGTCATTAGGTTAAATATTGTATTATCAACACTCTGAAACTTGTCCATTGTACCTTTGTTTTACATTTAAATCATTAAATTCATAGAATGTTTATCTCCAATTGTTCTGTGAGTACAAAAAGGATGCAAACCATTTGTATCGCGGAAAGAAAAAGGATGGATTGAGTCTACTGCTGACGTAATTTTGCACGCTAGCTGTAATTGGTTGGTGGGACTGAGCTAACCAATACAGTATAAAGACCCTGCTTATTACCAACTTACCTATCGCCAGTAGCCAATAACAGCAAAAACTTAGAAGGTACATGATTGGGTGGAAAAATTGTACCAATTGATCTTACAGCAACAAATCGCACCATCGGCTCTGCAGAGAATAAATAATATTTAACTAATGCAAACAAGAAATTGACACGGCCATCTTTATCGAATTCTGATGGATTAACATCGTAATTGTATGCCGGAAGGAGGCTCAAAAATCCCTGACGTATCTGCAGTCGTAAATCCGGTTCAGCGGAATCCAAATTTTTAAAAAACATTTCCAATAAAGACACATTATGATAAGTAAGTAGGGGAAAGCGACTACCAAGCACACCCAATACTAAATAGGCTTGACCTTGATGTACGACTTCGCCTTCTCGGATCAATTTTTGTAAACCGGTCTGTAAAATACTCGCGACTTTGCTCAGCTGCGCTTCCTCTGCACTAAAACAATCGAGTAATCTTTAACTCCTAACGTAGATATACTTACGTCTGTACCAAATTCATGGCGAAATTAAGAGCGATAGTCTTGAGTTTACTGTTGGTATTTGTCCCGTACAGAGAATCAAAAATCACCTGAATACTTGCGGGTAATGCAAAACCTGCGCCCCATATTCGACACATATGAGTCAAAAGTTTCAGACGAATGCGCGTGCTTACGGGTGATTTTTTCATATTCGGCTTAATGTTCTGAGATTGCGAGCCTAAGTACAGTAAATAAAGAGGCATCGCTGTAACCGGTGATGCCCAATTGAGTGTACTAAAAAATTCAAACGAATATTTACAAGTTAAGAGCAGGTTAAATTGCTTATTTACCCCACAATTTTTTTCAGTTCCAAATCAGCTAAATTCGCTACACTAAATCGTGTGTCAGAGGCAGCTACGATTAAGTGAATCAAAATTTCGTCGTCCGAAAATATACCACTCCCCAGAAATTTGACGATTCCCAATTTAATCTAAAAACAACAATTACACCAACAGGATATTTACTTTTGCATAGAATGAAGGGGTATAAATATACCTACATTTGTGTAAAACAAACATGTCATTAACACTGTCACAATCAAGCAGACATATGCTTTAAAAAAAAATTCCATGGCATACTTTGATAATCATTGTTTAGGTATTAGTTTAGACAATGTTGAAATCCATTTCTTAAAATGGACCAATTAAATCAAAACTCAAAAAATGTTCAGGTTTTCCAAAAGGTGACAAAACCCATAACATTTTTTTTATTTAGATAAAACCTCAGATAAAACCGAAGATAAGGCTATGCAATCCCACTTGGAGTATACCTACATAATGACAACAAAATACACACGAAAAACAGATGCTGAATATTAAATAATATAGTAGCATAACAGTTTTACCTATCAGGTATAATATATTGTGCATGTTAACCTTGCACTTATACGTGTATTGTGGGAAATTAGCACTCCCTCAGTAATCAAATTTCCTTTACCTGCTCAAGTTCTTCCGGATGTAGGGGAAATTCATTTGTAACCCTTTTAAATGAATATTCACTCATACCGGGTGGTACGGGAATGGATGATTCATTGCGACTTCCCTGTTCGTCATCGGCAGGCTTTTGTGTTAGCGCTCCATACGGTAGCAACAGCATATCCAACAGTAATCCCAGAAACAACTTGCTGATGTGCGGCTTCTCGTTAACACCGAATATGGCATACTTTTGTGAAGGATCCGAAGGCACATTTACTTTTCCCAATAAGGGAATTATGAGTAAAAGTAAACTGTCCTGGTGCGATTGCGGTTTCGAGTCGATTGAGTTTAACATCGACGGAATTAACTCGATTTGCTTTTCTTCTGGCAACCGTGGGAATCCCAACTTGATGTAAATGATGGTAAAATTCTGGGCAAATAAAAATGGTTATAACCTGCTGAGTGTGTATTTAACTTACAATCACAAAAGATGTAGCTGAGGGATCTTGGTACTGTACCAGTAAGGCTTCCACCGGCAACTGTACCACTACGAGACTTAATTCTCTTATTAATATGTACCAGTAATTCCATGACCTGGCAAAAGACAAATTACTATAACTCCTCCGAGTTTCAACCTTACCTTCTTTCGAACGCCTTCCTGCTGAGAAGACAGCTTGAGAAGCACAGGAGGCAAGAACTTCGAAACGACATTTTGAAGTTGCTCGTCAGTGTCAGCAGAACCAATTCGTAGAAATACTCTCTCCAAAAGAACTAGTAATAATACCATACATTATTAATCACAATGATACAGCACAATCACATAGAAACATTTTGAAAAACTATTGTTTGCTAATTTTGTCGCCCACGTAAGTACAGAACTAGCAGGACATTTACTGTATTTTTCATATTTTTACTTACCCAATTCGTCTGTAGCGGTAGCCATACCTGCTGAATGCAGTTTTCAAAAAACGAAATGAAATTAGTTCTAATGTGAATTATGGTAGTTCTAATGTAACCGTTCGGTTATATGACTTGTCATTTATAATACAGAGTGCTTCAACATAATGCGTTTCGAAATATTCAATGAACGTCTCCAATGTACGAGTATCGTATACGATGAAGTCTACACAATTTAATAAACGTCGATGCCGTGCCGTATCTCAATTCAAAAAGCATTGTTAGTCAGGTAAATATAGAATTTATCCGTTTACATGTCACAACTACTTAAAGATCTCACGGCTCACCTTTTGAAGATGTGACGAAAATGTTACTTCTTCAAATCTTGTCTGGGGTCGGAAAATCGGGAAAGCTGAAAATTTCCATAGAAACATAAATGTATTTATAAGTGGAGCGGGTTATCCGTCAATGAAATTCTACTCTAACTCTATATATCTTGGTTTGTAAGTTTACTACAGAGCACATGCGAGAAGTAGAAGTTCAACGTTTACGAAAAAGTTGAGAATTGGGCAACTTTATCAGTTGATGTAAAATTACGGATGTTAATTTTGCATACTCTTCTCCTATTGGTTGGAATGGAGAGCGGATACGTATTGTCGAACTCAGGTAGATCTAGCCTAAGACGGCGACTGATCCTATTCCTGCCCTGTCTCAAATCTCAATTATTGCTAGCGGTTCCCCATTGGCTGAAAGCTACGTACATGACAGTTAATCATATAAAATAACTATTGGAATAGAATCTTCAATTTTTGTTCGTTATTTATTTGGTTGACTGTCATGTTGCAATTATTCATTTTTTAAATTTACAAATTGGTTGGAAGCTTCCTTTTCGTCGTTTTGCCGTGACGGTGACACGTATTGTTCTGTCAGAAACTTCACACGTCGTTTAACTAATATCTCACTCAAGAATTTGTAGTAAGCAATGTCACCACAAACAGTTAAGCTCAATAATGGGCTGGAGATCCCAATTTTTGGGCTGGGAACTTGGAAGGTAACTTCTCTTGAATATTACTCAAAGCATATACCTACAAATGCTATCTTATTTTAGTCAAACCCTGGCGAAGTCACACAGGCAGTAGAAGATGCTATCGATGCAGGTTATCGTCACATCGATTGTGCCTTCATATATCAGAATGAAAAGGAAATCGGCGTAGCCCTTGCCAAGAAATTCAAGGAAGGCAAAATTAAACGAGAAGACATTTTCGTTACAAGTAAATTATGGAACGCTTTCCACTCACCTCATTTAGTGGAAGGTGCCCTGAGACAATCCCTTCAAAATTTAGGATTGGATTATCTCGATTTATATCTAATACATTGGCCCATTGGTTTTAAGGTAACGAAATTACATTCATTTTAAAGGTCTTAGGTATGTACCTATGTAAAATGCCATAATATATAGTTAGCAGTTTCTAATCATTCTACTATTCAGAAGTGAAAATGACAAGTAGATTATAAAATAGTGATAAGAGAGGTGTTAGGGGCGTTCAATGGATGACCCTATCAGAAATACGATTACATTCCGTATCGCAATCGGTTTTGCTGAACACTAAAAATATTTTACTATACATTTAGATGCAATTTATGCATATTTCACTCACAAGTGGGGTTATGGTTGTTCCTCGGGTTGTTCGATACATAAAATGAATCGTACAATTTAGACGATTCATTTTTTAGGTATCGATAGTAATCGTCTCAAGTTTGTTGAGCAGTAAATTATCAAAAGAGATTTGTATCAATTCATGTATTGAACCTCACTGTCCAGGGTGTACAAAATACTTTAGATACGGATAGTTTTTGATCAAAATTAATAACATTATATTTAAAATAGGTATATATATTTAGTGTCTCCCTTTAAAAAAAACGTTGATAATTACATCTTTGGATTTGTATAGGAAGGAGGCGAATTGTTTCCCATTGATGCTGATGGTAAAATGCAATTCAGTAACGTGGATTATGTGGATACCTGGAGGGCCATGGAAAAATTAGTGCAACAAGGACTCGTAAAATCAATCGGCTTATCCAATTTCAATAAACGTCAAATTGAAGATATATTAAAAGTGGCCAAATTCCCCCTGCCATGAATCAAGTACGTAAAATATATGTATCTTTGCGCTATTTTCGTTTTATTTTAGATAGTATGTCATCCTATTTAAATCAAAGAAGTTGATTGAATTTTGTAAATCCAAATATCGCCATAACTGCTACCCTTTGGCTCGCCATGCCGTGGGCTAAACCAGAAGAGCCAAAGTTGCTGGAGATGAAAAATTTTTGAAGTCGCTAAAAAGTATGGGAGACTACTGCCCAGGTTCTTATAAAATCAAATTCCTTTTCGTAACAATTTCCAAAGTCTATTGTTCTGTCAGAAAAAATCACATTTTTGACTAATTGAGCGCATGATATGGCTTAATTTGATACCTTTGATTGTCACGAAAACAGTTATGACAAGGTTAATCTCTTGTATCCCAAACTAAAAGATAACTTGGAAGGTTCTTTGGACTCACCAAACTCAAATTTATACGATGAGTATCTGGCATCTTTATTCATAATCACTATTTGTGAAAATATGTTGCATTATAGGTTATATTTTGAAAATGATATACTCAGTTCATTGTACATGGCTGATTCCTTGCCAAAAAAATTGTGTTTGTTGGTTGCATTGATTTTCCTACAGATATGTACTTTTAGTTCTCCTTATAAGAAATTCATCTCAAATTTGTCAGAGATTCTTAGAAATCTTTCAAAAGTTTATGAAGGAGATTTTTAGAAATTCTGAGGTTATCTACAGGGTCATTCTTGACGAGCGTCTGTTAGAAAGATATGGAATACCTTTGAAAATGAAGATAAACTGATAAGTTCTTTAAGGGTTTTGGAACATGATGAATTGAACTAAAATATTTTCAAAATGGCGCCACTTCCGGAAATACCGGAAGTAGCCATCAACTTTGTTATTTTAAATAGGGACCCCCTATTTTTTCTACATTTTCGGATTCTACGTCGAATTTGGAATGTAGTAATTTGCGAATAAAAACAAAAGAATAACATCAAGCGACTGAATTTTTTTATCAATTTGTCACAAGAAGCACAGATCTACACATACACAGATTGCTAACCTTATGCATTTTTTGGGAAACAAATTTAGGTATACTTAAAAGCGACCTCTATTACGGAGCAGTATAAACATGTACGGTTTAAAACTGTAATATGACACTTATGGATTTATGCATTAGATGTCGCTGCAAAAAATTTAAAGCGGTAAAGTATGCATATAATCCAGTTTAATTGTATTTTTACCAGGCAAGTTGTGGGGTAGTTTTGATTTCTTTGATTCTATATGTTTTTTGGGGTGCTGAATCCGAACCTGAGGTTTGCTAACAAAATTTCATGACGCAACATTGAAAAACATACAAAAAAAGTTGAAAAAGATATTTTTTAGCAGTTTTGTGCTTACAACTCGAAAACTATCAACTTTTCGAAAATAACCTCCCTACCTTTTATCGGCGTGGTAAAGAGTGTAACGTTAATGATGGCAGAGATATACATAGTTTTTAAGTATGCCTTTACGGTTAGCAGTCTGTCAAGACCTTTAAAGCCGCAAATAGTTTCCGCCAACTTCAAAAAACCTTCACGATTATTTAAGAACCTGCCCTATGTTCGTGTGTATCTGTGACCACAGGGACCCGCTTTTAATAACTCCCTTACGACGAATGAGTAGCTCCAGTGTTCAATTAAACAATTATGGCTCAACGTACCTCCTATCATGTCATACCACTGTAATAAAACGAATATTAAGGAATTCGAATTGTGCAAACTTTAGCGCTTTAATTTTGTTTCAGCGACATCTAACGCATAAGTCCACAAGCGTCATATTACAGTTTTAAACGATACATGTTTATACTGCTCCGCAATAGAAGGCGCTTTTGAGTATACCTAAATTTGTTTCCCAAAAAATGCATAAGGTTAGCAATCTGTGTATGTGTAGATCTGTGCAAGAAGTAACTAAAACATGGAATATCTCGGAAACCGCATGAAGCAGCTTTTGACATTTTGCATCAAATTAAAGGTCTGGAAAAAAGGAAAACAAGGGTGAAAAACAAAATGGGGGGTGCCATTTGAAAAAATGGAGTTACGGATATTTAAAAGTTTAAAAGATGAGAGCTTTGAAAAAGTGACGTAGTTTCACTTTTTTAGACTGTTACGCATACCATAAGAAAATTCGATCTTTCCTTAATAAAGCATTGAAAACTGTTTTGCAATATCTCTCACCGTTTTCGAATAATAAATTTTTAAAATTACCCCTGCAAATTCAATTTTTGACACAAAAACTTGAATATCGGCGAAGCCCTTGGAGCAAAGGGTCAACTATGGGGTATCGTTGTACTCCAAATTCGACGTAGAATCCGAAAATGTAGAAAAAATAGGGTGTCCCTATTTAAAATAACAAAGTTGATGGCTACTTCCGGTATTTCCAGAAGTGGCGCCATTTTGAAAATATTTTAGTTCAATTCATCATGTGCCAAAACCCTTAAAGAACTTATCAGTTTATCTTCATTTTCAAAGGTTTTCCATATCTTTCTAACGGACGCTCGTCAAGAATGACCCTGTATAGAGATTGACTACAGAATTGCAAAAGAAATCTCTCATCGATCAATATAAATTTTGTGAAGAATATGTTTGCAGAAATTTTGAAAAACATATTTTTTAACGAGTGTTAGTTAAGGCCAATTCACACTATACCTCAGGTCACACTCTGCTCAAAATATTGTAACATGCTATTTCAATAGGAATATTCACATTTGACGGTCATAATAAATACACGCTACAATAATTGACCGAACCGTGATCCGATCGTGACGTGACCGATAAATACATGTTCTAGGTTTTTTTGCCGTATATCAAAGAAAAGGGTTCCTTTTGTACCCCCCAAGACCAGAAACCCTAGATTTAACAACCCAGGGTTCTTCAATGAAGGGCTGCTTTAAAGTGAGGCATCTGCCTAAGGTAACAGAGCAGCCGCCCTACAGTACCTATTGCAGGTTTATTTGTATAAATTGTTTAGTATAGTCATAGGAATGAATATATTTCATATAATGAATCCCTTAATTTGTTGGTGAACAGTTCCTAATTCAATGATAAAGATGCAACTGTTAAATTTATTATTAAACTGTGCAGGAATGCAATTATTGCTGTAGGGATTAGGGATATGTCCAATAAATAACATTATAAATATCGACAATAAAAAGAGAGTAAAACTAAATAAGTAATATCACAATTACAAGACATAATAATTATTGTGCACCGAATTAAATCATTGTAAAATGTGGAATTGAAGTACGTAATAGCTATACATGTTTAAAATGTCCCATATGATGGTTTCTAAAATGAACCCAATAAATTCTTGAGATCATAATTGTAGGAATTAATATCAATAATACAGATAATCAGATCTGCTTAATGAGTGGATCAGCTGCCTTGTCAACAACCTCTAAGTTCGGATATGTAACTAGTTGAACATGAGTCTCAATCACTTGAATTGATTGTGCAATTTTCACAATACACAACAAGAATACCATTAAGACTGCACTGAAAATAAGAAACGGAACCAGCGACGAGCAGACCACCTTGTCATTAGGATCTAAAGATGTTTCAATAACTAAATCAAAATGTTCATTAACAGGTAGTGTTTTAATGTAGGCTTCGGGTATCTTGTATTTTATGCTGAAGCCATTCTCAACTTGTTGTCGAATTAACGGGTCTAAGAAAAAATCATTTTCTAACGAATCGAGACCTTGTTCGTTTGCGCTGTATTGTTGTAAAAACGGAAACGTATTGCGATTGCTCTAAAAGATAGAAATTAATTGGAAGATTATGAACTCTGCACTTTACTTGTTTTTTTATTTTGGTAGCGTCACAACCAACAACACACGATTTCTTTGACGTTAACGTTTCGTATGATTGATAACAAGCTAAAAAATCACAGTTGAAACACCACTTATAACAGTAACACGCTTACAATCGTGACATTCGCCAAGAGTATCGGTGAGATTTCTTTTTGCCGTAAGGTTTATAATGTTCAAGAATCGGCAACCTCGTTGACACTTACTCTGTGAGCCTTCCTCCTGGAAATCATTTAAATAAAGACTTACAGTAGAGGGTAAAGTAAGCAAGGCATACTAAAGGTAAAAGGAAAAAACTGTCGGAACAAACATCTAGGCATTGATCCATATCCGTAGAAGAAAGGTGAGTTGCTTTAATAATCGCAATACTTCCAGTCAAGAAAGAGAAATAATAAAAAGTAAGGTAGCTATACATATTTAATTAATTTATCAAAATATTACATTATTAAAATTCGAAAAAATTACAATTTAGTTCCAAAGCCATACTTTAGGGAATTTATTTTTTCGTTTTCAGGCTTGGACTTCGTTACGTTCGTTACATTCCGATGACCAGAGAGTAATGATTGAAGGGAGGAGAAGGTAGTTCAAATTACCAGTACCCAACTCCAAAACCAGCAATTTGTTTATCGGACAGTTGATAGGAATTGATAAACTTAAGTTTTTGGTTTTGGCAGATTACTGAACAAAAACGAAATTTTGTAAAATAGTTTTTATTTGTTACTGAAGCTATTTAAAAAATTTTTCAAAATAAATAACACATTATTATGGCCACTTTTTCCACAAGATGCTAGTTTTCAATTTTAAATCCGACGTTTCGTCTCCGGTTAACCATCAACTTTGTTTTTTCTTATGGAAGTGATTTTTACTTTTTGTGTCAACTATTTCAAATTGTTAGGAACTCTTTATTCTCGCTCATGTATTGACATGTGATAGAGAATTAAAAAAACTCATTTAAAAATTTTTACATATACACACTTCGCAGAATCAATAATTTTTAAGACGGATTTCCCTTCACCGGTATCTGTTCCCGTTGTCATAACCTCTTGAATAACGGTTCCGGTTCCAAGTGAGGGGCATACAAATGCAATCGGTTCCGGTACAGGTTCTTATCGGTTTCGGTTCAAACCCCTGAGACTGGTGAATGTTTAAATATTTTAATAATTTTTGTCAATCTACTGTGGATTGACATTAAAATTGTCAACTGACAGCTGCTAAACCCCCTTTTTTATGGTAAATGAGTAAATATGAAACTGCCGTAGTTTCGCAACCAGTCAAATTCCCTAAATTAGGTACTCTAATTTATGTTCATACAGTGCTAAAATTGAAATATAAAGCAAAATACAAGCGACAACAATTAATCGTTTCAGATAAATGGAATACAATTTACATTACTTGCTCGTATATTTGGGCAAAACTTTATTGCAATGACATATAATTGACGTTAGCAATTAAACTTAAACACACGCAATACAGCTACGTGCAAATTATTAGGTATTCAATTTAATTAATCAATAATAAATGAATAAATGAAAAGGTATTACATTACATTGCCTACGTATTTACATGAATGTGTCGTGCATTTTAATCTACGACGGTGTCATTATACACGTTTAGCATTGCCTCTTGTATGTCATTACGGCTTTCATCTGTAGCTTTCATAAAAGCACGCAAATGATAAATAAATAAATACTACTATTTTTCACTGCGAACGTCAATACCTTTTTTTACTTGTAGGTCAATACTGACAAACGCGATTGCCATGACATCTAGTAGATAGTACGGACACTTGAAAATTTTTAATGTAGAGAATTCAAAATGCGAATAAAATCATTATGATGTTCATATCGAACTTGTAGCATTAATAACTATTATGTTGCTGTTTGGAGTGTTTTTTTAAAATTATTTTCATTAAACTCTCTGGCTAGGTACCTAACTGCCGTCTATCAAGCTCAATCGTCCTTGACTTCCAAGATACATTAAATATAAGGCATTTTGTGCACGTGGGCGGAGTTGTGGATGACGTCATAAGCAGGTTTTCACTGAAATAGAATTATATTTTGGTGCTTTTTTGTTGAATTTGTGAATTAGTTTTCAACAAAATGGTGTTCTTTGGTTGGATGTAATGTACCACAGTTAATTTGCCCTTTTTATAATGCGTTTATAATAGTTATAGCTTACAACATTTTTAAAAAAGATTTCTTCATATTTTTGGGCATTTTTTGGATTTATTCTTATAATTTTCCCCTAAACCATTATAATTAAGAAATGTTAGTATTTTCAGTAGAATTAACAAACAAATCCCAAAATATTCCCGCTTTAAATTTTAAGTTCCGCGTTACATACCATGCCCGGACCTGACGAATTTAGAACGGCAATCTTAGCATATCTTGTTTCCTTTATATCATGCTTTTCTTCCATATCACCCTGTATGCGCGACGAGCTGTTAGGTACAACCGGTTTATTTATTTTGTAAACGAATCTAAAATGGCAGACTCATGTCGAGGTGAGTTACAAAATTTTTGGTATTTTTATGTCTATTTCCTTTTGAATATATTATTCAATTAAGTTAAAAAAAATAAAACCATCTCAATGATATTGATATTCGATATCTACGAAACTGCAAGTTTTCTATACAGGATTGTGCGTAATAATTTGTCGTCCATAGAAAGAAAAGCTTTTCATTCACTAAACGTAGTTCTCTACGTGTCGTAATACTGAATAATTACATAGCAGTTACAGGTGACGAGTTTACCAAAACACGAGACTTAAAAGGAGAAGAATCAAAAAGTATACTTCCCGGTGAAGGTAGGTAATGTAATGTTGATTTCCTGAAAGATCTAGCAATATTTTTTTATAGATAATGAAAACAGTGCTCATTCTTTGGATACAATAAAGATGTGTTCTCCATCAAGTTTTGCAACAAGTTTTATGCCAAAACAATCAGAGTCCAACAAATCCTCATGTAGCACAAATCAATTTATTTTAAAAAGTTCCTCTCTACTGCGACCTTCACAATTAAATGGAAGTATTGCCAGTTCTACCAGTTCACCAAAACATAGTTTTCTTCTAAATCCAAGTAAGTTAAATCCATTTGGAAAAGTTCTATCAGACTCGAAACCCGAAACAGAAAAGGAATCCGAATCCCAAACTACACATACGTTTCTACCTTTAATACAAAATGGCAATAAATCGGAAGGTTTAAAAGTGACATCAACAGCTGCCTCGTCGACATCTTCAATAACTCAATCTAGCAATTTCGTTTTCGGACAAAATATTCAAGACCGTGTCGTATCGGACAAGCAGGCGGACGATTTAAAATCAGACTATGCTGCTAATAGTAACGGCACATCAGATATGTTGTTTACTTCCGTATTAAAAGAAAATTCCAAATCGGACGCAGGCATAATGTCGCAAGGTACGAAAACTTTGAGCGAATCTGCACGAGAATATGAGGAGTCGAGAGCAGTTAAACGAAAATTTGAAGAAGTTGAAGTAATCACCGGCGAGGAGGGAGAGAAGAATATTATTCAAATAACTTGTAAGTTGTTCGCGTTTGATAAAAGTGCAGGCAGTTGGCAAGAACGTGGTCGTGGTATTTTGCGATTAAACGATCAGGAAACCGCCGATGGTTCTCAGAGTCGGTTGGTTTTCCGAGTAACTGGAAGTCTTAGAGTGGTGTTAAATACAAAGGTAGGTATTTTGACATTTTGTGTAAATTTGAAAAGTACGAGACATTTACAGATTTGGGCAGAAATGACGATAGAGTTAGCTAGTAATAAAAGTATACGCTTTATGGCTTTTGACACAAGTGGTGAAATCAAAGTGTTTTTATTAACGGTAAGTTACTCTTTCTTTTCTACCCTCTTAGTACTCATTGTTTTTGTGTATAGGGTAGTCCTGATGATATCAAGCAACTTTATAAACTCCTGGAAGTACGTTTGCAAAAAGAAATCAGTAGGCAGAAATGTTCCAAAACGAAAACATCTGAACCAAGCTGTAGTTCTCAAGACGATCCATTGAAAAAATCGGACGATTTACCTCCCGGGTATTGATAATACTAGAATATAACGATTAATAAAGTCTCGTCTGTTTGCAAATTGAATAGGGTGTCTTGCACTTTTATACATCCATTACTGTGAATATTTAATGTAGTAATCAAGTGTAAAGACAAGTTACGAAAATTAAATTTGCATCTACGTATAGTTGGAGAACTTCACCGGATATGTAATTTGGACATGCATATTTCAATTATGTTGCGATATAATATTGTTAGAATTCTGTTACATATTTTATACCTAAGGCAATAAAAGATTAAAAAATCCTTCATTTACACTAAAACCAGAAATTTGTTAATTGCATATTTAATTGTAAAACTTAAATTATTGAATCATGTTTTGGAATAAACATTTTAATTGCTTCTACGTGCTTCAACCTTTTATTTGCGTTACAAAAGATTTCAGCATTATCCGTAGTAGTACAAATTTTCTGTTAATGGAAATGGTAAATTGGCAACTGGTAAATGATATAACCAATCAGATTTTTGATGGATAGATATTTGAAGCAGCAGTAGTGCAAGATGTGATTAGTAATAGAATGTTATTACAAACAAGTTGTAAATCAGCATATGCATGATTAAAGCGCATTTTTGGTAATGCAGGTCAGTATTTTATTAGCGAAGTTTAAAATTATCGATCTCACGAGTAATTTTGGCTGCGTTAAATAATTAATTTTATTTAATTTCAATTCACGGTACGTCTTCATTTTGTAAAACAAATCACAAAGTAAATAAGTTTTTATACTGGTAGCGCTATCTAACGGTAAAATTATAGCACCTCCGAAACCCATATCGAAATTATTTTCTTCAATTATCTATCTCACAAGTAATGTAACTCAAAATAGACTAGTGCCTGCACATCTACACTATAGCAGGAAGCTTTTAGTGAAAATTTGAAGTCTCTAGCTATTGTAGTTGTGGAGATCTAACGCGGACAGCCGGTCTGCCAGCAATAACGAATATAATAGCGTATTTTTTTCAAAAATGCGCTAAAAATGGCTGTAGGGGGTATAAGAATTGATAAGACATTGATATCTACAATCAACTTAAGATTCATCCTTTCTCAATATTTAATTATGATTGTATGACTTGTCTTACATCGTAGATCTCTTGCACTAATTCATGATTATTAGATATACGAAACAAATGCAGAGACGTTCTAGCAGGACGATTCCCAGGGAGGCAAGTGTTAGTGGGTTGTAATTTGGTTGTTAGGTAAGGGATTTGCATCCAAGCAGAGACATTACGAGCCCCAATAAAAAATTCATCCATATCACAAGGTCACTGTGATTAAAGTGCCCCAAAACAAGTATAAATTGTACACAACTCTTGTGCACATAAAGCACATTTTTTTTAAACTGAAAAAGCTTAGTAAATAATTGGGTTGTTTGTGATTGATAATATATGAATAATGGAGAAGTAATTTATAAATGACAATTCATTTTCGAACCAATTATCGCATTATCCTTTCCCATATGATTAGCTGACGTCTGTCAATAATTGACTAGTTTGGTGAATTTCTTGTTCGTTAAATTGTCCTGCCGAATTACACTCGACGTTTGTATTTAAACCGAGTAAATTTGGGTTGTTGCAATTCAAATCTGTTTCCTTTTAGCAATTGAACTCGAAAAACTGTCAACCTAAAAATGCTCCACCTGCGGTGTCGCATTTTTATTAGTTGACAGTTTTTCTCGTCTAATTGCTAGGCAACAGATTTTCATTACCTAAACAACCCAAATTTACTCGGTAAAATACAAACCTCTTGTGCAATTATAAGTGAAAATTACAGCACGTTTCACAGGCACAATTATTTTTTTCCCAAAAACAAAACTACTCCTTTACATGCCACCTTACACTATATGTAAATTATTATTATTATTAATTATAGTTCAGTGCCCAAATTGCATAACTACAACACTCTCTCTCAATTTACACAGAATTATCTATTTAATCCAGGTAAATTTGACTTTACAATCGAAAATTGTTAATGGAGCAAGTGGATATGTTAAAATGGTTTATAACGAATACAAAAAAAAAAAAATACGTGAGCAGGAGAGTGGGACACAGATTTTGGGGAGGGTGAAAATCGTATGACAGCAATTTCCGGCAAATGTTGCGATAAGAGGCAAAAGTGTTCAGTGGAAAAGTTGTAGATCATGAAAAACTCTACAACTTACTTTCCAATCTCTCTCACATAACCGAAAAAATCGTGAAAAACCGAGTTTTTTGTTTGTTATTGTTCATTTGTCATTGGTTGAAATATACTATTTTATGTTTTAAATAACTACAAATTTTTTCAATATAAAAAATTAAGTTTTATTTGTAAATGTATAGTGGGTTGGGTTGGTAGAGCAGGCTTGGCTGAAACCCCGCCCACTCAAAAATAAAGGCAAAATAAAATAAAATGAAAAGTGTGCTTCAGAGATTTATTGTAGGGAGTTCTATTTGGTGTTATTTTCTTCATTTTTACCTGTACTTTTTGATAGAGTAAAAAAAATTATAGTCCCTGAAGAAGACTCGACTGTGGCACTAAGGGTCCCTGGTTCAGGCATGAAATGTATGGTCGGTTGGGATGGTACAGCAGCCTTGGCTGAAACTCCGCTCACTCCAAAATAAAATAATCCTTCAAGAAATAAGCGTGTTTGGTATATAAGCCAATTGTGCTTCAGTCAGTTTCAACATCGACGGGTTCATGTTATTTTATAAATTGTAAGTTCTACTTAACTGTTATAAATTAATCCATTACAAGACTGTTATAAACTTATTGTTAATGAATTATAAATATGGAACTAAAATTTACATTCGTTCAAGATAAGTTACACGTTGCATTCTATGTACATATATTGAATAAACTGAATTATATTTGCGTTTCTCTAAACAATCGTGTAATTATAACATTTGCATCATAAATAAAGCAGGCGATATCTTGCTTGAATTGACAATATTTATTGATTTAAAAATATAATTCAGGTAACGTATCAATTTTTTATCAATTCAACGTTCTCAATTTTTCTTGTCATAAATTTACCCAAATTAAGTTTTGGATATACCAATGCCATATTATTCTGCAAATACATAACAGGTAATTTATACTGGCAAAAAAAAGCCGAGTTCATGCAATGAGTTAACATTTGTACAATTTGACACTCCTATGCTCGTGTTTATGATCCTACAGGAATAAAAATTATTATTAACATAAGGAGCAACACTACAAGCCAATGAGTCAGTAAGAAATATCATTGGCGTAAACTAACATGGAGGTAACATTTTCAAACCTATACATTGTGAAACATCACAATGTCTTAAATGGGCGAATGAAAGGAACTTACTTGTTGTTTTGAAGTAGGTCCATGTTACTACGAAGTCGAAATAATGGGATGGCGATGATTGCTTGTGAAGCGCTTTTTAACAAGGACGTTCATTCTTCTTGACGGCTGCACATCTGGATTTATTTCTTCTTCGATCGATTATTTATCAACAATGAAGGCGGAATTTACCATTGATGAATGCCAAACGTCGAGTTCTGCATAATGCGGTGCAAATTCTCACTTCTGCGGGCTCGAGCACCACACAAAGTGGGAATATACACAGGGACAGGCAAAATGGTTATGTACAGGGTGTGTTAGGACATTTCCTTAAAAGGAAAACTAAAGAACAATTGAATTTATTCCGCTTTGGGGACGCAACAGCACTCATACTTAAAATTAAAACTTTTTATTTTGGAAATGTATACATAAGTCAATGTGCATCAAAAGCTTGCAAACCATTTACTACTAATGTACGTCACAGTTTCACCTGTTGCGAAATTGACTGCTTAAAAGATTACCCAAACGCATAACCTCACATTTGAACAAAAAATTCCTTGTCCATATACTCTAAAATAAAACGGCAACGTCTCCAATGGTACTAAGAATATACGGAACTTGCTCAAGCGCTACAATCTTACAATACATAATCTAAATCGTATCTAATGTATTGATTTTTTGGATCGTTACTGATTCTGGGATAGCCAGTAACTAAAGCATCTTGTCCGCCAATGTACAAGGAGTTATAAATTTTCCAGTAAACGTCCCTTACTTTACGTGCTGGATGGAACAAACCCTAAAACATTATAGTTCAAATTAAAATATTTCCCATTTTCCTATTACATACCTGTAGCGTGTACTGCAATATTGTGATGGGACCGAGGGCAACTCGCATACCTTCTATAGCATCCATAAACGCTTGCACTAAATGTGGTGATGTTTCAAATATATTCGGCCATACATAATTCAACAAATGAACGAGTGCATCCTCACAACCAAACCCATATACACCCAATGCCATGTGTTTTATGGCAGCACAAGCGGTCTGACGATGCACTAAATCACGGTCCATTAACGCGTCCTCTAATAAGGGGGCCACCGCGTAAATGTAATCTTTACCCATTTCACCAATATACTCAAATAAAAAGGAAAGTGACTTCAGTACGCCATTTTGCACATTCAATTCTGGAACTCTATACTCATTCATTAAAGCGGGTAAAACAGTGAAGGGGGAACATGTTTCTGCTACAATCGCAATAGCAACTGTTGTGCACACTCGATTTTGACGTTCTTGGACTTTCAAATTGTTTAAAAGTGTTGCCAAAACGTCATGTGGACCTATAGCTTTAGCTATATATCCGAAAGTGTTTACAGTGGCGCGTCGAATTGCTTTCTTATGTGCTTTTAGTAACTCCAACAGTTCAAAACAAATCCTCATCCATTCTCTCGCAGATACGTATTCGGGACCACGGTCAGCTATACGCCCAACTAAGTCTATACAATTTTCTTGCACCTTCTCGTGACGATTTTTCAAAATTGGTGTAAGACGTGGAAGCAAATCTTTGATTGGTGGAGTCATCTTTGTCATACCGATCACGTTAACGATAGCCTTAAGCGCGCCCAATATTGATCCCAAAACTTCCGGATATTCTTCGCCGAGATATTCATACAAGACAACTCCCAAGTGACCCATCAATTTCTCTTCCTGACAAGTTTTCATGACGACGGCGATGCGCGAAATTAAATCGGCGGCTTGCTGGCGTACTTTTGCAGATTTGTTGTTCAACCTCCATAAAATCGTACCACAAATTTGAGGTAGGTACGGTTTAACTCGCTTCGCCAGTTGATTTACTATCGTTCCGAATCCATTCAACATAACGACGTCTTCGGTTGTTTGCTCCTGGAATGCGTATAAAATGCCGTCAATCAATTGTTCCTCTAATCGTGAATCGATATCCGCCGCTCCTAAATTGCCCATAATTTTCTCAATACTTTCCATAACCATTTTACGATACTGTTCATTTTCGTCTTTCAAATCGTCGACAATCCTATTTATAATTTCAGACGCGCCCACTTTGTTCGCTATTTCAACTGTTGTATCGACCAACTGCCTGTAATTACGTCTGTCTAATGCCATACGATGATTCCAAAAGTGCTTGAAGAATTGAGGTAAAATCTCTTCTTTAATGTATTGCGCTTCGACACCATCAGTCGAACAACACTGTTTCACGACCTTGAGTACAATTTTTTTCATTTCTTCGTCGGGCGATTGAAACTCGCGAATTAAAATTAGCATCACTTCTCGCGTGTAATAGTTTGCATATTCTGCGTCCATCAACGGTATTAGGTAGCCGATGGCCTTGAGGAAGGCGGCGAGACCTTTACCACGATGAGTACGAATACCTTTCCACAATGGTTTCAAGACAGAGTCAAAACTTTCAATGCCGTATGGTGTCGCCGCTTCTGCCAACGCTGCAATTCCCAAGGCTGTTATGGTACGTACCTACGGAAAAATGTCATTAAGCTTTTTTTTGACTAGGTAATTAATCATAAAGCTTTATGACTACCCTCTAAATTTTAAAAATCCCTTTGCTAGGGTAAGGTATGCTTAACATTACCAGAAAAACAGACCACATCACTAAAAAGTTTTCAAAGGGAGAATTTCGATATAGCCAATTACTTTAGGGAGTTCCTTATCTGAAACTCAATCTCCTCATTGCGGGCCAGTTGTACCAAGGTTCTTTTTGTAATCAGGATGTTATCACTTTAAAAAAACATCTAATGCGCATGCCCTTGGTTAAGAGAATTGCACAAAAAGTAATTATGTAATGTACGTTTTTTCAAAAAACAAAAAATTACTTTAAATCAGCGGATATCGACGTGCTTTGCTTCGTACCTAGGTTCCTACTATAATTTTCTATAATTGTGTAGCGAATATTCCAGAAATCCCGATAGACATCGAGGCGTCATGAAACATGAGTCATCGGCAATAAAGAACGAAGGCGGATATGGCGTATTCTTTTCGAGAATTGTGACGTGCGTATTCGAGAACATTCTGAAGCGTTTTTGAACACTCCAGAAACCACAGAAGCTAAATTCGAAGCGGGTCATCAATGGAAGCTAAAATAGGCGCAGACCAGTAAGAAATAAGAGATATGATTCAAGATGAGGTTCATGACTTCCAAAATGAGATACAGAGTGTCCAAGATAAAAATCATATGGTAGAAAATGATACTACAGCTAAATACGATGAACTACGAAAAGAATTTATGTTATTGACCGAAGATCTACTTGCTGTTTCACAATCGTCCCACAAAGAAAACAACCAACATTCTATGGAAAATCACTGCAGTCCACCTACTGGAGACAGTTCGAGGCCGCTCCTGATATGTACAAATAAGTGGATAGTAGAAGAGAAGTTACGTTACATGGAGATGCGTATGATTTCAGAACACCCGCAAAAGGTTCTTGAGCAAATTGTATCCCGGTTGGAAGCTCGATATGGAGGCATGTGTATTATTACGCCCAATTAAAGAATCGAAGGCAAAAATCAAGTGTGTATGAACAATAAAAGACTGAAGCAATCGAAAAGTGAGCCACAAATGTGAGCAGTGAAGAATCTGACTGCAATGAAAGCAGAGATTAGTGTGGCAGATGATGACAGAAAATAATCCTCTATGTTTATAATGCAACAGTTTCGTCTCCTGTTCCGGCTCTAAATCATTATTAATGCGTCTGTATTGTGTATCAACTACATAGGGGTGTCGTTCCTCTAGGGTGAAACACTGCCGAAGATAAGAGTGAGCCACCTTGTAGAGTAGAAATAAAGCCCCATTCAGATAGGTGGTAGTGCAGTGCTGTTGCGGTGCGGTGCCTTTGTATAAAAGTTTGAAATACGCATACCCATATGACAATTCACAATGACATGTGCAGTGCAGACGAATTGCAGCCGCGTGGCGAAAGTATGTAAACTTCAAACTTTCTGCACTGCACCGCACACTACGGTAGCAAGCACCAATAGGAACGCATCATATTTGTCATGGCAATCTGTCACAGCTAATTACATAAGCTCTTCATAGTGTTTGCGCGGGTTGTGCATTTAATTTAATTGTTTGATTGGATTTTGACGATTTGCTGCTGCTATTGTTGTTTGTTGTTCATAATTTTGTAGAATAAAATAATCCGCACGCGCACCGATTTTGCGGTGATTGTGAATGCAAATGTCAAAATGACAGCACCGACCCACACCCGCACCGCACACCAAGACAACGGCACCGCACTACCACCTATCTGAATGGGGCTTTAGTGTTGTTAACATAATTTCGGTCGGAATATTGGAAATATTAGTTGGAACATCTTGTATATAGCGTAATTCAAGTTACTTCATAAGACCTGGAAATTTTTTTAAATTTCAAATTAGAATTCATTCATACTATTATGTTTCACATTCTTTACTTTAATTTTGTTGTATGAAGATATTTCAATTGTAAACTACATTTGTGAAATTACGTTACATTTATTCTTGTACATTGCAGTCTTGTATCTACAACTCGTTTTCAAACCAAAATTTTGTTTTTTCGTCTTAACGTCATTTGAATTAATTGGTTCTTGTTGAGTGCTAATTACAACTTTAGTATTCGAGTTACCCTAGTGCATGACACATTACTTTGGTCTCGCATATTTTGTTTACTCCATCAACTGTTTGTATTTCTTTACCACTGGCGTACATCCATTGTACTTTTGTATAATATTATTATGAACAGAAAACATATGTACAGGGTGGCCAAATAAGAATGCGAGGTACTGTATCTGGGAACCTGTCCATCGTAGAGGCTTGCGGTAAAAAAATTTATTACTAAAACGGCCACGAGCAAAACCTGGAAAATATTTTTAAGTTTCTGAAATGACCGCTAGGGGGCGTAACTGCAATCTGGAATCTAAAAAAGTGATGTTTCTGTGAATTCCGCTATATTAACCTAACAAAAAAATTTCCGGTTTTTGAAGTCGACGATAATCTGAACAATTTTTGTTTGACAATTTTTCCTGCATCTCTAAAAATGAAGTGGTGGGGGGTATTCAAAGGTTTCCGTAAAGAACACCCTGTATCTTCGAAACGGCTGATCCGATTTTAACAAACTTGGGTTAATTGAAAAGATTTATTCTTCGGCTACAAATATTATAATATTTGAAGTTTTGTTAGTTTCACATATCGCCGCTTGAGGGCTTTTTTCGACATTCCGACAGAAATGGTTAATTTTCTCAAAAAAATTAAATGCGTTGGTTTCATTTTGTTTTCATGAAAAAGTAGCTAAATGATGCCTAAACAAGCTCGCGAAAACCGCATCTCAATATCTTGTTCCTAACGTAAAATTCAGGTCAAAATTTTATACCCTCAAAATTTTATTTTTTAAGCTAATTTTTTCAGAATTATTTTTATTATATAATTTGGGCCCTAAGGTGGATCGATTTAAAAAAGGAAGCTTTTAATGCCGCTGTGAATGCTCGAAATGCTGGCCATCACGATATATATATATCAAGATATCGAGATGCTGTTTTCGCGAGCTTGTCTAGGCATCATTTAGCTACTTTTTCATGAAAAAAAATCGAACCAATGCATTTAATTTTTTTTAGAAAATTAATTATTTCTGTCGGAATGTTGAAAAAAGCCCTCAAGCGGTGATATGTGAAACTAACAAAACTTCAAATAGTATAATATTTGTAGCTCAAGAGTAGCTCTTTTGAACTACCCCGAGTTTGTTTAAATCGGCTCAGCCGTTTCGAAGATACAGGGTGGTCTTTACGGAAACCTTTGAATACCCCCCACCACTTCACTTTTAGAGATACAGGAAAAATTGTCAAACAAAAATTGTTCAGATTATCGTGTATCCCTCCTCTCTTTCCTTCTCGAACGTTGAACCGCTATTTGCAATTATGCGGCTTAACCACAAAATTCGATTAACCACGGTATACGCACCAGACAATTCCGTGGATAATAGGGAGTTTACTGTATATATAGCAGTATGAATGATTCCAGTCCACGATTTTCAGTGTCTTTAAGGCACATTTTTCAGAACAAGATTTCTAGATGGCCTTTTCTATTAATTTAAATATTCAGTAACGATTGTTTTGAACAATATTTCTGACCGTAAAAAACATGAGACTTTTCCATTACATTTATGATGCAAACCCATGGAAATTCCATTAAATGTTAATGAGAAATGTAAATTCTTTGGCGTAATAAACTTTACTACTAGGGGGAAACAAGTACCATTTTTTGTGTACACCAAAAATTCAAATTCAAATTAATTCACGTTAAATCAAATTAATTCACGTTAATTCAAATTAATGCACGTTAATTGAATTTAATTCACGTTAATTCAAATTAATTCACGTTAATTCAAATTAATTCACGTTAATTCAAAATTAATTCACGTTAATTCAAATTAATTTACGTTAATTCAAATTAATTCACGTTAATTCAAATTAATTCACGTTAATTCAAATTAATTCACGTTAATTCTAATGGGTGTACACCAAATATTTCAAAGTTGTTTCCCCTAGCTTTACTATAGCGCGTTCGCACCTCTAGATGCAGTATGGAGCTTATGGACATAAAGTACATGCTTGTCAAACTTATTAATAAACGTGACAATGACAGCACAAGGATATTATGTTGTTTTAATACTTCAATTCATAGTCAGTTTGGCATCATTGCGGTGAGGAACAAGGATAGCGCTATTGAAGAATAACGGAAATTAGTCATTTAGTCCATAAGACCCCATACTGCATCTGGGGGTGCGAACGCAGTATAGTATGGGACAACATTAAAGTGGTGGTACTGTGCAAGGTTATTTTTTTTAGATTATTCTAATTTTTAGAGAGAAAAGAGGGCAGTCTGTATATATTTAATCACTTACCTTTTGCTGTTCATCGACCAATCCATGCTCAATAATTTCAACAAGCGATTTTAAGTGGGGTAAAATGGCACACCCCATTAAAATTGCAATTTGTTGTACAATTTTGATACCGGTGTGTCTGGCTTGCCATGATTTCTTCGAACGACAGACTGCTTTTAAAAAGGGCAGAAGAGATGGTATACCTAAAGCGGAGGCGACAACTGCGAATGCACGAGCGGTCGTGTTACGAACGTACTCGTCAATATTGTCAATGTCAGGTCTCATAGTGGAAATCATAGTAGCCAACCCGGCCGCTTTGGCGAGATTTGAAATAATTTCTCGTCCTTCAACGCGAGCATAGTAATCTTCGTCAATGAGCAGTGGTTCAATTACGACAAGAATTTTGTGGACGTACGGTCGCACAAGATCGTCCAGCTTGTACAAAATTCTGTCAATAACTTTGACCAAAAGATGGCGTTCTTGATCTTCGAGTGTGGGACTCATCAACAGCGGCAAAATTTGATTGAATAGTGGACCTGCGCCGAACTCTCTCGCTTTGTCTGTGATCTGACGCAAGGCCGCCTTTCTCATGGGCGGTGTACCATTTTTGATTTTTAGCAAAAGCTTCATAATTTTGCGTTCCTTCTGATCCTCTGGGCTTAGTGCGTCTTCGTCCACATCGACTAGAAGTTTATCGAAATACTGCGCATCTTCTGGTTTCATGAATGGTAGATTTTGACCTTTTGGCTGATTATCGAGATACTTTGCAGTTTTATCTTCTTGCTGAATGAAGAAGCCTTGAGGTGTATTGCCCGCAACGGGAGTTGGAGTAGCCGTTAATTTACGTGCCGGAGTTCTGATTGGAACATACCCAGCAGGAGGTGCTAGGATTTTGTAGCCTGGTGGAAACATTGCATCTAGTTCTTCGTCACTGTAAGGTCTATTCCGCTCATCAATTTCACGTTCCCATCTATACGCCTGTAATTGTTCTGGAGTCATTGTAGCCAAGTGTCCTGGAGTCGGGGTGGACATGGCCATAGCTTTCACTCCGACAGGCGTAGATCCACCGGGAGTCAACATTGGAGTTGTGTGGCTAGGAGTACCGTGAGGTGTCTGAGGAGTCATACCGCCCGGTGTCATGGCCGATGACGGAGTTAACTGAGCAGAAGGGGTTTCATCCCAACGTGATCTACACAGGGAATAATAAATTCAATTTAAATAATACGTCATTCTTACATACCTTCTTTTTGAAGCTCCGGGAGTCGGAGTTTCTTGAATGAGGTCTGCCCCAGTACGATCAGTACGAGGAGTTTCTGCCCACCCACTTGAATGGCCTGGCGTTTCACGCTCTGTTTTTGGCGTCTCATCCCATCGATTTCTTCTACTGGTACTTCTATCATGACCTGGAGTTTCTCGACCGGGAGTTGCGGCGCCTGGCGTTGCATGACTAGGTGTCGCATCCCACATTCGTGTAGACTGACCTGGAGTAGCACCAGGGGTTTCACTTCCTTTGTGACCTGGCGTTTCATCCCAGCGATGATCTGCTGGGGTTTTCTAAACAGAGCAAAGTTAATTATACTACGAAAAAAAATGTACAAACCACTTACATCATTATCCCATATGGGAGTAGCGGCTGCACTGCTGGATACACCAAGCGTCTTCTTTTTGCTAGGTACTGGACTTTCCTCCACAGTTTGATCCCAACGGCCACGCTTCTTAGATGATGATTTGGCTTCCCCATTTGTTGCAGCTTTTAGAGAACCGTCTTTTGATTTTTCTACCAACTTTTTCCTTAGCTGTGAATAAATTTAAAATCAAGAATTTGGTTAGTCAAATTAGACGATCCACGTTTATTCTAGTTGTAAAGTTGATGCAAATGCAATTGTAAACAAACAACTCAATTTTGTAGTGTTCCTCCCTGTGAATCTGTGTATGCAGTACTGAATTTTGTTGTATGCTTCTATTAAACGGAACTGTTAAAATTTCAAAGAAATCGCTCTACAAGTAAGAACGTTAGAGATGCGCGTGCGCAAACGAAAAGCGCAACAAAGCTACATTTGATTCCTTTTATTATATTTATCTGACAGTGTAAGAAACTTTAAAATGAGAGGTAAATCACGTCCATATGGAAAAGATAATAAGAAATCATGATAATAATAATAATAATAATAATAATAATAATAATAATTTCATATTTCATATTTGTTAAACACTACTAACTTTGGGTACAATATTAAACACAACCACGAAATACATCACAACATTACACACCTGTTTTACATGGACGATCTTAAATTATACTCTTCCACATGCATAAAACTTAATCACCTTCTGCACATCACCGAAACATTCTCACGTGACATACAAATGGACTTTGGAATCGATAAATGTAAAACACAACACATCACAGCTGGTAAAAGACAACTTTTAGATTATGAGCTAGAACAGGGTAATTTAATAAATTCCATGGACGAGAATGAAACTTATAAGTATCTTGGTTTTCAGCAAAACACACACATTAAACATACGAGTATAAAACAAACACTTATCACACAATACCTACAAAGAGTACGCAGTATACTTAAAACTAAATTACACGGTAGAAATACAATCAAAGCGATTAACACTTATGCCACACCAGTGCTTACATACTCTTTTGGGATTATACGTTGGACAAATACAGACTTAGAACAAATACAGAGAAACACACGTACACTATTAACAAAACACCATATACATCACCCTCACTCCTCTACTATACGACTTTACCTTCCTCGTTCGGAAGGAGGTAGAGGACTTACAGATATAAAACTATTGCACCAAACACAAATACACAATTTGCGACAATACTTTTATAACAAAACAGATACTTCAGTCCTACACAAAACAGTAACATATGCAGACAAATCTTACACACCACTTAACCTACACGAAACTAATATACTCCCACCTCCATCCAAACTTACATACATCACAAATAACATACAGACATGGAACCAAAAGCCGTTACATGGACGATTTCCACAAGAGGTTAGTCAGGATTGTGTTGATTCTATAGCAACGCACACTTGGTTGTCTGAATGTGATATCTTCCCGGAGACTGAGGGTTTCATGTTAGCAATACAAGACCAGGTCATTAATACACGCAACTATAAAAAACACATACATAAAGACAAAACAGTGACAAACGATTCTTGTCGACTCTGTTCACAAACATCAGAAACAATCCAACATATAATATCGGCATGCACACGACTTGCACAAACTGAATACAAACATCGACACGATCAGGTAGCTAAAATCATACATCAAAAATTAGCTCTTAAACACAATCTCATAACAGATAAGACACCATATTACAAATACACGCCACAGATCATACTTAAAAACAACACACACAAATTATATTGGGACAGGACACTACTCACAGACAAAACTATCCACAATAATAGACCAGATATTACACTTATAGATAAAATGCAAAAATCCATTTGTATTATAGACATTGCCATACCCAACACTAGCAACTTAACTAAAACACATGCAGAAAAACACCGCAAATACACCGATATAGCTATCGAGCTTAAGACGCAATGGAGAATGAAATCTACTGTTCCCATTATTCTTAGTGCTACCGGAGTTATACCAAAGACAATACACCACAATTTACAACTATTAGGTTTAGACAAAAACACATACAAAAATTTACAAAAAGCAGTCATTATCAACACATGCCATATTGTTCGTAAATTTCTAAACATAACACAAGATACGACATACACAAATGATCCACAACGTATACATGTAAACAACAGCACTCGCTCACAACACGGTACACAACATACTGTAATATCTCCACGTCTAACCCAAACAAACACACAAATACAACTTACCGAACAAACAAGTACAACAAATGATACAACATATACTACAATCAGAGATTCACCGCTGAAGCAAACCACATTATCACAACCCATTAGTATTCAACTCAAACGCAAAAGCCTAAACAGCACTTTAGACATGACACACAACATACTGTAATATCTCCACCCTTAACTCAACCAACTACACAAACACAAATTCCTGAACAAACAAACGCAATAAATACAAGTAACGCAACACGCACTACAAAGACAGGTCCACCCAATAAAGTTACACGTCCTACCACAGTTAAAAAACACAAAACTCCTTCTTCTCAGAAACAAACCACTCGTATTCAACCGAAGCGCAAAAATCTAAACAGCACTACTCGCTCACAAAATACTGTAATATCTCCACAAAAAACCCAAGCACCCTCACAAATACAACCTCAAGAACAAGGAAACACCATAAATACAAGTAACGCAACTTGCACTACAAAGACAGGTCCACCCAATAAAGTTACACGTCCTAGCACAGTTAAAAAACACAAAACTCTTTCTTCACAGAAACACACCACGTTATCACAACCCACTCGTATTCAACCCAAACGCAAAGCCAAAGAAACACTTACACAATAAACTCCATTTAATAAAATTACAGGAATTATTATAATGATTTTGTTTTGTTTTGTTTTGTTTTCCTCTTTCCTCAATAGCTATGTTGGTAAGTATGAATTACATACTATCTCTAGCTTTCCAATGTGAGTGTGTGAATTTTTAATTAATTTTTTTTTTTTTTTAAGGACCCTACATAACTTCACCAGACACAGACACAGACACTAATCGTTACTTGATTTTAATCCGTGCGATTAGTTAACCAGGCTAGACCTGAGTTCTCACAAGATACACTGACCATAATAATCATTTAATGTCCTACAGAAATACATTCCAATTACAGGACATATACACGTTAATTACCTGGTAAGTGCACACAAAGTAAATTAAATCAAATAAATTTCTGAACTAAAGATAACTAAAAATAATAACAATGCGTTTTAGAAAACATACCTTAAATTAGCACATGAACAAGGGAAAAAGAAACTAAAGATTGTGGATGATGAAAAAGGGTAGAATTATTTAAGCTAACTTTGACATATTTTTGAGAGAATCAAGTATTGACATCTTTACTCAATCGGTACCAAATTTTTGGCGATGAAGGGTAGAGGAGTCTGCCGAGTAAATCGACCTCAATTTCTTGTCACTCACTTTCCTAATTTTTATAAAAAATAGAATAAAATTCAGACTACAGCTAACCGTATGTCTCACAGATATCTGGTTTTGACATTTTTACTCAGCATTCTCGATTATCTCAAAAATATGTCAATGTACGTTCCTTAATTATACATAATATGTCATGAAAGTGAGTCTACCTGACTTGGAGGCATTAAAGAGATACTCGGACGCTACGCGTCCTCGTACTTTTCAATAAGCCTCCGCGTCATGTAAACGACCACTTTCATGACTTATTATGTAAATAACTATTACCATTTTTAGCGCCTTTTTTTACAAAGACATTTTTTTCCGTCCGTCCGGACCCACTTCTGCGGTGTTGAACTACTTTTAGGGGAATTGTCTTACAAATTTTAGCAATAGGTAGCCTATACCTTGAAGGTGTGCCAGATAGCCATCAAATTCTATTGCCTCAAGCAGCTTTCATAAGCTATTTTTCCATTGCCCAATTTTTGGGTGATTCTACACTGATGGACTGCGTCCCCAAGTCATGTATTAGATAACCCAGGATATTTGTAGGTTTAGCCGTTTGGGGCATTAAAAAACATTTCTTTTTCACTTGAATCTTTTTCGAATATCATCCCTGGTGCGTACAATTTTTATAGGGATGTTTATTACACTATTTTCTTTATAATGATTATTGAATAATCTGCTATTTTCAAAATAAGTTCACAGGGTAATAAAAATCGGATATTTTGTTTAAATAGAGCACTCTGTATAATTTAACCTAAAAAAAGCATGTTAAGTTCTCCTTTCAAAAATGTACCACAGCAGGAATGGTATTCAAGAGTTTAAAAAAATCAAAAACAACACTTTTCTTGAATCTTTTCGAATGAATATTGAATTTCTTTAGCGTTAAAAAGTATACAGGGTGTTATATTTAAAAAGAAATTAGGTTAGGTCCCAGTATCTCTTAAGCGACCAAATATTTCATTATGAATTGCTTTAGAGTTATATTGTAAAAAAGACAATTTAATATGTTGTTCTTTAAAATTAAAGTATACAGGGTGTTCTATTTAAATAAGGTCCGATAACCTTTTTATCTGAGCCTCTGTACTAGTACTAATAAAATAGGTTCATTCTAGAATTGGCAATTTTTTAATTTTCCCCCGTATCTCTTTGGATTATATTTTTAAGAAGAGAATTTAATGTGCTATTTTTTTTTAAATTAAAGTATACATGGTGTTCTATAAAAAAAATTAGCTTAGGTTCGATAACCTTCTTACCTAACTTTGTATACTTGTTTTTAAAACTGCACTATTGAACAATAATTATAGAGACATTTAATTGTAATAAATATGTGTCTCTTTAAACTAAGAAAACGGAAAATTAGTCATTATAACGTAACTTTTGTAATAAACACCTCTCTAAAAATAGCATATTATATTCTCTTTTCAAAAACTTAACACACCAGAGTTGATGTTAAATAAGATTCAAGTGATTCAAAAAAATAAAGAAAAATTCAAAAAATTAAAAAGTATACAGTGTTCTATTTTATCTATTTGAAAAAAATTAAGCTAGGTTGATAACCTAAACGAGAAATTATTACTGACCTGTATGTTGATTGATAATTGAAAGCATTCTTCCCCCCTCCGCCACCTCAAAATGTTGATCCAACATTCTTGTACAATGAAAAATTTTAAGATGGTCATGATTAGTGATAGAACGATATCACTTTTTTTTGCCGATACGATATATCGGCCGATACCGATATTTACGTGCCGATATATCGTATCGTATCGGCAAACAATAGATGGCGTTACTATTTAGACACGGTCAAGCAAAAACTTTTGAGATCATTGCCTCTACTTCAGCTTCCGAAACCAGTACTACAAAAAAGCAAGGTTGGGAAAATGAAATAATATTATATTTGGCATCTTCAACTCTATTAAAAGATAAATCCCCTTTTGAGTGGTGGAAGGCAGAAAAAAACAAATTACCTATTCTGTACAACGCAGCTTCAGTCTACCTTTCAGCACCCGCTGCCAGTGTGTCAAGTGAACAACTTTTTAGTGAATTGGGTAATATTTACGAGCCTAAAAGAAATAGACTAAATGCAGATAGGGCTGAAATGTTAGTGTTTTTGCATCATAATATCAAAAAGTTAAATTTTAAGTATTAAGTATATGTATGTATATACTGTATTTAGAACCTGCTATATTAGGTATATTTTTTGTTGTTTTTTTTTAACTTTTTTAGTAAAAATGTTAACTTTAGAATAAAACATTTTATTTTCTTTAATAAAGTATTTCATTTATGCACTGAAGAGTTAAAACAGCTAAAAAAATTGTTTGCCGATATACCGGCGCAATTACCTTGCCGATACGATACGATACCGATAATCGGCAACAATTGCCGATATGCCGATATACCGATATCAATATCGGTATCGTTCTACCACTAGTCATGATCTCAACCTTCCAACTATACTGCCCACCATAAGTATCAGCAAACCCAGTGTACTTTAAGCAATTTTGATGGCATTTTCAGGACATTTGTATTTATTTAGATATCACTGTTTGTTCGCAATCAGCTATTCGCCTGGAGGTTGTAAAGCCGACCCATCATACCCTACACGTGTTCAATTCTTGATCGATCCGGCGAACGAGAAGGCTATGGAAGCATTATTATTATTATTAGCGTTACTTTAATTTGTATCGTGTTGAAATTTTCATCACTTCTTATTTCGGAATAAATACAGCTGTTCATCAAAATTGATCAAAATATACTGGGTGTTCAGGTACTTATGGTTTTTTCTAGAATGTCTACTAGCTACTACAAATCAAACTTATTGTTTACTAAAGAACAAACATAATCACAAAATTTAATAATAATCTGTAATCTTTGTCTGGCAATTATGAACAGGAAAAATGAAAATATAACATGATAATACTGCCATCTTTGATGTAGTGACTGAACCACGAAACAGTACAGACTCGTATAATTTTACAATGTATTCGGCGTGGATGTGTGTCTCCACTTCATTGCATTTTCTATCTCGTAATTGAAACAATTTTGTAAAATGGTGCAAAATCATAACAAATTATATCAGTCCAACACTGAACCTTCTAGACAAACAACATTCCAATTCCAGTGATCTTCAGGTCCAAAAAGCCAAGTGGATATTTGTAAAATAAAAATTTTAAAAGGAATGCATGTATGTATTGTATGGGTGGCACTCCCTAGGTACAGATCGAGGTACAGATGTTTTCAAGTCTCCTCCAACAGCCATCTGTGTGACCTAACGACAGTCGTGGTATGACTGCCGGGACCGCCACCTTTACATGCCCTCCGAAGCAAAGTAGTCAGTAGATGTTCTGTACTAAAAACTGGCAAGTTGTGGCATTCGAACTCACTACCTGTGAGGTGAGAGTCCGAGTCTTAAACCGTTATGCCAAACAGACTACTTTAAAAGGAATTTAAATCTAGTTTTTGGTAACATTTTGGAGTTATTTTCAGTGACGAATAACCAAGTGGCACTGTCATTTATTTTGACAGGTGCCCTGAAATGTTGCGTGATATTTTTGTTCTTTTGTGTGTGTCACATTGAGCATCCAGGTGAGTTACACATTAGTATTTTACACTCCTCAGATAGACAACAATCATATAAAAACAAACAAAAATTATTTCATCTATGTAAAGGTTGCAACTGAACAAGTGTTCCTGTGCTCTTAGCAAGAGACAAAACATAAAAGTGTAACTACACATTCAATAAGAATTTTGTGTTAGGTTGGAATATAAAAACCTTTTTGAAATTAACACATATCTACAAACCAATTTAAATGATCACATAGTACCATCATTTAACATAATGGAGTAGTGCTTAGCAGATACTTAACATAGGTGGGTGCATTTACTTATATCTATTCATTTTCTTTTGCACTTTTGCCATCTACATTCGCATTTTCTAATTGCTCAGTTAACAACGACAGTTTACTATTACAATAATTTAAAAACAATTCATTTTAAAGATTTTTAAAGGAGAGATTACTGATTTAGTATGATGGTGCGCATACGTAAGCGGACGTTTTCTTTGATGGTGCTAGTTCTACATAAAATCACGCATAAAGCTAGATTTCTTACATAGGAGGCGATTTCTTAAAATTTTAACAGTAGATCCTGTTTGAAGCAAATAGAATGATCCTGTCAAAATATAAACGCAACATGCACAGGACGAAAGTGAAACTTTGTTCAACTTTAGTTTAAATATACTTACATTAAGGAATTTGTAAGTTATATTAAGACTAAAACTAATACACACTTAGTAGCGAAGAAGAAAGGTAAATAAAAAATGAAATATAAACGAAAGTGGTAACGAAAAAATATGTTTACGAAATTGAAATCATTAAATGAGGAAGAAGAAATAATAATAAAGTAATTCAGATAACGATAATTGGAAATAACAAAAGTTTAGATCCAAATAAGTTATATACTAACTTTTACAGCAAAACATTGATCCACATTAACTGGCATTTGCACATTTTGTATTCCACAAAAAAATAGAACCTACCTCAGTTTCTTCTCCTTTGAGTATCTGCTCCTTCATAATCTGTGTGTAGCCCCTTGCATTGAAATCGGGAGTTTTGCCACCTGAAATCGCGACGCATTATAACTTGTATAAATAAGAACGCAGAAGAACAGAGTAATCGCCTAATAATTAGAAACATGATCCAATTAAAGGATACGATGCTGCTCTTCAACGTTTGGATTTTATTACCACAATGCAAATTACTTGAAAGCCATATTTGCTCCTATTTTACAGAAAAGAGAATTACAGTAGGTATATTTTCAATCAAGCAAATATGACAAACAAGTAAAATACGTACGTGCCAAGAAAATCGCCTTTGTTTAACACTGGGAAGTTTCTTGATATAAAACACATCTTAGCGGACCTAGAAATATGCTGGGGTGATTAATAATTTTCTGAAAAACGCATACATTCATTCGCTCTATATTGTGTTTTACCACTACACCATTTTGGTGATCCGATACTTAAGTGTATGAATGGACGACTTTTCTTTTGCAGCTAACCTGTCGATTTGTAGAATCCAGTAGAGAACAAAATTATCATTAGTTTACCAGTTATCACTTTTTCTTTTCTAACTTAAGTTTTGCACTTTAGTTCTTTAACGGTAAATAACTACGCATTTATTCGCACATTCGACATCATACGTACACCCCATATTAAAAGGCAATCCAATAAGAGCTTTCTATATCAATTACATGCTCTTTGAACATTTTGATGGTGTGAATGTGACCCCAGTCTTCAACTCAAAATTTTGATAGAGCTTAGGCCCAACTACAACTTAAGGGAGAAGAGCTTCGAGCACTCCGTGAAAAGAAATAGCTGCAAGAATACAAGGAGCTCAGAGATTATCCTAATTGAAACTTGGAAGATGCAATTAGACAAATTTGTAAACAATTTTGGAGTAGGTACAGAAGAAGATAATTCCAGTTTGAGTATTATATGGTTTGAAGAACTGTTAAATGATACCACTTTCATATTATGTTGATGGGTGATTAATATCTCCAAGAAAAACAAGCCGCAAGGAATAGTAGTCCAATGCTTCTGCAAGAAACCGATTCTAAATTCCTGATTGGGACTTCCAAATATACAAATACACAAAAACTCCTCAGCAATGTGGCCATTAACTACTAAATAGATTACAACACTGTTAGAAATTCCAAAAAAAAATCGCATTTTCTGAGAAAATATCAAGATACCTATCTTGAAGATCAACCTATTAATAAGACACAAAAGTAACAAACAACATGACTTTTTTTACGTCTCATTGTACATCAACTATTTGGAAACGAAAGGTCTTATTGGATTACCCATGACAAACAAGATATTCCTAAGAAACTTAGGCTGCCATTTACCTACTAACTATATGAAAGTATAAATGGCAATCTAAACAAAATGTTTTGACTAATAATGAGAATGAGATAAACATTTAAAAGACGACGATACTCACCATCAGCAAAAGGATCGACGCGTTCCGGAGATATGATCATACGTCTTCGCTTTTGTCTATACTCATCTTCCCTATCTGCGATAGTAGGACGGCGATGCTCTGCGAGTGGATCAAAGTCTTTATCAACCTACAAATACCACATTAAAATTGTATTTGCTAATGCACAAAATACTTACGGCTGCAAGGTCACTGTAGAAAGCGACATTCGCTCCAAATCCCGACGATCTTTTTTGTGCAAAACCAACATCCTCCTCCTCGTCGTCGACTTCATCGTTAGCGGCGATCGATGTGACGTAACCTTCGTATTTACCTTTTCCGGCACCGGTGTCATATATTTCGCTATCAAAGTAACCGCTTTCGCCTAAACCTACACCCTTGTCACCTTCTATGATAATCTCCTTCTTTTTTGATTGAATGTCGCGAATTTGCGCCTCAATATCTACACATACGCTAATGAAGGTGTATGAAAGACCAGGTGGATACTTACCCTCGTGGGTTTTTGCAATACCCTCCATCTTTTGCTCTTTATCTAATTATCCTGTTTTGTTGTTAATTCTTATTCAATTCAGAAACGATATTGCAAAATAAAATGTAAGTAAAATGGCCGTCAACAACAAATCGTTCTTCAATTTCAATCTCTAATTATTTTGACAGCCGTTAGTGTCACAGTCGGTCACTCGTCAGTGGTTAAGTTAACGCTATGTTTTTCGTGATCATGATTTGAAGATTGTGAACGCGCGAATTTAAATCAAGTACACATTTGCATTCGAATTACGTATTTTTTCTTCGGATTATAAAAATAATTGTACGATTATGCTCCTCTGCAGTTACAAATATTGACTAATAACAATTGTCAATTGAGCAAACATATCCTTGCATTTATAGGTTAGGAATTCGTGATCATAAAACTTTTATGTTCAGTTTGTTCACTATTTTAGCAATCGTGATCATAAGATCACACTTCGACAGAACGTGATTTGACAATCCGGATCACCGAAAGAAAGCGCCAGTCACTGTATATAAACATAATATAAGTATAATAATATGAATATTTAGTTCTATTTCACACAAGCATTGATTATACACACATGTGTGTATAATCAATGACACAAGTATACCTGTATAAGTAATGCTCCTTCAGGTCTACGAGTATAACATTTGAATGATTTGTATGAACTATGAAAAATTTAATGTCTTAACCTCTGTTCAAAGATCAACCATAAAATTGCAATTTGCTGAAATACGATTAAACAACAACTATATCGCAGAAGTCAGAATGAGGTAACTAACATGTTATTATTCACGGAATACTCATTTCTTCTCTGTGTTAAATAATATTCCTATTCTTCATTTTATTTAATTTCTCTAAGGCTCTTCGGATACTGAACTACACAGGTATTTATCACATTTTAGAATTTAAATACTGCATTCGTAGTGACGTGAACTGTTTTATTAGGGTTCCTTTATTACCTTTCGACTTTTATCACCGATAAAACCATGGCGTTGAGGCAGCTAACTGAAGCAGATTGTGGTCAAAGTAACGCAATTGTCCAACTTACATCGCATTTGACACAGGATCATGGATTGAGGGAAAATTATAGACAAAATGTGTTTCCCAGTAGCTCTGATCAACTTGTCGAACAGTTCCTTGCGGAAACGAGGGCTGCTCCACAATCTTTTCGAATGGATGGTATTACACAGATTATTGGCGAAATGTGATGTACTATAATTTATCATTTAAGATTTGATGCGGGAAATGCACGAAATTGAATCTCAACGTGCCTCACTGCCGCCTGTACCTGCGGTCGCTATCAAAGATCACCTGCACGACAATAATTGGGCTCTGGAATATTCGAAGCAAAGCGATCATGGCCCTTTCGGGGTAATTACATTTAATGCTCAAGGCACTTTTTTTGCTAATTTCATGCAGCTTTTCTATCATGTTTATAGTATATTACCTTTTGAGGTTGGAAGTATTTTATTATAGCTAAGCGTGAGACTGTAAGGCAAACTTCCAGCGAGTATATTTACAATGTTAATCTAATTATAGCGATTGAAAAAACTTGATATTTACATCACTGACAAGATTAGCAAATTATTTTTTCAATGTTCATCTACTTGCTATATGAGTAGCTGACATGTGCAAATTTGGGATGTTGATTAATGTTACAGGTCCGATGGACCCCAATATAATATTTTCTTGAGTAGGCGGAGTAGTAGCTGAAAATGGCAAAAATTGCCTCATTTCTTAAAAATTTGGTATAGTAAATAATTAAATATTATTAGTATTACTTACGTCCATGAAGATTGTGTTTGGGTTTTGTTAAACTCTCATTTTTTACAACAAGTAGCAATAGACATTATTTTTGAGAAATGCTAAAGCAGATTTTGATAAAATTTTGAAAAAATTTAAAAAATGAGGCCACTTGGTGGGACACTTTTTTAGTGCATTTTTGCAAATTTATTTGTAAAAAGGTAGCTTTTAATCTCACTTTGGTCAGCTGGCTGGCTGCCAGAAAATGCGGGCCTGTAGAAAAACGCTTGTAGAAAGAGAAGGAGTGTACATGTACCTACTGGGGCCGTGTAATTAACAAGTTTAAGGACAGGGCTACATGACATGGAGTCGGCGACATCTGGACGCCATCCACGAGCGTGTTATACTAACATGGTGATTTTTCAGTTTTTTTCTACTACAGTTTTTATTCGATTGTTTTCAAATTGGTTTTGTCGGAAAGATCCACAACTATCCCTAAAACTGCAAATAAAATGTAACTCTTTGCAGCGCTAGAGTCATAGCTAGCGCCTCTTGGAGATCATCTAGCGCCATGATACATTTTACAAAAAAAAGCTCTTGACTGTCAGGGGTTAACGCTAGCACCACACTTGTATCCGATCACCACAAAAAGCGCCACAAATTTTAGACTCCTAAATATTATGGAGGCAATTTTCCCAAGCACCACCAGTTTTATTTCTTGAAGAAGATTAGCCGCGCAATTATGGATTTTTGAGTGTTTACTCAAACACAAGCGCAAACGGATATTATTTCTTATCTGTGATCCAATTCTTCTTAAATTTCAGTGGAAGGTGCTTCTTGTAAGCAAATCGCACTCGCGTGTCAAATGCACGGACAAATTTTCCATTTTCCAGGAAATTTGTTGGATATGTATTCTCGTACAAATAAGGCGTTATACGCGGTTGCACCATCCTGTTGAAACCAATAGTTTCCAATGTTGTTATTTTGTGTGCTATAGGTATATCATATTTGTAATAAAAAATGTGATGTACAGTGTGTACTTTTTTTGAGCGGCCATATAAAAAAATTAAGTTGGAGGGAGAGGGAAAAGAGATCTACCTAGCCATAAAAAAATAAATGAGAAACTTGAATTAAGGTGTTAGTTTGTGTCATATTTTCTTACTCTACCACCTCGTGTGAGTATATGAGTTCTATGAAGTTCGAGCATCACAGCGTGAGTTTCTGTCAAAAGCAGGGCATCAGCAAAAAACCATTTGTGAAAGAATGGTTTTTCGGGTATAGGTATGATGCCCCATCATATTATGTGGTAACATTTTGAGCTAAATCGTTCTGTGAGGACAGAAATCCATTGAAAACAGGAACAGGATGCTGACTTTTTGGCACAAATTGTGACTGGTGATAAAATTAATATTAATAAAAAAAACGTATATAGCTAGATTAACATTTGGTAGTAGGAAGCCTCTCCTTAGATTCTGCAAAGGATCAATATTTCAGGTTCTGCCAGTGACGTCAGTAGAGCACTTATTTATTTATTTTGCCTTTATTTTTAAGTGGACGGGGTGTCAGTCTAAGCTGCTCTACCAACCTAACCTGAAGTCCATTTAGGGACCCTCAGTACCGTTGTCAAACTGCTACTCCCTGTACCAAGCGAACTCGCCCACCTATTGGTGGTGCTAGTAAAAATTGCCCCCACACTACCCGTGTTTTTTAGCTTCCTAGCATGTGCTAGGTAGCTATTGCGATAGCCGTTTTTTGAACATTTCAAAATTTCATCAAATGTCGACGTTTTAGACCATTTTAAGCAACTTTTAAAGAATAAAATTTTTTTCCGTCTGTATGTACGTACGTACGTTTGTTGGCAATTTTCTGAGAAAACGGCTCGACGGATTTTGTTGAAATTTTGTATATATGTTTTAGGCATACCGAACAGAAAAATAACGGGCCGGATTTTTGAAAAAAATTTTGGAGCGCCGTAACGGCATCGAACTTTTTTTTCAAATAGCAACCTAAAATTTTTATTCTATTATTTGGAAGACCTTATTTTCCTGTGTACAACCTACAAAAAATTGGGCCGGGTTATATTATCAAAAAACGGAGAAAAAAATTGTCAAAGTCAAAAAATTGTGTTGCATATGTGCAAAACGCAACGATCTTGTTTCTGAAGCAATTTAAACGAAATTTCTATGGTAAGTCCCTTTAATAAAAGCAAACAAAATTCATGCGCAAAAATCGTGTTGCGCATGCGCAGAAATGCAATTTTCTTATTTATGGAACAATTAAAACGAAATTTGGATGGTAGGTCCTCCTAATAAAAGCAAACAAAATGCATGCGCAAAAATCGTGTTGCGCATGCGCAGAAATGCAACTTATTTATGGAACAATTTTAACGAAATTTAGATGGTAGGTCCTTTCATCAAATGTTGACGTTTTAGATTATTTTAAGCAACTTTTAAAGAATAAATTTTTCCCGTCTGTAAGTGCGTACATATGTTGGCAATTTTTGGTTTCAGCTAGGAAGCTATTCTGTCAAGAATTAGATACCTGGTTTTTAAATGTACCACCAAGTCCTGAATCAATCGTTCCTTGTTCGATTTCAGTAGTTTTAAGACAATGGGGAGAATTTTGAAAAATGAGGAATTTGATTACTAACTTAACTAAAAAAAATTTTTACTATATTATATTTATGAATTTAACAAAAGGTTACAACATTAACATATTGCAAATAAAATTGTTTAAATACATAAAAAAAAATTTTTTTTTAATTTACCGTATACTTAAAATATAAAAAATTTAATTAAATTAATTTCATGAAAATATGAGAACACCACCTTGGGGTAATATCAATCTCAGGTGATAAAGTCATAACCCTTAAGTTTTGACTTATCACCAACTAATAAAATACATTTTCTTCTGAATAGGCTTTTGACGTAGCAGCCAATGAAGCTGTGTGGGCGGAAATTAGTGCACGAGAAAGGGATCAGAGTATGATAGACAACCAGTGGTTTCAAGAGTACGATAATAATTTTGAGACCAATCAACAACTAATTCAAAGTGATGCAATGTTAAACTCAACTGATGACCCAAAATTTGCTTACTCAAAGGTAAATTTCGTTTTCACCGTCTCATATCTTCACGTTGCAATTGCAGTTCTTAAAATTCATGAAGCAAGTTGATGACGATAATGCAGTTTTGGAAGATCCACTAGCTAAATCATGGTCAGAGGAATACGCAAAGTCGGCAAATGATACTTTAAATATCATGAACGAGGTGTGGGATGGGCAACATGTGGCCACGAACGGTAAGGTATTGCTTCTTGCGCTTGCGTTAAAACAATTTGCGCAGATGACAACTCCAATAGCCAGTTTTGGGATAAACTGCAAGACGAATGGAGAAAGTTAGCTGAAAATGATTCGCACGCTGAACATCCTTGGGTATCTGAGTTCGAAAATTATTGTGATCCTTATAAGGTAGGCAAAGCTATATGAAGTGCACAGGGGGTACATGTAGGAGCCCACGTGCACATGATGACCATGCTTCCATCTAATGATGGCGCGCCACCATCAAAATGAAAGAAGTTACAAAAAATATGCATATAGTTCTATGCTGTTGAACAGTCTTTACAGCATTATAAAGTATCAGTCTTCGGTGATGTAGGAACATGCACATGTGTAAATGTTTGTTACTCCTAAACCACTGAAGTTTTACCCTGCGTTTTGAAATAAATGCGCGCGATCGTGATTTTTGAAAGAAAACACTTTTGTAACAGAAGTAAATGTTATATTTTTAGGAGTATGAATTTACCGAGAATAACCCTATGTCTGACACTAACTCGCCATTAAGCGAAGGAAAAGATTTGCTTGAAAAAGGCGATTTACCAGGTGCCGTACTTTGCTTCGAAGCCGCCGTTCGGCAAGATCCAAGCTGTGCAGAAGCCTGGCAGTTATTAGGGACGACACAAGCTGAAAATGAACAGGTTTGGTGTCATCATTTTTTTCACTGGTGTTATTTATCATTCCTGTAGGACCCTAACGCAATTTGTGCCTTAAAGAAATGCTTAGAATTGGAGCCGAACAATTTGAAAGTTCTCATGGCATTGGCGGTGAGCTATACAAACGAAAATTACCACCATCAAGCTTGTCAGTCGTTAGTAACATGGTTGAAAAATCATCCCGAATACTCTTCCGTGGTACCTGCAGATTTTCAATTATCTGGGCAAGTTACAAGTTTGCTTGATCAGTAAGTCATCGCTTTATGTCATGGCAATTGGTTTACATAGGGGGCGAATAATTTGTTTAAAAATGGCACGAAAGAACTATTTCATTACTCAATAAGTGCTTGGGAAACATTTGTTGCCTTTTTAGAGATGTGCAATACCATTTTTGTTACCTCTTCAATTTTGCAGGGAACAACATACAATGGTACAAGATTTATTTATTAAAGTAGCGCAAAGGCAGCCGATTAATCCTGACTATGAAGTGCAATGTGGTCTCGGTGTTCTTTTCAATTTATCCAATGAGTATGATAAAGCAGTCGATTGTTTTCGAGTCGCACTAAATGTTAAACCTGAAGTAAGTTACCATTACATGCTGTTTGCTACATTTTTTCGTAACCACTTTTAGGATTCTCGATTATGGAACCGACTAGGAGCGACATTAGCAAACGGCAATAAGCCGGAAGAAGCTGTGGAAGCATATCACCATGCTCTAAATATATCTCCAGGCTTTATAAGGGCTCGGTACAATGTCGGAATTACATGTGTCAATTTGGGAGCGTACAAGTAAAAACCCTTAAAACCGAGTGTGATCGATAAATTTAACTATGCGTTTATAGAGAAGCGGCAGAGCACTTTTTAATGGCTTTAAATCAACAAGCGAGAGGATCCAAAGCGGGTAATTCTAAAATTCAAATGTCCGAAACGATTTGGGCAACATTGCGTATGTGTCTCTCACTGATGCATCGATCTGATCTAAGACCTGCTGTGGACAATAGAGATTTGACGCTACTAAATGAAGCGTTTCACTTAAATGAATAAATTATTTAATGCTTCCTAGTACGGTAGCAGAACCTTGAATATTGCTTACGTTCACCAGACGAAGTGCTTCATGAGCGCTACCTAAAGGCGGAAATACTCTAGCAAGGTTTTTCGCGCGAGGTGCTGTCTGACAGCACTGTCGAGGTGTACATACCACTGTAAGTCGAACATACGGTGGTAGTTACATCTTGACAGTGCTATCAGACAGCACCTCGCGCGAGAAATCTTGCTAGAGTATTCTAGCCTTTAGGTAGCGCTTCGTCTGGAGAACGCGCCCATTGTATTTGATCATTTACATGAACTATATGTGTAATTCGTGGTTCTACTATCGTTGCCTACCTATATTTGTTAATGAATTGTTATAATTATTTAAGTTCGTGTCTTTTGTTCGTGAGAAGAGAAGGTTTTATGTTAACTAAAGAAATACATAGAAATGCTATATTCATTTTTGCTTATCCTTAAAAATCTTGGAGACGCTTTTGAATAATGATTTATTACACTGATGAAGCAATATGCTACTTCAAAGAGATGTTTGAGATGTGATAGTATCCCCTTTTTATTCAAAAGCTTCAGTCTGTATTGATATCTACGGAAGTAAGTCTGGAGATAAGGACGATAATGACGCGCATTTCGTGTTTGGTAGATAAGCGCGCGCTCGACTGTGTTGCCAGTTCTAATGCATTCTCACCTTGGCTTTGATAGCAAGCACGTACACTTTGGTTCGAGAAAATTAATTCGCCTAATTACGAAGATTCGTATGTAAATAAGTACTCTTAAGTCTTATTCCTTTCCTAAGCTTTTGGGCATTATTGTAAATAAACAAAATGGCGGTCTTCTCCCACCTGTATTAATTACAATGTGCTGCCACCAGAGGTCTCACTGTTAATCTGAATCGCGAATTAAACAAGAAACTAACATTACGAGGGCGGTGATGATAGTTCAGCTGTACCGCCACGAAGCGATCTGTTTTCCATATTTTTAAGTTGAAACTACCTTTCCCAAGCGCATTATCAATTTTACCTAACCTGAAGAAAACGTTAGTCTCATCAATACCTAAGTACATAATTTACTTTAAATTGTTAATTTGTATTGGTTGATTATTTTTAGGCATTTGTTTAGCATTTTTATTTAACGTAATCATAATATTCTTAAAGAAACCGACCTATAAAAATCATTTCCGCGAATCAGATTTGTATTGCATTTATTGATGATAATCGAATCCAAATAATAAAGGCCAATGGTCAATTTTTTATCATTAGTGGGGAATTTGCATTTAATTTCACTCCATAAGTTTTGTTTAGCGTTCAGTGGTAGGTAAATATTTTGAATAAGTGAATTTCTGTAAAAGTGGAAGTTTATGATTTTTATTTTTTTCTTACAGCTTGCGCATCGTCCACCTTATTCTTGTTCATTGCGATCTCAAAGGCTTTCTTCTTGTTTTTTTTTTGCATAATCTCTCATCATTCCTCTCCCAAGGCCTTTCCGCACGCTCTTCTGGAATGTCACCATCGTGACAGGCTCTGCTCCGTTATTGGTCTTAGGAATTCGAGCTTCATTGCTATAAATCGCGTCCTCCTGTAGAATTGTTTCAGTCTTCTTGACTCCCAAGTACCGCCGTTGCTACCCTCTTTGTAAATTCAAGAGGATTGGTGCTTAGTTATTCTCACTCTTCTCAGCTTCCTTGGTGGTGTAGATTCTCCTTATCAGCTTCTATGGTGGTGTAGGTAGAGCACACCTCATTCCCCAACTCTGTGTCCTCTTTTACTTCTGGTAGTCCTGGTCAATATGTAAGTATGGCCACGAGAAGAGAAGAAAGGATGCTTTTCCAAAGAATAGAACGTAAAAGAAACACATGGCTAAAAGAAAAAATCAACAGAAATAAATTAAACAAATATAGCAAACGAGCTCCTGGGTATGGCTATAGCTTGGCATTGCGTATTATATAATTAAAGCTACGCTCATTTTGAATCTCATGTAATTTTGGGTTCATATACAACTCTTTGATTACAACTATAACAGAGATGTCAAAAGAGCCTTCCTTATTTTTTGGCCTACATTGCCAATTTACGAACTCTGATCTACAAATTTGATAAAGAATCCAACTGCAAAATTTCATTGTAATCAGTCCATTCGTTTTTGATTCGATCCCAAGTGCTTATGTATCAAATTCAATTTAAATGCGTTCATAAATAGGCTAGTTGGCATTGCGCATACGCAAACCCAAGTGCGTATGTATCAAATTTCATTAAAATTTTTGATTTTATCTTTTTTTTTAGTGGGCGGGGTTTCAGCCAAGAGGGTACCACACTGTCTGTTCTACCACTTAACCCCATTCTATCGAGCTTTTAATATTCGACCACAAATGGCAGAATTGCAACTCAACTGCGCGACACAGGCCGGCTTTCATAATTAATAAAGTTTTATTCAAAGTTCCTATGTATCAAATTTCATTTAACGACTTTCATAAATAAAAAAATTCGCAATTTTTTGTTCTTAAATGGTTGAGATGATTAGACTCAACTTTTGGCATTGCAAATTATATAACTAAAGCTATGCTCATTTTGAATTTTATGCAATTCGGTTCATAACAGAGATCTCAAAAGGGCCTTCCTTATTTTTGGCTTACATTACCAATTCACAAACGCCGATCTACAAATTTGATTAAGACTTCACCGGCAACATTTCATCGCAATCGGTCCATTCGTTTGCGAGATATCGTGCTAATGGATAGACATAGCAAATAATGAAGAATGAAAAACATTGCGCAGACATAGCCAAAGTGGTTAACTTGGAGAACATTTCAGGAAAACACAAATAAGGCATTTAAATGAACACCATAAATAAGAAGCACCAATTTATTTACAATCAAATTACATGCAGTGGTACACAATTCTGCAAAATGGAACTGAAATTATATAGTGTAAGCTATTGGCATCTAAAAAGCATTGTTATGACGGTATAATAAAATATAGGTATAGATGGTCAATAAATAAGTATTATTTTTATCAACCCAATAGGGAATAAATAGAAAAATCTAGCGTTATCGATTATTTGTATAAATTGCCTAATACACTTTTAAGCGTGTTATTAACTTTCTAATTCTCGCTCGACAATTTTTCTATATTCATCGAAACCGCCTTCAATACTTTGAACGTGGCCATTTCCACACACCCACAACTCTGTACAAACCATTCGTATCAAGCGTTCATCGTGGGACACCAATATGACTCCTCCCTGCAATTACATTTTAGATACACAGGACAAACAAAATAACCTACATTGTATTTGTTAATAGCTTTTCCCAAAGCTTCAATGGTTTCAATATCAAGATGATTCGTAGGTTCATCCAGAACTAAGAAGTTTGGACACCCCATGCACATTCTAGCGAACGCGACTCGCGATTTTTGACCTCCAGATAAGCTGCCGATTGTTTGTAGAGCCAAATCCCCCGAAACACCAAAACTGCCTAACTGCCGCCGATACGTTTCAATCGGTTTTCCTATAAAGGATTACAATAAAAAAAACTCAAATTTCATCCCATTTCTATTTACCAGGGTAGCTAGCCTGTAGTAGCTCTATAGAATTCATATTCATGTCTAATTGGTCAACATGATGTTGACTAAAATAACCGAACTTGAGATTTCGGTGCGCATTGCATATACCCGATGTCGGCGTCAACTGTCCCATGATTATTTTTAATAACGTGGTTTTACCTGCTCCATTATCACCTACCTGTTCAACGTGAGGTTACCCAATTGATGTGAGTGCACATCTCCTATACTTACTATACATATCCTAGAGTCCAAAGTCGCTCCTAAATTCACGTTACTAAAGACGATCTTACCAGCGCTGTAACCGAATGTTACGTCGTTAATTTGTAAAATTGGAGGTGACAGTGGTTCAGTTTCAGGAAACTTTAGAATGACATTGACTTCTTTTTCGATCGGCTTCAACTCAGGTCTACAATTACAAATATAGCAACAAAAATAACAAATAAGAACTCATACAATTTTTCCAACATTTTAATTTTTGACTGCACTGAAGCGGCCCGATTTGCGTTATACCTAAATTTGTCTATGAACTCTTGGACATGTTGTCGATGTTGTTGTTGGGCTTCGAACTCTCGTTGTTGGTTTTTGTGTTTCTCCGTTTTGGTTTTAATAAATTGATCATAATTACCTCTGTCACACATGATAAAATACGGGGCATTGTACTAACATCCCTTACCTATATGAATCGATTCTCTGAGTATGCAGGTACAAAATATCCGTTGGCACAGAGTCTAAAAAGTTCCTATCGTGCGAGACTACCAGTAACGTGTTCGGCCAATTCTGTAGATAATTCTCTAACCAGATGATCGCTTTAATATCCAACATGTTTGTCGGTTCATCCAAGAGCAATAAATCGGGCCTGAAATAGGAGTGATAAAAAAATTCTGCATAAGCGGTTCATTCCGGGAAAATTTTTATTTTTTTCAAGGCCTGCTAAGAAAATTATGCATAAAGCCCCCTTGATATGGGAGCATTAAAATTTCAATGGCTACTGGCATGCCAAAGAAAGAGTGAAAGGCATGCACAGTTCAAAGCCAGCTGATCAATTGCTGCAACCGCTGCATGAGACTCGTATAAACCACGCCCCCCACGCAATTCTAGGGATAAATCTAGTTGTTTTTGTATCACCAACCTAGTACACTACAGCGGCGAAAACTATGATGCTGAGGGACGCAGTTATTACTTTTTTTAATTAATCTTATTTATTTTTGTAATTTTCATGTTACTTCAAGCAATCAAAATGTAATTGTTATTTGGGGTTAGCAACTTTGTTGACAAATCCATGTTTTTCTTCTGTTGGCAGACATGTGGCAATTGAAGTAGAATTGCACGATGTTAAAATGTCAAATACAATGCAATGCTTTCTGCAAGTTCTTGCGCGTTGTATTGCTCCATGCCAAGCGACCATAACGGTCACAAATTTAGAAAATCTAAATAAAATAAAAAGCATAACAGATAAAGAATGTAATAATTGATTGATGTAGAATTTGTTTCAACATTTGAAAGTGCAAAACAATAAAGCATGTTTTGAAGGTAAAAACTGTCCATTAGGTAGTTTTTTTAAATTAATTTATTTATTTTGAAAAATCGTGAATAACTTGAAAACTTTGTTGGAAACCTTTGATGCTGGCTACATAGGCCAGTCAAAATCGATGGATCTCTGATTTTTTAATATGTTGTCTGGGCCCATTAGGGTAGTGTATACTAAAGTTTGCAACTCCATAAAAGTTGTGGAAAAAGTGTAGCACAAAAAACCGCGAAATTCTCGAACTTCTCTTAGTTTTTGCTCTATATCTCCAAAACTATACATTTTTTGACGAAAACCACTATATACACTTTTGAAGAGCATTAAATTCGTGACAATTTAGTCATTTTTTCAGAAAAATACTAAATCACTTTTTTGTTGTATGAAGTGACTCAACAATTTTATAGATTTAATTTAAGGCAGAAATCCAAGTTAAATAAATTGTAGGTAGGTACCATACCAATGTCATTAGTCAACGAGCTAATGTGTGCAGAAATGGTAGTAGACTGGCAAGTGACCTTGAGGATTGTAGCGGTTCTTCGTTGTGCACAGTCTCACTGGGAACTCATGGTTTAATAATCATCCACCGTTCACCAACTCCATTAACGTCCACCGAATATTTCTCATCTTATTTACCAAGATCCAGTTACAAATATTCAATTATACAATATTCTTAAAAAAACTGCAAGTAATTTTAAGATTTTTTATTTTATTTATTGACCGCCTGCGTGTGGGGTATTATGTTAAAACAACCCTTGTAAGCTTTTCTTTCTTTGAGGGATTTTGTTTTCATTGTTTCATACGTTTCGGAATAAATTTGTCATTGTCAATGAATAAATTGTGCGTTTATTCGAATCCTTTGTGCAAACCAGATAAACGAGTTTTCATGTCAGTTTTTTCTATTCATGCTCAAGATTTATTTTGGGTGTTAATCAAAACATTTTCCATTTTCCAGGAAATTTGTCCGATAGATATTCTTGCACGATTAGGACGTTGGGCGCCGGTGCACCATTCTGTTGAAACCAACAGTTTCCAACATTTGTTTTTTTGGCCCATACATCGTTGTATTAGTAATAAAAAAGTAAAAAATGCTACTCAATACGGTATGCACTTTTTTACAGATCACATAAAAAAATAAAGTTAATAATTTCTCCGAAACGAAATGTTGCATTAAAAAATTCTCAATGCTACCTTGTAGAGCTCAAATAGCAATGGGAAAATGTTTTTTTTTATCTGTTCATATAAGAAAAAAATAGATACAGAATCAGCAAATTTCGGTTTTTCTGGCAGACCTTTGGAAATAATCAAATTTTCTGGTTTTCTTTACAGCATGATAATAAATTGCGCAACGTTTCCCTAATTTGACCATCGTTGCATCTTCTACGGTTTCAGAGATCCCCAAGATAGACATCCTTATCTTGGACACAGTGTATGGTTCCCTAATCAAGCACCTCCGTCCTTCACGGGGCACATTATTTGTAATCTTTCAAAGGCCTCACAACGTATCCAGTCATAACTCACATTCTATCAGACATGCATCAACCGCAGCAGTTTTTCGAGACCTATTGATTAGAATCCATTTTAAAAAAATGGCAGAATAGACAGAAAGATATTTAACGTTCGCCAATCTTCTCTCTCTAGGCCATCAGGTAGCAATTCTGCATGAGTAAAGAATATGGGTGGCATCTCGGGTGGCATACATAATCGCACTTAGTTTTTTGTTGCAGATTTTTGCAATAATATTGTACACAGTTATTTTGTGAAAGACAATTTCCCATACATACTTTGAAAATAATGCACGAGCAAGAGCAAGCCGCATCCTCCAACCACCAGAAAACGTCTTTGTTGCCTGACTTTGCATAGCGGAAGTAAATCCGAGTCCATTAAGTATCACAGATGCCCTCGCTGGAGCTTTATCGGATTCAATATTTTGTAGTTGCGTATAAACATCAGTTAATTCGTTAGGCAAATTGGGGTCAATAGACCTTAAAACGAAAAATAAGTAATCTGCACAAGAAATGCGGTCACCTACCCTGCATTGATAGCAGAACTTAATTCCTTCTCTTTCTTTAACAAGGCTTCCCGTACTGTATCACATTCAAGAACGCTGTCTAAAGCCAATGTGTCATCGCCCACAACCTACAAGATGTACACTTAAACACCAACAATATCAAGCAATTTATTTACCTCCTGTTCAACGTGAAGAATTGAAATGTGAGAAGGTATCCTGAGCTGTCCGGCTGATATCATACGAAGTAAGGTGGTTTTACCTAATCCATTGCGGCCAACTAAACCGTAACGTCTGCCAAATGCCAAAACTAAATCGGCACATTTCAATAATACTCTAAAAATTATACAAAATATAACAATGCACGTACGGCGACATATGAATTATACCTGTCGCCATAGGCCACATCGAAATTCTCTATTCTAATGTCAACCGTTTTATTACCTCCTTTCGCTTCTAACTTGTTATCCTTTTTACTTGTAACCTGCAGAAAAAATATACATTGCATTCATTCAAAAGCAGATTTAAACAATTAATGCTGTCGAAGGGCTAATCTCCCTCACAAATCATGTACCCCAAACTATCAAAGATGACCACCGACAGAAGGTAACATGAAAATGAGATGAATTAAAGACACATTAACCCAAGCATATTGACTTCGGCTCCTACCAAAATTGATGTGTAACAGAACAGCATAACGAAAACAAACAAAACACTTAGTGGCTGATGCCTCATCTACCCGTGGACAATGGGTTTATATGGAGTAACAAATTCATGTAAAATTTCAGAAATTGTAATGGGTTAAACAATTTACAAAAAAACTAAACTATAAAAAGTCAAAACTTGGCTCTGCAAACGGTGGTTTTAAATTGGTACAAGTTGGACTTTTTCAAGCTAGCGCACGGAAGCAGTTTTCCTGATCCATTTTATGTTTTCTGGACTCCTATTGAAATATGTATACTATTTTAAGAGGAATTGGAATATGACATTACTTGTAATGTAGTGTTCAATTTGGCATCAGCATGATTAACAACTTGAAATTTGAAATCAGATATCATACTATCGAGGTGAGAGCGTATAATTACGTATTTTAGTGAAAGCAACTCGGGCAAACCATAGTATGTCATGTAGCAACCCAGCATGCTGTATAGGATAGCAGGAAAACCAGAAACAATTTTTGAAACAATCCAAAACCTGACTACAACTGACATAAATTGCTATTTTTTGAATTTTTAGACTACTTGCTATCTGAAAATTGCTATCAATCTGAAATTTTCAAGAATACAAAAATATTGGTGAAATAATAGTACAAAAATTTCATTTAAATTGCCTATAACTTGCAAATGAACAAAGTCCTAATAAAGGAACAAAACAATAATCTGCAACATTACAATAAGCGCACATTAACAAATGTCATTTCAAAAGCTAGACGATTATTATTATTACTTATTAATGGCCATTTGCACAGACACATTTAAGTTGAGCTTAGTTTAACGGTAACTTAAAATCTATGACAAGGATTATTACAATAGTTGTCAAGGATTTTAAGCTACACTTAAGCTAAGCAGAGCTTAAATTTGTCTGTGAAAACAGTCATAAGTGAAGCAAATTATTTTTGCCAAAGAAGACGATGAGCTTGCACCAGGCAGTGGCTTGCCAATAATGGTCTCACAAAGAGAAACCGAAATTTATTAGGTACATGAATTTCAAGAACCCCAGATATATCTCAACTGTATTAGGATGGATGAAAGAACTTTTGAAAAGCTACTCAACTTAATTAATTCTAACATTGAAAAACAGTGATGAGAAAAGCAATTTCACACAACCTCTTTCATCCACATATTAAGTCATATCAGTATGTCTATGTAAAACCCATGCAGTAGTACACCTACAGATATAAACTCTGCAAGAGAAAATAAAAGAATCACCTAAGTGTAAAGAAATTGTCTTGAAAGGTTTCCTAAAATAGTCTGATGCTCGTGACAGACCCTGTATAATTGTACACCTACTTTTGCTACACCAATTGTACTCATTTTAAGCACTAATGATTCTTTCAAAGGGTCTAAAGAAAATGCCTTGGATGAAACTGTTGTGCATAGGAGCGAGTGATTTAAGCAAATGTGCAGAAAAGCGAGAAACAGCAACATGTCTTTATAGCACATATACAGTAAACAAGCTATGAGGGGGCTATCAGAAGAGTAGGGAGTAGGCAAATCAAAGTACATAGACCAATTTAATGAGTACCACACTCCAAAGGAGGTTAGCCTCTCGTGTGAAGTGAAAATTACTTGTGAAGCTGTTGCACTCTCCAATTTAGGGGGAGCAATAATACGGCAGCCATCAGTTGAACGTTTTTCTTGTTTCTGTTGCAGTTTCAGTTCTGCTTTTTCTAATTTTTTAGCATCGACTTTCTAAAATGACATCGGTCTCAAATCTACCTTCACATTAATATACAAACTAACTAAGCTATCATCCCTTTGCATAACCCAAATACTTTTTATGTCATCGACGTTGTTTTCCAAATTGGCAGCCATACTACCCAAATGAATTGGTGCATTTAACACCCTGGTCGGTCCATTTTGTGCAGTAGCGTTGTTCGGATTCATTATTTTTAGCAATCTGGTGCAAATATTCCTACAAAGATTACCTTACAATTTGCAAAATGACTAATATGGAGAAACTACTTAATTTCTGCTTCAGTTTTATCAGCCGACTCTTGTAAAACTTCCCCTATTGCTTCGTACACATCTTCAGTATCTTGAAACTCATCTGCCCCATTTTTCAATACCCCTATGAAATAATTTTAACATATACAGGTAAAACAGTGATAAAAGTACCTTCAACATAATGTTTTAGCTCGTCATCCATAGACGGAAATTCCGCCCTAATAAATTCACTAAAGTTAGTCATATTGGCAAGAAACTACTAGAAAATATGAGAAAATGATTTAGTTGGGGGCAATTATACCATTTTTCTTAAAAAATTTCTCCTCTCCTGGAAGATAACCTCAAAATCAGTGAAACTGACTTTACAAAGGCCGGCAACCTAAAGGGATAATTATTTAGAGATTTGCCACGTTACCAACACAAACGATCTAACACCCTAATTACTAGACACGTTGGTAGAAATCACAGAGTTGTATATAAGTACTTATATACAACTCTGTGGTAGAAATGCCGCATGGATAGGCAACATACCATACAATTATAAATACAGGTTTTTTCGATCGAAGGGAAAAACAAAAATTTCACCTTAATAACGTTATTTAACTAAGTATACACCATATCACAATATCTCGTCAGACTGGCGCTACCAGTTTTCCCACACAATATAATCTGCCAGTGATTGAAACCATTGACTTACAAAGCAACTAATTTAATGACTTCAAAAACAAAAAGGGATTATAACCGGAACCGATTGCATTTATAGGCCCCTCACTTAGAATTGGAATCGTTATTCAAGAAGTTGGGATAACGGGAACTGATACCAGTACCGTTATTACTAGTCCCAAAAAACCCGCACTTTTCGGTTCTCTATACATGAAAAAAAAAATAGCCCCAGTCCTATAATAATTGCATGCAAGTCTCTTGCAGCAAACGATACTGGTTTTTCTTTGCACCCTTTATCGTTATCATAAATAACTTCCGCGAACCTGTAACTTTTAACTCAATTTACATTACGAAGTAAATTTTAGGCTACCTATTTTAATAGCGGCAGTGTACTCTATCAGGTTTTTAGAACTGAACCACGGCGGCTCTTGCACATATCTGTCGAGTGCGTAGGGAGATTTTTTTTTTGCTTTATATTTTTTAAAAAAACCAAGTAACGTCAATGTGAACTTCCGAACAGTTTTAGGACCGCTACTGCTTTTTGGGAATCTGGTGGTTTTTTTTTAAATAATCGACGAGGTTGGTACCTCACAACTTCAGTGAGCCTGTGCATATATACAGGGTGGTGCCTAGCGCAACGCAGCATAGGGATTTCAATGGTAATTTATTTATAGTCAATTACTAGCTCCCCAAATTATTTTAGAGCAAAAGTCTAAATACGTCTTTTTTAGAGAAAAAAATACTGCATCTGTTCATACTATTAGTTATAATTTTCCATTTTTCAAAACCGTAGAAAGTGACAAAATAAAAAATTACATTTTTATAAATCAGTTATGCTTTGGAATCTTTTAACACACTAGAACCGCATCGTATCTGTTACCTATCGTTGCTTGGCGTCGAACGATTTTCATATTTAATTCTGTTTCAACTAACCGACGCAATAAAAGGCATCTTAGAGGGTAATGTTTTTTTAAGAATGTATGCTGCATCTGCATCAGATACTATTTATTTATCATTTTCCGAACCAGAGTACCTACATAATCGAAGAAAAAAAACTGATTTGAAGAAACTTATATTCGGATTTTCCGCTACTGATGCAGCCAAAACGTTGAATGTATTGTCGTTTTCCTGATGGTTTTGACGGACATTTTGAACGTTATTGCACTTGCAGTTCTTTAACTAATTTATAAACAAGTATAAATTTAATATAGGTACGTCAAAGGCAAACAATGAAACGTGATCGCTGTTTTTTTAGGAAATTTCAATGCATATTTGATTTATTGTAAAATGTACCTTTTTATTTTGTCGATTTCTACGGTTTTGAAAAACGGAAAATTATAATTAATAGTATGAACAGATGCAGTATTTTTTTCTCTAAAAAAATCGTATTTAGACTTTTGCTCTAAAATAACTAGGGGAGCTAGTAATTGACTATAAAGAAATTACCATTGAAATCCCTATGCTGCGTCGCGCTAGGCACCACCCGGTATAAGAGAAGTATATGAGCGTGTGTTTACTCCATATATATAAGGTCAAGGTTTACTCAGATGTGTCGCACCCTGACGTTAAAACAAATTCAAATTCTAGCGCTTGCGGTTGCGCAGTGCCGAGGGAGTCACGGTGCAACACATCTGCAAGTGCGACTTACGAGTTTTGGACCTAGACCATGGCACAAATAGATATATGGTGGACCATAGTTTAATGGTCGTACTGTAACTAAATGAAAGTAGTAATGCTAAAAAAACCCACGGCCGGAATGTGTCCCGTTTCTTGCAATTTTGTTTATAATCGTCACGAAATTGTAGGCTGAAACCTGCAGAAAACACCTACGGAAAGTGTTTTAATATTTTGGCAACCCCCACGCGTGAGTGCCTCCTCTCTGTTGAAGAACTGACGAACAAAGATAACTGAAACCTGCAGAAAACACCTACGGAAAGTGTTTTAATATTTTGGCAACCCCCACGCGTGCGTGCCTCCTCTCTGTTGAAGAACTGACGAACAAAGATAAGTGTGATCGCATATGTGGGCATTTGTTCTGTACAGCAGTTTGTATGTTAGCAGCTGTAAAATAACCAAACTATGGAAAATTAACTCTAAGTGAAATCTATCATTTATACAATGCGATCAAAAATGAGTTGCTGTCGAGTCACCTTTGGAATTTTTGTTTATATGGGAATTCGTATTTAACTTGTACTTCCAAAGGCGACTCGACAGCAACTCATTTTTGATCGCCCGTTATTGTTTATTATAATTTTTATTCTGTACCCACGTTGGCCACATTAATTTGTATTCGTTGCTGTACAATTCCCCCATCAATAATCAACCTTAGCTTTAACTTAACAGACCTTCCACTTTAACGGTTCTCACCCCAAAAACACGTATATTTTCTTCTACCGAAATAGTCCCAAGCACCTTATAGAATGCAAGTACACTATAAGTATAGGTATGTACACCATACATTAACAGTATAAATTGGTATTCTTCAACGTGAAAAATGTGATCCTTACCTTTTACTCCCTTCGAGTGACAGTTACAACTCCCAATTTTTTTAATGGCAATGTGTATGAGCTTGTGATATATTGTTTGAAAGGTCTCTTCATTCTCTTTAAGATTTATGAAGAACTCGAAAACTTTATGGAGGGGGTTAAGATGGTTAAAAAAAATTATCTATAATGTGGCCACCTACTGTCTGCTGATAAATATAGCACCTCCTGTTGATTGCCCTACAGAATTGCCATCAGCTAGCTGCAAGTCTGGATTTGGTCACAAACTGTTCTATGGGATCTACACATTTGATAGTTATAAATTCCATGGTCATATGTGTAGGACCAAAGACTATCCTATCCTATAGTCTTTGGTAGGACTCACAATATTCCATACTTGTGCAAAACTTAACATTTTATTGTACAAAAAAAATTAAGAGTAGGTACAAGAATTTCTTTTTACAAATAACAAATCACACATCATGTGACTATCATGTAAAAAAATTAATATGTACTTTTTAAATAATAATGTAAGGTTTCATCTTTGAATGTTTCATGTATTTAAACAACAAACTAAATACTTCCGTAATTATTTATAAATTAAATAGTATCAAAATAAAATTAAACTCCAACTATAACATCGAACATATCACTTGCACCTTCCACTTCAGACAAACTGAATCTGTAATCTCGATTTGTAGGTTGCGGACTTAATCTGATAAACGGGCTTTCTACTAAAACAAAACAAATGGTAAATATACTAAATTAACGGCAAATCAACGTACCATGTCTTTGAGGAAGATCTTCATATAATACATTTTCTCTTCCGAGATCTAGAAAGAACAATTAAAGTTTGTTGAAACAAAAACACAAAAAACTGAAGATACCTGTACTTCCATTAAAAATTATTTCTGCTGCCGAAATATCAGGATCCTCGATAGATTCTGGCTTTTTACATATATACTCTACATTATTATTTTTAAAGGCCTACAAGACAAAGTAAATTATACCTACAGGAAAAGTGGTAACTTTGCATAAATTACTCTTTCGTATGTTCTCTTTTTAGTTTGTTTACTTTCATTGGGATGAAGCCTCATATTAACGGTAATGGGGGTGGACGACGAGGTCACTTTCAATTGGATAACTCCAGATTGTTGTGAATTCTGAAACGAAGCAATGAAGTAGCGTAACTCAAAAATGTTGGTACATGAATTACCTCCAATATTAATGAACTGTTTAATGGTGTATTTATTAGAGCAAGACTCTCATTTTCGCCAAAACATTTATTAAAGTCTTCGTCTGTCAGATATAAAAATTTTTTGTTGTCTATATCGTCCGTAATATTCTTTATATTCTGCTCAATTTGACTTTTATGTTTATCTAATTCCAACTCAAAGTCCTCCAATTTTTCAATTTCTTTTTTTAAATGAATAATTTTGGCAGAAAATTCGGAGGCATTGCAGCCGGGTAACCCTTCGCTATGTGCAGAGGGTCTACAAATGAACGTTAATCAATCTGTAAAGGAGTAATGATAAAACTTACTTCCATTGAATACTGTTTTTACTTTTCTTTTCTATTAAACCAATACCTTCCAGTACATTTGTTATGTCATATATTCTTCGCTTTTGACGAACAGCAAGTAAATCGGCGGCCTAAAAAGCATATGTAATATCGACCTGTGGCTGCATATGGTTCAGTATTGCACTTACTAGTTTTAAATCTAATACTCCTCCTTGCGACTTCTGCAATAGATTAACAAATTTTGTTGTTAACAACCCGAGTGATTTTTCAAAACGACTTTGATGCACTTCAGACATGGTTTTTGAAATATTACCATCGTTCAAGCTAGCGATGATTGTAAACAATTCCTTTAAGAAACAAAAGCCCAAATGGTAAATATTTTCAGTTTTCAATTTCAAGATTTATTTCACCATTTCAATTTAGGCAATTTTTTTGGTATAGGTCATTGTTATACCAATAGAGCCCAGAGATTCCAAACATGTTTGACCGAGGAGTTTAAAAATGACAAAGGATACTGACGACGATTTATAGGCAACGCATCAAACACAACTAAGATAAGCAAACGTGATGGAAATTTGACCACGCGAGTTTGGCCACCAACAGCAACAGACCCCCCCCCCCCCCAGCTTTTTCCGTTAAAGGAATTTAATGAACATTTATATTTTATCCAGAAAACCATCCATTCGGCATGCCGGAAGTACGCACCAGGGAAATTTGTACAGCTGCTGCTGACTGACGACCAACGTTAATTATATTTACTAAATTTGTTTTTGTATAAGAAATGACAAGTATGACTTTTAATTTTTAGTTGAGTATTTTCCTTGCAGTAAAAATAACCTCAAAAACAAATGTCGACAAGAAGGGTGGTTGTTACTGGAATGGGAGTTTTATCTCCCGTAGGTAACAATTTAAAGGAATCCTGGTCAAATATAATCAACGGAAGATGCGGAATTTCAAAACTAGAGGGTCCGTTGTATGAGAAATTACCGAGCCGAGTGGCTGGTATCGTAAAGTCAAAGGGGGCACAATTCGACTCTTCTCTACACTTTTCGAAAAGCGAATTAAAATCTATGAGTCCCGCAACTGCTTATGGACTTTTAGCGGCAAAAGAAGCGATCGAGGATGCTAAGTTAATCTCGTTGTCGGATGATGAAAAGCAATCGACAGGTGTAGCTGTAGGAATGGGTATGATAGATTTAACAGATGTTTGTATAACAAATGACGCACTCAACAAAAGCTATAATCAAGTTAGTCCATTTTTTGTACCTCGAATTTTATCAAATATGACTTCGGGTCATATTAGTATCAAGTATGGATTTCGAGGACCTAACCATTCTGTCTCGACTGCTTGTGCAACGGGTGCACATGCCATAGGAGATTCCTTCCGTTTTATTCGTTACGGGGATGCTGATGTGATGATTTGTGGTGGTACAGAAGCTTGCATCTCGCCCCTATCTGTAGCTGGCTTCTGTCGATTAAGAGCTCTTAGTACTAGTTTTAATGAGACACCCCAAAAGGCTTCCCGGCCATTTGATAAAAAAAGGGACGGTTTTGTCATAGGGGAGGGAAGCGCTATTTTAGTGTTAGAGGAATTGCAACATGCTCTTTCTAGAAATGTTCATATTTATGCAGAAATTTTGGGTTACGGGTTGTCAGGGGATGCATCACACTTAACTGCACCGCACAGTGATGGCAGTGGTGCTACTTTAGCCATGTCAAGAGCGGTGCATAATGCTGGTGTTGCTCCAACCGACATCACATATATTAATGCACATGCAACATCGACACCCTTAGGAGATGCGATTGAAGCAAAGGCAATTCACTCTGTTTTTAAAACACATGTAGACCAAGTTGCAGTGTCATCAACAAAGGGTGCACATGGACATTTGTTGGGTGCAGCAGGTAACTTGGAAGCTGTATTTACAGTGAAAGCGGTAGAAGAGGGGCTACTGCCACCTACTATTAATTTCGAATGTTCTGAAGATATAAATTTAAATGTGGTTCCTAATGAACACCAAAAATGGAACAGTAACAAACGGCGAGTTGCTTTAAAAAATGCCTTTGGTTTTGGTGGTACAAATGCTTGTCTGTGTATAGCCGAGTTTAATAAATAGTAATGCTCTTTTATTTTATTTTTTTACTGGTACAGCTCATTTCTAAATTGATGCGGTAAATCACAAATACTGTATTAGACCCTTTTCTCAGTACCTTCTAGGCCCTCTCTAACAATAGAGTGCGTAGGTAGGTCTGGAAGTGCCTATGACGCTCTTGAAAAGACAGAAGTGTTAGGAAAGAACTTAACGGTTTAAGACTCAAGACTCGAACCTCACGGCGTGAAACTTATTTCTAGTTTCGTTTACACGAGGGCAGAATGTATTAATATAAGTAGGTAGGTCAATAACTGGCTCCAGAATTTCCCAAGGTCAAGGGATTAAGTTTTAAGAAGATATTTGAGATACGTTTTAAGTTTTAGGAAGACTGGCTTCAAGAGTAGCCAATGGACCAGTAGCAGGCACCCCGTCCACTAAAAGGGCTGGCACCAGTCGACTAAATTAAGGAACACAAACTTTTTTTACAGGTGATACCTTTCGTTATCCTACCATCATGCAAGTATGACCAACTCAGGACATAGTCCTAACTTTGTTACATTTCTTCGACCTAGTGCTGAAATGTTGGCGTCCAAACCACTGTGTAGCGGTATACTCTGCGGAAGATTGGAATCACAGCAGTCATAGATTATTAATCAATATGGAACATTAATTTATTGGTATACATATTTAATAAAAATACAATTGTTTTCTAAAAATGAATTCATATCTCTATATATTTTGACATTAATTTTATTATCTAGAAAAACAATAATAACTAATAATAAAGTAACTTAAGACATTAAAATTGGAATCTTATCAAAGCGCCCTGCCCTAACTGAAAATGTTTCGGATGAATGGTGCACAAACAAAATTACAACAATAGCACAGACAAAACACCCAATTGTCTGTGACGGTAGTCCACCCCAGTGTGTTGAAATTTGAAGGGCTAAACCCATATAACAATGGTATCCCCTAATTATATTATATAGTGGGGGAGGTATCGGTGGGGGGGGGGATACCATCCATGAATCTGGACCCCCCCCCTCTGCTTTGAAAACGACCATGATTTTGTTGCCATGTATAACATTTTTGCTCGACTTCAAACAAAAAAACAAAATTGCATTGCGTTAATTTTGTTAGGCTCAAGTATAACCTTGTCAGCAGTTAACGTGAGTGATGGTGGCCAGATTCCAGACGATACAAGGGGCATGGAATGTCAAAATACCACGGCTAAGAGAAGTGCTCAAAGAACAAATAGAGGGCCACTGTTGATTTCGAAAGCCGTTGCGTTCTCGGAAGTACCGCCTTCTCCCTACGCCATTACAGTGGTGCAATAGTAAGTTGGGGGCAAGGGTGTAGCAAAAACGGACAGCGGCCTCAAGAGCCGTGCGGTTTTGGGCGTTCAACCATTGAAAAGGGCTTATATATACTTCTCTAAAGTGCTTATTCAGTGGTTTAACTCATCTTTCCTTTGCGCGTGGAAAATTTAGTTTAGTTTAATTCAAAAATTAGATAATTCGAAAATTATATTAATCGAATATTTGGCATCATATTGGAATAGACAGTGCGTAAATTGTAACTCCTCTGAACATACAAACCTCACATTGATATATCTGATAGTTATGCAACCCACCTTACACACCAATTTCACAGCAGTGTAAGCAAACAAAATTTTGTAATAATTATTTTGGATAAGAGATTTGGCCGATTTTAGCTGATTCGACTTATTTTAAGCCAATTCACATTATCAGTCATGTCACGGTCACATTATGGTCCATTCACGGTGCGGTCAATTATTATTTATTATTATTATTATGGGGTTAAGTGGTAGAACAGACAGTGTGGTATCCTCTTGGGTGCCCACCAGTCTGAACTTTCGCCCCTTTGAGCTAACATACTTTTTTTTTTAATTCATTAGAACATGTAGGTAGTTAATATCATGTTTAGCTCAATAAATGCCTATTATTATTATTATTATTATTATTTCACATTTGCTGTTGCTGTGAATTGTCGAATTCAATGCAGACATGTGTAAAATTTTGAATTCTCTAGCTAAATTCTGTAACATTTGCATTTTTTCTTCATTTGTACACATTTTATTAAGAATATAATTAATTTAATAATTTTCAGATATTGACGTTTATTGAAAAACATTTGAAAAATATGAAAAACTTGTATACTTTAAGATGCAACATAGAAGATTTGTATGTTCAGAGTTAAAATTTACGCACTGTAGGTATTTAGGTTGTGTGATACGACTAAGTATTCCTAACTCATTTTCACTAAAAAGTTCAAAGTTCATTCAGTAGCCAGACTTTAATAGCTATGAGCGTTTGGGTTGTTAATTTGGCTATTTGATCCCAGTCCTAGTTAATTTCTTGTTATAACCTTTTAAACTTGAGTCTTTGTGCAAATTTAGATATTTCGATTCTATATGGTAATAACTGCAGCAACACTATCATGAAAATTTACGGCGAGCAGTCTCGAATTGCCATTTGATGAGCTAATGCTATACATTTAGGTATAGTTTTGGGTTTTTGCTGATTGTAGTAATATTATAAATCATTGCATTATACTAAATACTTTTTTTAAAATTAAAAATTATCTATTAACAATTTTTCTTATATATATATATATATGTGAATAACTAAATATCTACTATAGACACTAACGATTAATTATACTTGCATAATTTTCACAAAAAAAAGGCCCATGTGCACTGCACTGTAAATATATTAACCGTGAAAACTGTACAGGTACAGCCATAATTACCATTGGTGCCATTGCAACCTATTGCTGCTGCCTAAACATGATCAGTTTCTTCCAATAATTTACTGAATGCTGCTTTCTGCGCACATTATTTACATGGACCAAGATTTTTAAAAACTCTTTTTACAGCGTCTTCGAGTACATAAATTAATTGTTTTATACACTTATTTGTATTGTAGTTGAGGTCAAACAATGGATCCAATAATATTTATTTAATATACTAGACGATAAAGGGATGTTTAAGTTTTCCTTTATCGTCGTGTATAATACAAAACTTTATTTTATAGCAGAAGTCATTAGAAATTTACGTGCACAATAGCAGGCTTATGTTCTCCCGTCGTTTCCATAGAAACAATATTGTATTGTTCTGAACTTCCGTTTGTTTCGTGCTCCGCGTCCCATAAGAGTGACAGATATCATTTGGAATGCACAACGATTTGTTTTACTTTATCTACCCTTACGGTTAAAGAGCGACTAAGCATACTCATTCAAACCTATTAAAATGTCAATTTAACATCTGCTATAAAATAAATACATATGGTCTTCCTGTCTTGGTCAACCCTTTCAATAAGAAGTAGCAAGAGGGGAGTATAGAATTGTCGCACAGTAATGAAAGGTAGGGTTTGGTGTGGGGATTTTTTAGATAACACCTGCTCCAAGTATGCAAAGTACTGATAAAAACTATGGAAATGTGCGAGAATATATGCTATGTAGAAGGGGTATAGTTTATGGTATTTAATCATCCTAATCAAAGAACACATAAAATTCGTTTTAATTAAAGGAGCAAAAAAGAAAACAAAAGTGGAGCCTACTAGCTGATTGTCAGTGTAGACAATAATTATACAGCAGAAAATCGCGTTAAATTTGTGTTTCATAAGGCCATCCTTGCCAGACACTACCCTAAAGTTATTCGTACTAGTGTTTTAGTGGTACAGATAATAGACAATAGATTTTATTTTTAAAATATACCTAGAGAAGAGTGAATAGATTTCACTAGCGAAGTATTAATAAGACAGTGTGAAAATAAAAGGTTCCGGGACAGTACTGTACACTTTTTCCCAAATTATTGTTCACCATAATGTTTTACGTTTAGCCTATGAGGTTCCGGGTAGTGTGAACAGTCACAAATCTAGCTCTGATAACAGAGATTCAGATTATAAAAATGAACAAAATAGTTATATAATGCTTTTATTTTTCTTTTTGAAGAAAAATTACACAGATAGCGCATTTTCTTGAATGCTACTATAAAAAACAAACTATAACAATAACACTTATGGAATGCAACAAATATATGGTTACATGTGAAATCATGCAGGCTTACATATACCTCACGATGATGTGCATGTTTAAATTGTCGCTCAACGACTACGCATTAAATTAGTAAACAATATGAAATTGAAAGTCATTTAAAAAATCTGCTATGCATTTGCAATATGTGACTACAATAAACCTGTTAAAAAAATAGAACGATCTTTTTAAAAAAAGAAAAAATAATAAGTGAATGAAACTTTTACACAGAATTTCAAATATTTGTACATTAGATAGAAAAACAAAAGGAAACGAAATAAACCATAACCATCATCAGCCTTCTCTGTTATATTTCATAACCTTTCTTAGTTTGAAGCGTACTTGGATTGTACAAGCATTCGAGGCACTTGCAAGGGTCCATTTACACACAATTGTGCAAATCGCTTCTGCAATGTTTCGCGTAATTGTTGGCGCTTTTCGTACACTTGTCTATTGTTGCTTTGAAATTCTTTAACTTCTTCGGCAGTTATGTAACAGTCACTATCGTTATCACAATAAAAACGGTCCTAAAAAAATCACTTTAGTAAACAAATTCGACCACAATAAACCATAATCAAAATTGAATAAAGCAAACGACTGAGAGGAACAAGAACTAACTATATACTGCATAATCATACTTAGTTACGCAAGTACATATTAAAAGTGAATTAGATTGTTATGAAAGATCTGCAAAAACAAACGCTTCCTAATCAATAATGAAACATGTTATTTTATTTTTTTTGCCTTTATTTTTGAGTGGGCGGGGTTTCAGCCAAGGCCAATCCAACATACATTTACAAATATCCATGCCCGAACCCGGATTCGAACCAGGGACCGTTGGCACCACAGTCCAGCTTTAACTGAACTGCGCCACACGAACCAGCAATGTTCTGTTTATTAAAGTTGATTACGGTTTTTTGGTATTCTTGTTGAATTTCTGTTATGTTACTGACTTACCTCTAGCATTTCTTGTAGGCTAAGTTGTCCGTTGCCGAATGTAAATTTAGGAGAAGCGTTATACTCGCGTTCCGGCTGGCAACATCCGTCAGAACATGCCATTTCTGAGCCTTCAGGAGAACTAGGCAAGCTAGAAGCTAAGGAACCGGTTTCACAGTAGCCGTTGTTATTCTCTGACGAATATCCACAGTCGTGAGAATGATCGCTCGAGGAACAATGTTCTTTTCTCACATAGTCGTTTGGCGGTAGATAATTATGAAATTTATTATAAACAGCTTTCCTCGCTAATTTTTCATTGTTGCATTTACAGTTGTCTAGCCAAACGTCACTATTATTACACTTACTTTTTTCCAATAGATTTATTCCGTTTGAGACGTTTTTATATTTACTTCCTAAATCGTCTTTTTTGCCATTACATGTATCCCCACAGTGTTTGCAATTTAACGATTCGGTCGTCTTATCCACATTCACGGATGAACACGAACAGTCTTTGTCTATATCGTCTTTATCTTCAAAATCGGTACCGTTTTCGCATTGGTTACAGTTTTCCTTGCCGTCCTGATCCACCAAACGTTCCTTTTTGCGTTTGCGCTTGAGTTTCTTCTGCTCTTTACGGATCTGCTTCTGCTGCTCCTCCTTGGTTAGTTCGGCGTAGAGCAATTCCAACTGAGAAACGCCCTGTATACGTTCTACAGTAGTTTCGAAGCTACGACACAGCGCGTCAACGGCAACGGCGGCAAACACTTGGCAGGTACACTCTTCCTCTTTCATACGCATGTAAATACGATGCAATCTTTCGTACATACAAATGCCTAAGCACGTTAGAACTTCTTCTTGAGCAATTTCTAAGGTTTTTGCATGGCGTTCTCTACGACTTCAAATAAAGAAATTGAAACATACATTAAAATATGCGAATTTCGCCATACCTTCCTAAAAGTTCAGGTTCTGCTCGACTAATAAGTTTGGTTATGTAATCAGTCTTAGGCATTAAATGAATATGTTTCTCCTGGAGGCAGCGTTTCTCTATTCCACTGTACAAGGCAGGGACATAACCTTTCTCTTTTGTAGGTTCAGGATCTTCAACTAGTAAGGTGTACGCTAAAAATGCAATCAATCAATATAGACATTACAATGTAAGCAGAGTTGAGAAAGTGACCAGTTCAGAAAGTACAATTGACGTCTACCACAAGGGTCAGTTCTAGGGCCATTGCTATTTTAAATCTTTAGTACCTAATAGCATTAAAATGATGAAACTGTGCAATTCGCCAGTATGAAGATTGTGTGAAAAATTGTGGGATATGGTTGACAGTAATAGTACTTTTAGTGGCACACAATCAGAGGTACCTTGCAGATCTCAGTGTTAATTAAGTCACAATAACAAGGATATATTATGAATATCTCAACCGCAGTGCATAGTTAGCAAATAGATTTATACCGAATGTTTTTGTACAATTTATAGTTAAACACAAGTAACCTCAGTACTTGTCTGAATGACATATACGACAATTACTTATTATATTCACCAGTTAAATTTGAGGCAGCGCCTACACAATTCTATCTTTATTATGGTCATCTGAAAGAGATTGTTTCCTTATTTTTGTGTTCTGTTTCTACTCTTTTAAAATAAGACCTGGATATTTATGTTATTTCGTCAGATTCTTATGAATCCACCATTGTCTTCCATTTGTTTTACTACCATCACAATACACGTTTCTCTCTCACGCGCTAGTTAGAATTGCGACGATCGACCGGTCCATGTGAAAGAAAAGGAGGCAGCTGCTCGTAGTGTACGCATCGGGTGTAAGAAATATTATTTACATTAATTTAAATTAAAGGTAGTCTTGACTTAATTTTTTTAGGCAATGTGTTTGTTTACATATTAAGAATACCTACTAAAAAATGTATTTCACTTGGTAAACAGCGTTTGACCGTAAGTGGGATCTTAAGTGAAGATCCGCCACTTGAAGACCAAGTCAACGTATACGATTGTGTAAAAAACGTCAATTAGACGTTCTTTCGGCCCAAATACCAACAATAATGATAATTTGATGATGATAATAATGATGATAATCTGTATATGGAAATATTTCAATTTATAAAGTAAATCTGTGTGATAATTTACGAAATAAACACCTAGTTAATTTAATTCACTTGAATTTGTATTTCAGTGTTTGTTTTTCCTTTTAGAATTGTTTGTAACTGCACAATTCTTGTTTAAATTTTATCGCTTTATTATTACTCAATTTAGATAAGGTGCTTAGAAGTAAGACATGTCTGGTAAAATTTGCATCCTTTATAAACGGCTCAGGTGTACCTAGGCCTCAAATTCGGGCCCTTTGTACTACTCTCAGTTGAACTAGAGCGGGACATTCAAAAAGTATGTGGTGTGCCGTCTCATCGTCTGTGTAACATCGTCAAGAGATGGTGATTCTATCAAACCCCATGTGGTGCATGTGTTTGTTTAGTTTGCAGTACCCAGAAAGTATTCCCATGAGTTACCTCATGTTCTTTCTTGATAGCCCTGTGCAAAAACGCGCCAGCTTACGAGATGGTTCTTTGAAGGCTTCTCTCGCATGACGATAATCTAACATCATTTTCCACCTAGCCCTGTGCTTGATTTGGGTATCTTGAGTTATTAAGTTGTTTACAGTTTTTATAGAAGCACAACCTCGCCATTGACATTTGCACAAAACGATTTTTTATATTTTTTACCAGGCATGAGCTAGGAAAGACTGACGCACTGTTTCATCTACCGGCCCAACCTATTACACACTTCAAACCCATATTTAAACCAGAAACTCAACTAACCACTACACGCATAGAAATACATAGGTGCATGTTTGAAACGAATGCTCCTCCAGGAAATTTCCTGGAAGCCAGATTTGCAAAACAGTCCTTCACTGCTGGCCAAGAAAATTTCTAGGATGGGAATGTCTATTATAATACTGTCAAATTTACCATGTTAATTGCCAATCCCCAATTCTTTTTAAATGATATAAAAATGACATTTATAGTTTAATTCACACAAACTTATTAATTTATACAATGACTGCGACCTTCAGTCATTTCATTTATTAAAGTTATATTTAGTAAGTAGTTGCATTTTTAGAAGCTTATTTATAGATTGTAGTGTATTGCTAAAACAAAGAGCTAGCTTTTTCTCAATTGTTGCTAGTGGTTAATTTAATAAAGTAGTTTTCATTTATTACTTTTCCACAGCAGAAATTTAGGCGATGAAATGGTGGATTTATTCATAGTTATGTTTGCATACAGCTTGATATTCATAGCGAGATCTCCAACATTAATCATCAAGATGTTTCTTGGTTGAAGCGTCAGAGCTATAAGCTACCGAATTCAAAAAGAACGAACTAAATATCTTGAAAACTGTAGAAGTAGTTAAGGCCTCGGACAGAGAAAGTTGCCATAATAGACCCTTCCAACATGAGTTGGAAAATGCGCTAAAATATACCACGGAATCATAAAATTTTCAAGGAAATTTCAATTTTTTTAAATTAGATGATTAACCCTTTACAAGTCGACAGTACAAATTATGTTTTTTATGTGTTGCAGGCCCAGTGGAATAGGAATACTTTTAATGCAATGTATTTTAATAGGAAGATTTTTAAAAGGAATCTATGAACATTTCTCTCCTACAAACAGTTGCAAAACTACTAACAATATTTCCAAAAATATTCCTGAAAAGATCTTCTGGGCAAGCAGAAAAAAAAACATTTTTACTAAGATGTTCTGTAACAACTAAAAACGTGATTATGGAGACCCTCGTGGAGACCTCAGAAGCCTCGTCAGAAGCTTTTGCAAGTTTTAGAAAAATATCCAAAATGCATCCCAAGATTTTGTGAAAATATTCCTAAGATTTCCAATAAAATTCCCAAGGTTTTCACAAAATTTCAAACCTAAGATGACTTTTTTCCAGGTCATTTTCAAAAAAGTAGACTGAAATAGTTTAGTCAATGACCGTTTTTCCATATAATTTTTCCGAACAGCACCGATTTTCATTCAAATTTGAATTCAGATTCTACTTACCCTCTTCTTCAAAGATGACTCATACTGCAGGTTTCTTTAACCCTGGGAGTGGATCCTACCCCTACACGGGGGGTGAAAAATGGACCAATAAAAATAAGTCTCGCGAACTTTTGTATTATACATTTTTTCCTAGAAGTCCATACTTTTCTACCGTGAGTAGGTTTCAATTTTTGAATCAAGAAATCCACAAATTTTAAAACTTCCTTCTGAGTATTGTGTTTGATTATAAGGTTTTGGAAAGAATTTCAGTGTTAGAAGGTTTATAGAACATTTTTGAGAACGATTTTTAAGAAGTTTTTGAGGATGTTCCAATATTTTTCAAGATACGATTTCAGGTATGGATTCAAAAGGAGATTCTAAGACAAACCATAGGCCTATTTTTCAGAAGAGTTTTCAAGAATAATTTTAGTATAATTAGACTTGGAGAGTTGCATTGACTGTCACTCAAACTGTCCTTTTCAGATTGGTCCACTGTTTGGCCTAGGATGCGGTTGAGTTAAATGGAAGAACATGGCAAAATTTATTTTCTTCATAACTAATAAAAAATAATCCATCGACTTTCACATATTCGATATTTTTCTGTGTACACCAATCAAATCAGTTGTTTAAATATAGAAAAAGTATTTAAACACAACAGATCATGTGGCGTGCGATATAAACACGAGTATAAAGATAAAATATCAATGTACACGAATAAGGCTAAAAGATTTAATGAAGTTTTAACTTGCAATCAAAACAGATGGAAAATTGTATTATAAGACAATCTGAAATATTCAAAATACCACACAAATAGAGGAAACATTCCTGTCGGTTCAGCAGTTTAACAGGAAATGAGAGTACAGACAGACCTACCCGTGCATCATTGGTAGGTAACTAGGTACTTTGTTTGATTCGGATTCCGGGTGCTTGAAAACGTGTATCCCCGTTAAAAAAATGGGGGAGGGGGCATTTTTTTACCCCAATGTAATACCTCCATTACTAACGTGCAGGTGGTCAAAATCAGTGGAATGCATACCAAGAAAAAAACCAAAACCATCTAGAAAGACCAAATGGATAACCACAATAAATGTACAAAATCAATAAAAACAAGTAACAAATCGGGCATAAGGGTTAAAAATTGTAAAGGGGAAATATGTCGGGATAATGCGCACGAATTAAAATCACTACACTGCAACAATACAATAATTTCACTACCTAAAAAACACAGCACATAAGTTCCAAATACCTACCTTTAAGAACTTTGGTTCGACATTCACAGCAAAATCTGTGTTTTCTCAAGTATGTTTCCAAAGTGGTGTGTAAACTACTAGCTTCGATAATGCAAGTGTCCTTCTTACATTCAGGTCGCATGCAATCCCACACCTCCTTCCAAACGGAAGAAATAGGTCGGCTACGTTGCGAGTCTAACGAGTGTAAGAGACAACGATGGCTTTTCTTGTTGCGACGTATTTGACTGTCAACTAGATTGTTTAAGCGTGTACTGAAAATGACATTTATAACAAGATTGTTAACATAGATTTGAAATACCTATGTGCGTGAAACAGACTGCAAAGAACTTGAGGTGTCTGCTTTTCTTCGCGTATTGTTATCATTCCGTCCGGTTTTACAACTATAGGATCTAACGTGGGATGGCCATACTTAAACAGCTGATAATATAGACGCTCGACGCTAGAGGGCAAGTTATAAATAATACTTACGATGGCGGTACCACTCACCTTCTTCTACATCCAACACAAGGTACAGCTTGATTTAAAACATGCAGCATATCTGATCTGGTGACGTGTAGAGCAAGACTCAGCTGAAGTTCAGTAAGTATACTCATTTTGCGAATGAATTCCTCAACCTCTTTGCCTTTTATATGTCGATTATCACAAACAAGACCCATGGATTTCAAGTCCATTACCATCTACAAAACATGTGGATTAGTAAACTTGTAAGCATAATGTACACTAGTGAAAACGCCCAAAACCCTATTTCAATGAAAAAGAGAACGTCTACTCGCGGAATTCTCGCGAGTAAACGCATTTATTTAGAAATTACCGTTAATGTTTCATCCACAACAAGGGGCAACTGCCTTCTATCTAAAGGTTTTGGAGGGCGATACACATCAACCAATTTCGCCATTATATCTTCAGTCGCTCTTCATCAATATCAATTAAAAAATACACGTATTTCACTTTAATTTCTGCATAAACTAACGTTCAGATATATCAAATGAAACAGTGGACAGCGGCTGCCATTTGTAATTTAACTTCCGTCAATTAGTTCGAAAGAAGCTTAACAGATGACACTTCGCGGTGCGCGTTTGCCAAATTGGAAACTTTTAAGTTCGCCAAGTCTGTTTGCAAATCCATTGCTAATTACACAAATTTAAAGAAACGTTTTAGTAAAAGTGAACATACAATGCAATTATCTCTATGTTCATTTAAAAAAAAACCAGATCATATTGCGATATTCAGCAAAAATAGGTGAATAAATTTAATATTTGCACGTTATTCTCATTTAATCGATTCGATGTGAAAAAAAATACATCTTTCAAATCGATGTACATATTATGTACTAGCAATAGTCGCTTTAAGAAAGTGTGTAATATAAAATAAAATAGTGTAAAGTTCAGATATGGAAAAGAACAACACTCGTTAAATACAAAGCTGATGCTATGGTGCTATGCCAGTATATTCCGAGCCGACGATTTTTTTCATTTTTCGAGGAAAACTTATAAATATCCTTTATCAAAAAAGTCCCAACCCTCTAGATTTCCTTTATAATGCGAGATTTCTTAAATAAATTGAAAAAACCTACAGATACGTACTTGATTATTGACAAATCTATAACATGGTGGGTGTACGCTTCACGAATTGGATGACAATATTGAAGTGCCGAAAGAAGGAGAAAATAACTGAAGCTGTATATGAGAAATGATACTAAGAATTTGGAGAATGATTATAGGATATAATTTTATTGAAAGCAGTGATTTATGCGTTATTAATGGGGGTTCTTACGATAAAATTTATCTAGGAAGTTATTGTTTATATTTTTCTGCGCTTACTTGATTTTTCTGCCAATATTTGTACTTAACAAATCAAAATCTTGATGTTAACAAACAGGTTTTTTCAATTTATTTGAATCTAAATGGTGCATTTAGAATGTTTGAATAAGCACTTTTCGTAGCCCCACATTTTTCATAAATGATTTTTTGAACGTATTCAATGATGTATTGCTAATTATGTCTAGATCTTGAAGTTGAAGATTCTACATTATCGATAGCCCTCGAAACCAAAAGTCACAAATACACAGATAAAAGGATCAAAATGTAGAAAATGTCAAATTTTTGGTCACATTGCTAAAAAGTGTCCAAGCAAGATGAAAAACGATAATGCTCTTAGTACTGTTCTGTGCTGTCGACAATTGGTGCTGAAGAGCACGCGTGGTACTTTGATTCGGGTGCGACTTCACCGTCACATTTGACTAAGTAACGTTACTGCGTTTGAAAAATGTTTGAAGCGGTAACTGAATGGTAACGGCTGCCCATAGCGATGTAATGAAAGTAATGGCAACAGAAAATGTGAAACCAAAGAGTATAGTGAAACTAAAAGCAATGTTATCCCGAAAAGCCAGTGCTAACGATCCAGAATGTGCAGCAAATTCCAAAATTGCTAACAGTGTAAACAAAGATGGCAAACTGTTCAATTCCGAAAGAAAGGTGTTTGCTACTGGAACTAGAATAATTAACAACATTTTTGGGGATGTGGTAAAGTAGAGACGCAAATGAGATGCTAAAGCTGATGAAAACTTTCTTGTTGGCTATGAGAAAGGCAATAAGAGGTACGGCTTACATCCATAAGTTACTGGAGCAAACTATATGACCAAATTTTAATCTGTGCTCTTACCTAGGATGCTCTGATCTGCCCCAATCGCTTTAGCCCATAGGCTATAGCTTATTCTGCCTTAGTTAATTAATCCTTGCTTAAAGTTAAGTAGAACTTAAAATCTATGACAACGATTATTAAGACAATCGTTGCTATGGTATTTAAGTTATGCTTAACTTTAAGGGATACTTAATTTTGACGGTGCAATTGGCCCTCAGTGATACTAATTAAGCTACATCCTTAGATCGTTAATATGTATGATCTAATCTAAGGCTACGTCAAAGCAAATCTAACAATGAAGATGTTGCTAATCAAAAGATGAGAAATATGGGTGCTATTGCCATGTGTGTTGCCTAACATGTAATGTACGATTACGTGTATTATACTTCTGGATTGCGATTATTCCACCAAAGAGTACTCGTACTAATCTTGATGTTACCTACTGGTCGTTTTTATATTGAAAACTTGTCGGGATTTTTTTCATTTTTGGTACAAAGGTCTTTTGGGTCAAAACGTAGATTTGAGTGAGTATTCAATGAGAATTAGGATTCTGTTAAATACCTACGAGATAGTTGCAATCGTAACGCGTCAATTAACGAATGTCGTACAAAAATTGAAGTGTTCTCAGTAAACAACAGGAACGTAAAAAAACTGAGTTGGTTCAGTTTTGTAATTTGCAAGAGTGCACTTTGGTGGAAATGCAAAGAACCAAAACGGAACCGATGATAGAAGAGTGAATGAAAAGAAATAACTGCTAGAGTCGAGTGGGTAGTCGTAGTTCGTGCTCCGTGAATATCAAGAGTTTTTCGTTATTATTATGAGTTTTATAATTTTTATTTTTGTGAAAATCTCCAAATAATAACGTTAATTATAGCATAACAATTGAATTATGGCATCAGATGAGGAAATTGAAGACACATTTGCCGGTAAGTCCTAGGTATTAGCTTTTTGATTTTCGTGTTAGCTTTATACCTCGTGTTTACCGTTTTTAACTATTTTTTAACTACTTATCTACGTGTATTATAATTAATTACATTACCTACAACCTTATTAAAGTAGAAATTGCGAAATTTCCTGTTAATTTTTAAGAAAAAATGCATAATTACGAATGGTAATCTGATACTTATTGGCGGGGTGAGGGGCGAATGGGTTTTCATTATTTTTGTGACAGCGCGCGGGCATATCCTGACCCTTAACAAAATGGAGGCCATCAAACAAAGACATTTGCAAATTGCAAATTAATTATTTTCCCTTCGGAATGTCTACGGGTATGTTTGGGGTTAGAAATTTCATATTTTCCCTCCAAATTCTTGTGACATTGACCACTGTCCACATGTCCAAGCACATGTTTCTGACATTTATATTGTTGATATTGTAGGGGTTGAGGAGTCTGTAGAAGAGGCTGCAGCCGAGCACATCGAGAATTCTCCAGAGTCGGATGATGCCATTCTTAAAGGAGTTGTAAGTGTCTTATTTCTCAATTTCTTCACTATTTCATCTATATTTACAGGAAGATGACGATGATTACGATCCCAGTGATGGACGAAAGAAGAAGAAGGGTAAGAAACGTAAGGCACGAAGTGAGGAGAAGAAAGGTAAAAAGAAAAAGAAGAAGAAAAAAAATGATAGCGGCGATGTACGTTGAATTAAACGAGTACATGATCAGTAGCGTAATCATTATGGTTTTAGGAGAGCGACTTTGGTTTGGACGATGATAATGGGGCCCTAGACTCCGACTACACATCGAGTAATAAAAAGGGCCGCAAGAGGGGTTCTACAAAACACATGACACCGGTAGCTGTCGTACCACAGCAGGAACCAATAAGCACATCAGGTACACAGGCCACTTTTCCAATTAATGATTAATCTTAACAGTGCAATTTAAGCGGGAATGCCGACAATAGAAGAGGTATGCACCACTTTCGGGCTTACGGACGTTGAATTAGAATTCACAGAATCGGATTATCAAAATTTAACCACGTACAAATTATTCCAACAGCACGTTAGGCCATTGTTAGCTAAAGAAAATCCAAAGGTACGTTGAATAATCCTCTGCTAAATAATTGATCCTTGTGCCGTAGGTTCCAATGTCAAAATTAATGATGCTGGTTGCCGCGAAGTGGAGAGAATTTTCTACAGAGAATCCCAATTTGCAACAGTCTGAGACTAGCGAACAGCAGCCGGCCACGCCGTCGACTGAATCTGAGTATTCCAGTAAGCCGGAGTATTCCGGTAAACCTGGTAGGCCAAGAAAAGAAACCAGTAAGGTGTGTATATTGTTGGTACAAGGCTGGTCATTAATTAGTTCATTAAAAATAACCCATGCAATGCATTTAATTTCATCAATTACTAATTCGATTTTGGAATATAAAGGCAGTTTATTTCTCAAATTTATTACCTCCATTGCTATTTTACTTGGACAATATTGTTTGGCTGAAGGTTTCAATGCGTGTTTGCTATATGGTTTTTTGTTAGTATCGTTGATTACAAACTGACAGTTGAATAACATCAAGTCCTTCCTCATTTCAATATATTTCCAAGCCTCTTTGATGGTTAGCTAACATTTATACATCAAATGGCTAATTATTACCCTCAATTCGAAGGGCCTTACTAGCTCATTTTGCAAATACATACTACTAAATAATTGGAATGGCCATTCCTTGCTCCCATGGTGTAAAACAAAATGCGCCCCTGTATCCTTCCTTTCTTCATCACGCGGATGAAAATCCAATACAGCGTCCACAAGAAATAAGAAAGCAGTAGCCTGTAGCTTCTACATCTAGCGTGTTATGGAAATTCTTATCACAAATTCAGATTATCCTAAAAAACCGCACATAGAAGGTGCTAACGGGAATCGTCCATTTTCAACCGTTTTAAGCTAGAGAAAATAACGAAATTTGACATTTCTAGTTTTTCGGTAATATCTCACTTATTTTCAAAGATTTTTCAAAAATTTCAAATGGGTTTTTTTTAGTCGCAAAAAGGGGTACTTTACCCCCATTTAACTTACATTGTATTTCTCACCATTACGGAGATCCCAGTGGTGAGCCACGAATTTGAAGCACCCTGTACACAACCAATTTTGTGAAATTCTCTCCATTTTAGTTGTCCGCCCAAGAATTGCAGTGGAATTTTTTTACAAATTTTCGAAAACCCCCAGATATATTTCCATTTAGGGGTGCGCCTTTTCGGGGAAAGAATTTTGACAAAAAAATTGCAAAATCGGAAAGCGCATACCGTCAAACCCATTCAAAGATGTGCCATTGGTCTAGTAACTCTTATAGTTGCTGAGAAAAAAATTAACAAAGAAATGCGAATTTTACCTCTGTTTTGAAGGTGGAAATTTTGCATTTGGACATAATATGAATATTTATTTAGAATATTATTCTAAACAACTTTTTTTAATAACAGCCGGCTTATTGATTGAAATGGCACTTTAAGTAAACATAAAATTATTGCTTTTTGAATTGTCACGGCCATCTTGGCTTTTAAAAAACAAAAATGTGTTTGAAATTCTTTACAGACCAAGCAAGCCGTGATCCCAAAACGAGATTCAAACATTTTTGATTTTTTGACTCAATCCAGGTATACACTATTTAACATCCTGTATAAATTTTGAACCGTTTTGATTTTGTTAAGCTATATGTTTGTCTTTGGCGACGCCTTGTCTCACTCAAATACAAATTGGCTTTGACATTGACATTTCTTTTTTGAATTTGTAAGTGAAGCTTTGGTTTTTTGGGAATGTCACATAAAAAAGTGACTTTCTTTTGAAAATCTCCAGTTCTGCAGATAAACGTGTTCAAAACGTCAAAATAGTCCAGTCAAATTAGCGCAATTTTGGACAAATAAAAACATTAATTGGTAAAGATCTGAATTTTGGTATACACATTTATTGGGACTTTCTATTGAACATATTAAAAGTCCCTGTCAAAATCTGTTGCGCTCGAGACGCCATCTTGGAAAAACGGTACACTTTTCCAGTTTTTTGCCCATGTCTCGGCAATTATTACTGACACGAAGAAATAGTTTACATGAAAAATATAGTTTACTAAATTCCCTATAAAAAAGAGTATTTACATTTTTTTTGTATCTCCAGTACTTTAGCTGTAATCTCACGTTGAATACGTCAGAACGCGTTTAGGCCCCGTATCGTAATTATAGGAGGCCGTCTTTTTTATGACTACATCGATAGCTGTAATAGAGCCAAAAAATGAACAGAATCGTCGTGCGATAAAGCATTCTACCAATGACATAATGTTTGATGATACATCATGTTTTTTTCAAAAAGGTAAGCGAAAATGTGTAAAAGTGTTGGAGCAACGAAATGATTTCTGAAGCTGAAGAACGCCCTTATCTGCATAAGTATAACGTGCCTGCTAGTGAGAGATATTAAAACCGACATCGTTATCAGACCTTCAGAATGACCTTGACCCTGTTCGGACACTCAGTGCTCACATTGAAGATGAAAGTTCTATTGAGAGAGAGTTTTATGAGAAACCTTACTAAACGTGTCTCATACCAAGCTTGAGTGCGACGACTTCGCATATATAAGAAATACTGGTAGAATTTTCAATGAATTTTTAATGATTTGTAAAAAGTTGTAAAAAAATATCTGCGCGACTGTTTCGAGAGCTCAGGATACTTGATTCCCTATTCGATGTCGGATTATAGCTAAAGTATTGGGCATACAGAAAAATGTTAATATGCTTTTTTATGGGCAATTTAATAAACTATATTTTTTATCTGAACTATTTTTCCGTATCAATAATTGTTGCCGATATATAGGCAAGAAACTGAAAAAGTGCTCCTTTTTTCCAGGATGGCGCCTCGAGCGCAACAGATTTTGACGGGGACTTTTAGTATGTCCAATGGGGAACACTAATGAACATGTGTACCAAAATTTCAGATCTTTACCGATTAATGTTTTTATTTTTTCTTATTTGACTGGACTAAAATTGATTATTCGCATCAAACTGTCTTTAATATCCAATCACCTGAAATGTTTTCACCGATTTTCACTCTTATTTCAACATTTGTGAGGGTGGCGTGGAGCGAAAGCTCTAAACCCGTATTTGTTAGTACCAGAGTGTTATGCTAGGTAGACTGATTTTTAATTTTTCCTAAGCGAAATCGAATTTTGGTGGTTCCGGCCGCCTTCTGTCTCGCGTCAACCCCCCACACATCTCTGGAAAGAGCAAAATTTAACACTTTTTGCGCAATAGAAATTTTTTTGACGTGAATTAATTAGAATTAACCAGAATGGATGTGAATTAACGTGAAATAATGTGAATTAATTTGAATTAATGTGAATTAATTTGAATTAACGTGAATTAATTGGAATTAATTTGAATTATTCTGAATTGACTTCAATTAATGAATTTGTTTGCATTATATCACTTCCAAGAAACACTAACTTCCGTAATTATGAGCTGATTTTGACCAAACTTGGGTTGGTGTAAATCATAAATATCTTGGTCAAGTTTGTGAATTTACACCATTTTGGTGGCGGTGGCCACTTTTATATGTTAAATGGCTGTAACCTTTCCTAATCTTAACCAATCATGACTAAACGTTATAGCGTGAAGGGTGGCGGTGAGTGGAGTGAGGAGGGGGGTCCTATCGAATGACATGGCAGTATACACATTACGAATGCACGAGAGTGTACGTGGAGTTCGCATGTTTATGAGACTCCGGATGTGACTTGGCCGTGCGTCGTTGGATTCGTCTCGTCAAAGACTATCTAATAGCAAATTATACATAAACTTCTTAAAATACGGAGAGAGAACGTCAGAAATTCGATGTATTATTCGGTTGATACTGTACAGAAATTAAAACTTCTTTAATTAATTACTCAGCTTGGCATAAAATCTGTAATTGGCCTTAAAATTCAAATTAAGAGCGCTACTTTACTCATGTCCTCATCGGATGCTGTTTACTGCAACTCATTTAATTAGCCAGGTTAATTATACTTAAATGAAGTAAACACAATTAGAATTATCTCGAATTTTTAGAATTTTAGTGTACATAAAATTTGAAGTGGTTTACCTCTCTAGAGTCACTACATATCATATTTTCATCCTTACTTTTTGCTAACATTTTGAGTTATTGCAGTTAAGGGTTGTATAACTTAGTCAAAAATCCGTGAGTGAATTAAATCCCATCATCTTTTTCAGGCCGAATCTGAAATCTTCGATGATGACGATGAAGATGATGAAGAAGAAGACAATAGAATTAGGAAAAAACGAAGTTCCAGAACGAAAAAAACTAGGAAATCTACCAAAGTACCTACTCTTAAAATTAAGTTAGGCAAACGAAAACGTGGCAGTTCGGTAAGGCTCGTTCGCATTTATGTTTGCGTCAGTTTTGACGAGAATTTTTTCAGGAGGACGAGATCGAGGGTAGTGGGAACGGGTCTGATCGCGATTCGGATGTTGAGTTTGAACAGATGTTACGCGATGCGGAAGAACAAAGTACGGCAAAAGCGGAAGAAACTGCCGCCGCTGCCGCGCAGGCTGCTGAAGGTGGTGATGCTGCGAATCAGCCACGACGTAAAGCGAAGACTAAGATAGGCAATAAGACAAAGAAGAAGAATAAGGTTAAAACTAGTAAAAAATTAGGCGGAGAAGGTGAAGAGCAGTATGAGGTAGGTTGTGATTTTTTCTTGTAGTATTTTATCTCGTTTATTGCGCTTAGCATCAAGATTACTGTGAAGTTTGTCAACAAGGTGGTGAAATTATTTTGTGTGATACTTGTCCACGTGCTTACCACTTGGTATGTCTCGATCCTGAATTGGAAGATACGCCAGAAGGTCGTTGGAGCTGTCCACATTGTGAAAACGAAGGCCCCACCGAACAGGACGATGATGAGCATCAAGAGTATTGTCGTATATGTAAGGACGGTGGCGAGCTATTATGTTGTGATTCCTGCCCTGCTGCTTACCACACACACTGTCTTAATCCACCATTAACCGATATACCAGATGGCGATTGGAAATGTCCTCGATGTGGTGTAAGTAGGATCCCCCTTAAAAGTATGTCCCTCATTCAATCGCCAATTGTAGTGTCCACCCATTCCTGGCCGAGTTTTGCGAATTTTAACGTGGCGATGGGCGGAAACTACAGAAGAGAAGCAAGACGCAGCATCCGGAACAAGTAAACCCAAGAAAGTTCGCCAAAGGGAGTTCTTCATTAAATGGGCGGAGGTGTGTATTTGGAAAATTTGAGTTTTTACTGTACTTCTTTTAACTATTTTAATTAAATAGCGATCGTACTGGCATTGCTCTTGGATTAGCGAAATTCAGTTGGAGGTTTATCATCCTTTAATGCTAAGAAATTATTCTCGGAAGTTCGAGCTTGAAGAGCCACCCAAATTTGATGAGCAGATGGATGAAGAGCCCTCGAATTATAAACTACAGTGTAGCAAGTTGAGAACTGCTGAACTTGAAGAACGCTTCTTTAAGTAAGTAAAGCACTAGGCTCTGCCTTTAAGATAAAAACTATCTGATTTGTTTGTTTTCTCAAAATTCTGGGGAAAAACCACAACAGTATTTTTAAGTCATTACTTTAATCATTAAACAAATTATAAAAGTAATCGTAAACGATTTACAAAAAGCTAATTTCCACATTAAAAGTCTTTGTCCTAAAAAAATTAGTTACTCTTGGACACGTGACACTTTCCTTTAAAATTTCAGAATAAAGGCGCTCACAAGTAATAAGAAAGTTGGATCTGCGCATGCGCAATCTAAAAAATTTACATAATGACCCAAAGAGTTAACCGGGGATTCCTACAAAGCCAATTTTATTTATTTATTCCCATTAAATATGTCTTTCTCTTTTAGAACTTGCAAAGGGATCAAATTGTAAGATGTTCATCTAAAATACAAATGTAAACTGCTTATAATATCTACACAAATATTAATTTAATCATTGAATAAGCACCTTAAAGAAGTATAACGCCCGTGTTAACTGAAAATCTGCCCAGGATTCTGTCGTCCCTCTGTTGTGGGGGGGAAGTGAACCACAAATTTAAAGCTAGTTACCGACTTTGCAGATTTCTTTACTTCTTTAAAATTCCAACGTTGCCAGATTTTTCGCAAGCGCTTTGAATTTGAATAAACTAGATTAAAATATTGAATAAGCTTTTATTCAATGCCAATAACAATATTATGTAAGGGAGGATCAATCTGAAATGTAAGATCATAAGGAACAATAAACAAAGTAAAAAATGTAGTTTAATCTAATAAGAAAGCAACAAGAACTGTTCTAAGGACCATTATCTTTACATAATAAACAATCAAACTTTAGCTAGCTCCATATAAGGATCTGGTAAATATGACAACACTGTTCAACTCTGATAAACAAGGAAAACAAAGGACCCCTAAGTATAACTGGTTTCCCTGTTTAAAATAGTCATTATTTACCGCCGCTTTAATATTTGTGGTAATTAACCACTTTGCAGTGTATGCAACACACCTTACACCAATTTCAGGTTTTCCTATGTTCTTTAAAGTGCTTATTCAATGATTTAATATAATACTGTTGACAAATGCCTATCTACATTGAAACATTCAACGTGTGTAGGATCATACTGTCGATGGGCCAAATCGCTGCTTGTGTGAAACCATCAACATCACTAACCGGTTTTTGCATTTTTTTGTTTTTTAAGGACTTGCTAGAGGTTGGTCCGATTTAGAACTTTGAAATAGAAGTCACTGTTTGCAGGCTAATATTTAATGCATCCGCAACTCTGTGAAATGAAATTTGTTACGTACACAAATTCTTATATTACTAAAGCAACCTCTTTTACTGCTATGACTGTTGAAAGCGGACCACCATTATCTCCTTTTCGTTCCAAATAATAAAAGATTAGAAATGAGTTGCTTACTTTTTCATGGTAAACCCGATGGCATTTTGGGTTATGCAACTTTCGGAGCAGAATATCGCAGTGAGACTTACGGAAGTTATGCTTCAATAATTGTTCGTTATGAAACTAACGAATTTTTTTAGCAAAACATGATAAATCATGAAAAGGTAGCAAACAGTTGTCGATATGCCTCAAAAACAGAATTGATGTGCGCGCATACTAAGAAAAATCCTACTTTACCCTAAAATTTCAGAAGGATTGATTCACAAATAACAACGTAGGTTTGAGCATGCGCAATAATTCTTTTACGGGTTTTTAGTGTATTTTCTGCAAAGTGAAAAATCGCCATTGGTTTATATGTAAACACTAAAAGTATAAGTGAAACTAACGATCTTATCAAAATATTATTTTGGGCATGCGCAGCGCCAACTTTCTCATTTACAAAAGCATTTAAATTGAAATTTGATACATAATCACTTAGAATACAAGCAAATCTAACACCAGTTTTAAAATTTGATTTTGCGCATGCGCAATACCAACTTTCTTATTTATGAAAGCATTTAAATTAATTGTCTTTGTCTTTCACTGGCATTGTCATGTTGGTTGCTTGTTACTGGCTTTTCAGGCTTAGATGGGTGCCAGCCAGTTGTGATGTTGAGTGGAAGAGCAGACACGGATGATATCCCTGTCTGAACTCCGCCATTTAGACAGGCTCTGTATAGAAATTGTCTATTAAAGTCATTTATTATTATTATTATTATTATGTGCCAACAGGCATCCTTAAGTGTACACCTACTGTAGATACGTAATATTCGAAATTTTTTTAGGTACGGTGTTAAACCCGAGTGGTTGCTAGTTCATCGAGTAATCAGCCATCGTCAATTGCGCGATGGGCGTACAATCTACTTGGTTAAATGGCGAGATTTACCTTACGATCAAGCCACTTGGGAAGAAGAAACTGATGATATTAGCGGGTTAAAAACTGCAGTTGAATATTATATGGTAACGTAGGGCGCATGTGGAATGCTTCTTTAGTGTTTATTATACTATTACAGGATCTCAGAGCGGCTGCTTTTGGTGACGGATCAGGCAAAAAGGGAAAGAAAGGCAAAGGCAGGAAAAGCAAACCGAGAGAGCTTGCCGACGATGACGATAAAATGTGAGTATTCATCATTAGATTGGTTTCTTAACGCTTATTGGAATTGTTAGAAGAAGATATACACCGCCGCCAGATAAACCGCTGACCGATTTAAAACGCAAGTACGAGAAACAACCCGATTTTATCAGCGAAACTGGAATGCAGTTGCATCCGTATCAGTTGGAAGGCATAAACTGGCTTCGTTACTCGTGGGGACAAGGTTTAGATACAATTTTAGCAGACGAGATGGGTCTCGGTAAAACAATTCAGACGATAACATTTTTGTATTCTTTGTACAAGGAGGGGCACTGTAAGGGCCCGTTTTTGCTTAGTGTTCCTCTTTCGACAATTATTAATTGGGAGAGAGAATTTGAGCTGTGGGCTCCCGATTTTTATTGTATTACATATGTCGGTGATAAAGACTCTAGAGCGATAATTAGAGAAAATGAGTTGACTTTCGAAGAACAAGGTCGCTCTGGTAAAGTGCAGAGATTGAAAGCGAGTTCAATAAAGTTCAACGTTTTACTTACTAGTTACGAATTAATCTCAATAGATTCGGCTTGCTTAGGATCTATCGACTGGGCAGTATTAGTTGTCGATGAAGCTCACAGATTAAAGAGTAATCAATCGAAGGTGAGAAGCGTTTTAGTTATTCAGACATTTAATTTTCTCTTCTTTCAGTTTTTTAAATGCTTTCTAAACAGTTACAGTATTGCCTACAAGTTATTACTAACAGGAACACCTTTGCAAAATAACTTGGAAGAACTCTTCCATTTACTCAATTTCTTAAGTAGTCAGAAATTTAATGACCTAGCCGCTTTCCAAAACGAATTCGCCGACATTTCCAAAGAAGAACAAGTGAAAAGATTACACGAATTATTGGGACCACATATGTTGCGACGATTAAAAGCGGACGTCCTGGTATTATCCCCCAACTTAAATTATTATATTGCTAATAAATTCCTTCACAGAATATGCCTTCGAAATCCGAATTTATCGTAAGAGTAGAATTATCTCCAATGCAAAAGAAGTTCTACAAGTACATTCTGACTCGAAATTACGAAGCATTGAATCCCAAAGGTGGCGGCCAATCGATATCTCTACTTAACATCATGATGGATTTAAAGAAGTGTTGCAATCATCCGTATCTGTTTGCGGTGGCCGCCGAGGAAGCTCCTGTCGGACCTGGTGGGACGTACGAACTTACCAATTTAATTAAGGCTTCGGGAAAATTGATTTTAATGGCAAAAATGTTGAAACTACTTCGTGAGCAAGGCCATAGGTAAGTAGCTAAATTGTACCAATGCAGAGGAAAAATCTTAGCTTGCTTTATTACAATAACCCTAAAAAAGGTATTATTATTAGTTTCCTAGCGCGAGCGAGTTATACATGATAGTTTTGAAGCACGTATTTTTATCTAGAAAAGATATTAGTTTTAGGGGATGATTTATTGGAGTTTAACTGCGTAAGCGAGACGAATTGGGGTGTAAACCAAGGGTGCAGCGGTCATTTCGTTTGGGAGCTGCGACTACCAGTTCCTTAATCTTATATTTCATTCAATGTTGCTTCATTAATTTATATACAGGGTGTCCCATTTATCTTGAGACAGACGATTATTGCGGAAACTAGTGGCGATATGAAAAAATGATTTATATAAAGTCTTCCTCATATGGGGGGGGGGGGGCCCATTTTATGATGCACATTTTTACATAATTGTCCCTTAAGGATCAACTGCAGGGAAACTAATTTTCTCACTTTTTCTTAATACTCCAAATAATCTGGTCGTACACTTAACTGACACACAAACGCTGGCAGCTTCTCGAAACTTCACGTGTTCTTGGTAACACTGAACTTGATAACAAAGAAACATGACTTGATGAATAAGATGATAAATTTTCGGTAGCTGTGCGGACGGTAGAAACTTTTAAATTTTAATGAGTAGAGAACCTTAACAAAAGGCCTCGTTGTACTCCATTGCTTGCTTTTTCAACTTGCCAAAATTTTTGGCGTAATTGGAGAACACCCCTTAAACTGCTAACACAACTTTAGTTAACTTGCTCCTGCATAGTTTATTATAAAAAATGACGAACTGTGTCTTCAACAAAACATTAGACTGACTGCCCGTAATTTAACATATACAGATGTACACGCTTTTCAACCGTCAACTATCAGCAGTAGCTGATCTAAAAACTCACCAATCAACGATTGAACGCGCCAAACGACCCAACTTCTCCAATAGCAGACGCGCAATTCTTCGAAACTCCACCTCTTAGTGACTGGCGATAATAAATGAAAGCGGGTGTGACTCATTCTTTGTATGAAATAATTATGTTATGCTGGCTTGGGATTTTTCTAGAATCTTTTTGTTTGCTATATAAGCAAATTCAATAGTGTTGTGTTTAAGCTTCATATCGATACATCGAAGTGATGAATAGTGAAATCAAAGAAATAATAGACAGGACTGTACCAACCTCAAAATTAACAAATGGTATTGCCAGTAGAGTTAGACTGGCAAACTAATAGCGTTAAGATTTTTCCTCTCCGGGCTATGTTCTAATTACACTATAGTTTGGGTAAGAATAGAGTGCTCTTTTTAGGGTGTTGATATTTTCTCAAATGACAAAAATGTTAGATGTGTTAGAAGACTTCTTGGAAGGTGAAGGTTACAAATACGAACGTATTGACGGCGGTATCACAGGTACACTAAGACAGGAAGCAATTGATCGATTCAACGCCCCTGGTGCACAACAGTTTGTGTTCTTACTATCGACAAGGTAAGCATTTTGACGTAGAGATTATTGTTGATGGCCGATTATTTATCCAGGGCTGGAGGTCTGGGTATCAATTTGGCAACGGCCGATACCGTTATAATCTACGATTCCGATTGGAATCCTCACAATGACATACAGGCTTTTTCGAGAGCCCATCGTATCGGTCAAGCCAATAAAGTAATGATCTATCGGTTTGTCACTCGTAATAGTGTGGAAGAACGTGTCACGCAAGTGGCCAAAAGAAAAATGATGCTTACACATTTGGTGGTAAGACCCGGTATGGGAGGCAAAGGTACAAATTTCACCAAACAAGAGTTGGATGATATTCTTCGATTTGGTACTGAAGAACTGTTTAAAGAAGATGAAAGTAAAGGGGATGAAGCTATACATTATGACGACAAGGCGGTCGCAGAATTGTTGGACAGAAGCAAGGAGGGTATCGAGCAAAAAGAAAATTGGGCCAATGAGTACCTTAGCTCGTTTAAGGTTGCGAGTTATGTGACCAAAGAGGGTGACAATGAAGAAGAAGTCAATACCGAAGTTATCAAACAGGAAGCAGAAAACACGGATCCTGCATATTGGATTAAACTTCTCCGGCATCATTACGAGCAACAGCAGGAGGATATATCACGAACATTAGGAAAGGGAAAACGTGTACGGAAACAAGTGAATTACAATGATGGTGGCATGACAACTGACACTCGAGAGGACTCTACTTGGCAAGAAAATTTATCAGACTACAACTCAGATTTTTCGGCCGGTTCCGATGAAGATCGCGAGGATGATGACTTTGATGAAAAGAATGAAGATCTTAATAGACGCGGCAGAAGACGTCTTGAAAGGAAAGATGAACGAGATCGCCCACTACCTCCGCTTTTAGCGCGTGTAGGCGGAAACATAGAAGTTCTTGGTTTCAACGCGAGACAACGCAAGGCTTTCTTGAACGCGATAATGCGCTACGGAATGCCCCCGCAAGACGCCTTCAATTCCCAGTGGCTGGTTAGGGATTTGCGCGGAAAGTCTGAGAAGATTTTTAAGGCGTACGTTTCCTTATTCATGCGTCATCTTTGTGAGCCAGGAGCGGATAACGCCGAAACCTTTGCTGACGGCGTTCCTCGGGAGGGGCTCAGTCGACAACATGTGCTAACAAGGATAGGCGTCATGTCTTTGATTCGTAAGAAGGTGCAGGAATTCGAGCACATCAATGGCGACTACAGTATGCCCGAGATTATTCGTAAGGGATTAATGGGCGATGCTGCTAAAACTTCGAGCAACCTTCTGGCAGGCGATGCAGATACGCCTAAAAGTGCAACGACAAGTACAAGTGCAACTCCTGCTACAAGTGCTGCTGCTAGTCCCGCACCTGTCCCTGTTGACTCGTCAGAAAAAGAAAAAGAGGTAAGTGCCAACAATCTTTATTATTTATTTATTAGTATATACAGGGTCCCTATTAAAGATAGAAGCAAAGCTCAAACTGTTTGAGATATATTTTGAGAGACATACTTTGAGGTCATAAATAACTATTTTTGACACTCGGTTGACACCATTTATGATTAAGGTAGTAAGAAAGGAAAACAAGTACAAATTGTGCACAACCCTTGTGCAGGTAAAGCATTTTTTTTAAACACCCTTACGAAATTTCTTCCATAAATAATAAAGTTGGCATTGCGCATGCGCAAAACCAAATTTGGAAAATGGCGCTACATTTGCTTTTATTCCAAGTGGCTATGTATCAAATTTCATTTAAATCACTCTATAAATACAGCTCCACCAAGCAAACAAGTCCCTCGGAAAATATGCGAACTAATTTAGACAATTCGTGGCGGGAAAACGTTAAGCCAATACCTACAACGCAGGCGTGTACAGTCCGTAAAAAATGTGACAGTGACACATTTATACATTAAATGTTTATAAAATGCGCTTGTTGCGCCAATTTTATCCGTACGGCAAGAAAAGAGAAACAAACCTCTGCAATTGTGCATTCCGAAGCCAGAAATGTTATTAAAAGGGTAGTGGAATTCTTCGGCAAAGAGAAAGCTGCCGGTGTGTAGATATTTCCTTTGGGAAAGGGCTAGCTGCAGCTGGTGCGACCGGCAAACCAACGAAATTCATAACCAAGATTAGGTAATGTGCATTTCATTAATATTCCTCTGAAATAAATACTTATTGTTATCCTGTAGATCGAAGTCAAACTTGCCGATGATAGGACATGGAAATTTCCATCAAAGACGCAACGAAGTGCAACTTCCTACAAAATAACATTGGATAATTCTGATTTAGGCGTATTGAAGAATGCAATTTACATGATCCATAACAAAGTCTCTACAATCAATAATTAAATAATAAAACCTACATCCATTTTTTATGGAGTACTTGCTAACAGAAGAAGAACCTGGTGTATATAAAACTGACTGAAGCAGGATGAAATAAATTGGAATGAATTGAAAATACACAGCTCATCATCAAATCGAAAAGTATAAGTCTGGATACGACATAATCCACATTAAGAGATTGGAAGAATAAATGTGGCAACGCCATGGATTGTTAGATGAAGCTGTAGAAAGTTTATCTTTCACGGTAATCACTGGCACATCAAGCGAAGGTTCTGAAATCAGTGAAGAAGAAAGTGACGACGATAGCATTTAATTAGTTTTTTTCACTACTAGCGTCTGATGACATGATTATTAACCTTTTTTCCACTTGTAAAGTAGGCTTTCTCGGCATTTGTTCAAAGTGGTTAATAATGTGAACATTATTAACTAGTAGTCAATAATGAGAACTGTCACGCTGTCAATGTTAGAAAACACAACCCGAAATTTCGCTCAATAAACGTTTAGACAAGTTCTCTAAAATGAATAATTGCCACCATCCGCCATTTCCAGAGAAATTACATACCTAAAATTATCATATTTTGAAAAAATTCGAACGAAATTACTCTTTGAAAATATCCCAATGATGAAAATACGGCCTGTTTGACTTGTACTTCTACGTACTTGATTGACATGTTAAATTAAGAAACAAACAATTCTGTCCAACCGTTCACTTTCTTATCAAATTAATATGTTAATTTAGAGGATTTCAAGTGCTAGTAGTGAAAAAAACAGTATATATACTTCGCACCTTACACCCCTCGGCGCAAGCGCCTCGAGATGTAATCTTGGTGCTCAGGCAATAATACTGTACTTCTCTACCTTGATATATAATGTACTATTTTTCACTACTAGCGTCTGATGACATGATTATTAACCTTTTTTCCACTTGTAAAGTAGGCTTTCTCGGCATTTGTTCAAAGTGGTTAATAATTTTTTATTATTAACTAGTAGTCAATAATGAGAACTTTCACGCTGTCACTTTTAGAAAACACAACCCGAAATTTCGCTCAATGAACGTTTAGACAAGTTCTCTAAAACGAATAATTGCCACCATTCGCAATTTCCAGAGAAATTACATACCTAAAATTATCACATTTTGAAAAAATTCGAACGAAATTACTCTTTGAAAAATCTCAATGACAGAACAAAACGGTTTGTTTGACTTGTACTTCCACGTACTTGATTGACATGTTAAATTAAGAAACAAACAATTCTGTCCAACCGTTAACTCTCTTATCAATATATGTTAATTTAGAGGATTTCAAGTGCTAGTAGTGAAAAAAATAGTATATATACCACGATAGAGAAGTCTATTATTGCCTTCGCACCTTACACCCCTCGGCGCAAGCGCCTCGAGATGTAATCTTGGTGCTCAGGCAATAATAGTGGACTTCTCTACCTTGATATATAATGTACTATTATACACACTGCTTTGTCATTAGTAGTACCATTTTATACAATGGTAGTACTCAGGTAACTATTTTGTTATTTTGGGTTGTAGTTCTTGCATTAAACTTCTTTCTCCAGTTTCCAAACGTAGCTACATTAAAAAAAATGCCAAAATAGAACAAGTTTAAATTTCCCGCCAAACACTATTGACACAGACTGTACTTCTAAAATACAGCGACACCAAACCATCGCCTTCTTGACGGACTTGTTTGCTTGGCTTGACTGTAAGAAAGTTGGCACTGCGCATGCGCAAAACGAAATTTTGAAACTGCCCTTAAATTTGGTTTTATTCCAACTGGCTATGGATTGTCTGCGCCGTCTATACTTGGGTATGACTCATCGATGTATAATTAACTTACTGTTCACTTTGTCTCTTAGTGTGGTGTCACACTATGCGTTTTTACCGCTCCTACTAAAACGCTCCTGTTTGACGGGATGATAATATCACCTCAGTTTAAACTCAGTCACTCTTTAAAAATCGGTAACACATCAGGTTACACCACAATAGTATAACAAGTAGATGTCGTTCTGTCAAACCGCATCCGTTTTAGCAGAAGCGGTAAAAACGCATAGTGTGACACCACACCTGACACATACTGCAGCTTATTAGAAAAGGATGGCAATTCGCAACAGTCAGAGTCTGCTGTGCAATTCATATTGCCGGTCCAAAACGTACGTCTTGCATTTGCATTAATTTTTTGTCTGTCATTTGACATTTCGCGTGTACCTGGTTATTCCCTATTTTTACATTTTTACGGTAAATATATCAAGAAACGGCTTCTTTAAAAACTTCTGGTCATTTGCGGAGTGTTTAATTGGTAATATACAATTGTTGTGAAATTAAAAATGTGTTTGTTTATACATATACTGATATACACTTGATTGAAATATTGTCATTTTTACATACGCATATAATAATTATAGGACATTGGTTAAATAAAATGTAACTACACTGTTTTTCTTGTTCTAAAGCTTCAAATTCAATATGTATTTGAGATTAACACGAATTGCCTAAGGGTAGGATATCTTGTTGACTTACGCAAGGCGTAGGTTATGTTACAATCAGCGCGCAGACGTAGGTAATTATAACATTTCTTCTACATTGATAATCCACCACCACAAGTCAAATTATTACTCTTCTTATATGAAAATAATTGCCTTAACTTTTGAAACGGATGCAGCGTATCATGATTCCACATTCACCATTTGACAGATTACAGTGGAGACATCTACCGGTGCGCATTATAACAACACGTCGATTAACCGTCGACTGACGTCGCCTGAATATTAAACCACTTGATTTTAAAAATAAGCCATATCCAAGTAGGTATACGCGGTTCATTCTATATCAAATTTTATTTAAAGTAGTTAGAGCGCGTTCGGCTGAAGTCAAGTGATGTACTCGACCTACCTATTACTTACGGTAAACGTCCCCAAAAAAATGTTGTTATGAAGGAAACATAATTAGAAATACGGTATCAGTGGTATTTTGTACCTCAGCACAATGCAAACGTCTTACATGATTTTTAAAAAGGTATATACAGTAGTCAACTTGACTAGTCTCCCTACTTTTCGACCCTGTTTCAAACCTTTGCACACTAAATGTTGACGACACACTGTGACTAAATATTCACGTGTAAGCGGTAAATCCTAAACGAATATATTTATTTTTAATCAAAACATATGCGAGACGTATGTAACAGCCGGGAAAAATAATTTGGCGTTTTACGTGAAGTCAGTGTAGTGCATTTGGTTTTTCGATGTTGGCGCCAGAGATCCCCAGCCGCTATCTTGATCTCGATCCGATCAGTGTGTCAACAAGGCATGTGCACGCCTTTATAAATATCGCTGGTTTTGGTGTTCTTTCTGAAAGACACCATGCCTTTTGTGAAGAAAAGTGCTCAGCAGAAGAAGGAAAAGATTGTCCTAGCTCAGCTATATACTAGACCTAGTGGAAAAGTCATCAGATTTAAACGCGTGTTGCATAGCGTGCCGCCGCGCCAGAGTAGACGCCGCTCCGGCGGTAAGTAAATATCTTCCTTATTTAATCATGAACATGTACTTTTCCGTGCATATTTAGATTCGTCACAAAATTTCGCTTCTAATGAGACCCATCTCATTTAAGTCTTGATACAAAAACATTCGCTAGCTCAGAAAAACTGAGTCTGTCCATAAGAGCCCATGTTAAAATACCCTGTTTTTACTGTCAAATATCTCAGAAACGGCACATAGGAACACTTTTTTCTTGACCATTAGAAAGTGCGTCTCTCAGAGAATAAGTGACCAAATTTTCACCAACTTCTTGTTACTTTTACCTAGGCGCTCTAACTACTTTAAATGCCTCCATAAATAAGAAAGTTGGCACTGCGCATGCGCAAAACGAAATTTTGAAACTGGCGTTAAATTTGGTTTTATTCCAAGTGGCTATGTATCAAATTTTTTTTTGCCCAATGGTTATATTTCTTCCAAACGTCCCAATCGCCCTTTGTAGGTACGTTCCTTTGACAATTCACTCTTAAGATATCAGGAATTATAACCGATCACGACAAGGGATCGAGGAGGAAGACCAATCGCCCTTTGTAGGTACGTTCCTTTGACAATTCACTCTTAAGATATCAGGAATTATAACCGATCACGACAAGGGATCGAGGAGGAAGACTATGGTTAGTATAAATTAATTCCTTTCGTTGAGACCTATCATTAGAATACAATGAGAGATAAAATTAATTTTTAACCCCTACCTACCGGTAGGACCATTCCCCTAGAAATAGTTCAAAACGGTAAAAGTGGGACAGGACGGACGAACAAACCGCAAACAATGGCACATTTTTTTTTAATTCTTAAAAAATGCGCTTAAAATAAGCTATCTAATGACGTATCACATGACATATGTCCATTTAAAAAAATTTAAGATGGCTGTCACATTCCAAATTCCAAAATATGTGAAATAATTGTAAATGGAAGCGTTCTTTTCATGTCTATACTTCAAACAGTTTCAGTGCGAGATGCTTGGTTCCATCTTTAATAACAACCCTGTGTATTGTTATCGGAGCTTAAGTGCAAGAATGATTTGAATCATGTCTGTTTTAATATTATAGAGTGAAGAACCAAAGGAAGCTAAGGAAGAGAGTAAAGAGAAAGAAGATAACGGAGGTCAAAAAACAGATAGTGAGTCTACAGAATCTGATAAGACTGAAAAAATGGAAGATGTCAAGGAGTCTAGTGATGAGGGAAAAGACAGTAGTGATGGTAAGAAAAGTGAGGGAGACGAAGAGAGCACTGAACCTGTCAAGAAAGCAGAGGATCTATCTAAGGGCGACGAAAAGAGTGAAGATGTGGAGAAGAAAGATGACAAACCTAAAGAAGAGAAGAAAGAAGAAGATGACGACGTTGTCATTGTTCCAGATGATAAAGTACGTGTACTTGTTTTCTTATTAGCTCAGGGGGTTGACATGTGACCAGCTATGAATCTCACCTGTTTCTTTATTAATAATTTCTTTTTTTTTATCTTATTAAGGGTGGTGTTTTTTTTGGGTTGTTGTGGAAATCTTTTATTGTTTAATAATCCAATTTTTGAGAAAAGTGAAATCACAAAACCTAACCTTTAGACGGATGACTGGTGTGGGAGTTAGGGTTCACTAGAAGCAGTAGTGGCAGCAGTAGGAAAACGTTCCCCGTTTGCAAGTGCACAATGTTTCATGTTTCACTTAAATTGTGTGATCCATAAATTTTTTAAAAATAGTAAACTTTCAATCATTGATAAATTGACAGACGTATGATACACTAATTCGAACTAAAGAGAAAATTGCGGTGACAGATGTTTACTAACCATTGCCAAAATCTCTCTGTCTAAAATATATATTGCAATTGGCCTCATTATTTATATTACTTGGCCGGCTCGTGTGGCGCAGTTCAGTTAAAGCTGGACTGTGGTGCTAAGGGTCCCTGGTTCGAATCCGGGTTCGGGCATGGATATTTGTAAATGTATATTGGGTTGGGTTGGTAGATCCTTGGCTGAAACCCCGCCCACTCAAAAATAAAGGCAAAATAAATAAAAAAATAAAATACTTTGCAGAAGAAAACAGAGCCAGATACAGAAGAGCCAAGCAAACGTAAGTTCATGTTCAATATTGCCGATGGAGGTTTTACTGAACTGCACACACTTTGGCTTAATGAAGAAAAGGTAAGAACGTGACAATTCTGGTGTACAGATTGAGATTAATTAGTTCTAGGCTGCGACACCTGGACGCGAATACGAAATTTGGCATAGGAGGCACGATTATTGGTTACTAGCGGGAATTGTGACTCACGGCTACGGTCGATGGCAAGACATTCAGGGCGATACTCGATTTGCCATTATCAACGAACCTTTCAAAATGGATGTTGGAAAGGGCAATTTTCTCGAAATTAAGAACAAATTTTTAGCTAGACGATTTAAGTTACTTGAGCAAGCGTTAGTTATCGAAGAACAGCTACGACGCGCGGCGTACTTGAATCTGACGCAAGATCCGAACCACCCGGCCATGTCGCTCAATGCTCGATTTGCGGAAGTTGAATGCCTCGCTGAATCTCACCAGCATCTCAGCAAGGAGTCATTAGCCGGGAATAAGCCTGCCAATGCAGTACTGCATAAGGTTAGGATTTATTCTTTTCAACTCGAAATGATGCCCTTTTCCATAGGTCTTAAATCAATTGGAAGAACTTCTATCAGACATGAAATCTGACGTGTCACGATTACCTGCAACTTTAGCCCGCATACCGCCCGTTGCCCAAAGATTACAAATGTCTGAACGTAGTATTTTATCTCGACTGGCAGCAACATCATCTTCCACAAATCAGTCAGCAGGTAAGTCCCAACAGTGCAGCAACCGCAAATAATTGCTTATGTTTTAGCCCAAGTTATGAGCCAATTTCCTCCAGGTTTCAATGCAGGAAATTTGCCTAATTTTGCAGCTGCTGCGGCAGCGGCAAACTTTGCCAATTTCAGACCACAGTATTCCGTTCCGGGACAACCGCCCTCTGGTTTTCCATCATAAGGTCTTTTACTGCACATTATTGCTGCTCTGATCTCGGCGTCCTCACACACAGCTGGCTCTCGGTATCACAGCTACGTATTACATTTAATGAGTACAAGATTGTCTACTACTTGTTCATTAGTATTTTGAGTTTTAAGTTATTTAAGAGTGGTAATTATAAATATAAATTATTTGAGTACAGGATGATGCACATGGTTGTTAATGTATCTTGATATAGGTAGTAGGTTTAGGTAATAGTGTCGATAGTTTTTTGTTACAGTGTAAGATCCTCCACTTACGGACGGTGCAGTTTTTTTTAAATAATGGTATGTGAGACATTCCTACGATTGCATATACTCAAAATCATGTTAGGTATTTAAATGTATCTTGTAATAAATCATACTTGAATAAACATCTCCCATTGTAACATTGCATTTGAACTAGCTCTATAGGTTTTGCCACCCTGCGCCGCCCTGTCTGGTAAATTGGCAGACTCGAAACATAATTTCCTACTTTTAAAGTTCGCCACTAATAAATTAATTGAAATCACTCCAAAAATGCTCTATGAAAAGGCACAAAAAAGTAAAAATGACTTCTAAAAAAAAATAAAAAACAAAAGGTATGATGGTTAACAGGAGACGAAACGTCAGACTTAAAATTTAAAACTAGCATCTTGTAGATGGAAAAAAGTGGCCATAATTGTGTAATTTATTTTAAAATATCTTCGGTAAAAAATAAAAATGATTTTGAAAAATTTCGTTTTTTTCAGGAAATCTCCGAAAGTAGTCCGAAATTTTTCAGTTTCAAAACGGCGTTTTGTTAAGCACCAAAATACGCAACTTTGCCAAATTTAAACCTGGCCTCGAATTTGAATCGACCCGTCTTTATTCTGGTTTTAAACATTTAAAGCCTTAATTCGGAAGATTGAATCTATTGCTACACATGTTACATTGAAATCTATACTCCAAAGAAAATCATATAAACAATAAATTCAAATATATCTACACTTTGAACTACCACTGCTTCCTTGCAACATTGTACATATACAATGCTTACACTTTGTGAGTAACTGTGGTGTGTTGTTAAAATTGAATCACCCTATATATTCACTCCTAACCTAACAGTTTCAATTTTGCACCGGTAATGAACTTTAGAATCTTATCTTTACTAAGATTAAGTAAAAAAACATTTTTCCTCAATTACTCATCCAAAGCACAAACAAATTTCAAAATGTCAAGCTGGGAAAAGGAAAAAAAAGAGTTTCTTTCGATGCCATTAGAAGCAAAAAGGAAAGTGTACAAATGCAACAAGCCTGTACTGTTGGACGACGTTCCTACTTGGGCAGAATATGCCGAAATGCAATCGTCCTTGCCAGAGAAAATACCTCTATTGACGACCAATCAAATCGACAATGCGCAAAATACACAATTGGCAAAAAAGATTAGTATGTTTCGTGGTGATATTACCACATTGGAAATTGACGCTATCGTTAATGCGGCCAACAAAACCCTGTTGGGCGGAGGTGGCGTAGATGGAGCAATCCATCGTGCAGCCGGGCCATGTTTAAAACAAGAATGTCAAACTTTGCACGGCTGCCAAGTTGGTGAAGCCAAATTAACAGGCGGATACATGTTACCAGCAAAATGTAAGCGAGTAATAGTGGTAGAGTGTGCTCTAATTGTACTTTTCAGATGTAATTCACACGGTTGGCCCTCAAGGTGAACAACCAGGTTACTTGGCGGAGTGTTACAAAAACAGCTTAAACGTAATGAAAGCACAGAAGCTGCGTACAATTGCTTTCCCATGCATTTCAACCGGTATATATGGCTATCCTTTAAAACCTGCCGCTCATGTTGCTAGTATGGAAGTTCGCAAACATCTGGAGTCTAATTCTGATTCAGTTGATAGAGTTATATTCTGTTTGTTTTCAGAGGAAGATGAAATTTTGTACAAACAGATTCTGCAGTCCTATTTCCCATTAAAATAAGTTGAAATATTGACATTTACTTCCATTGCATGTATGTAGGTGACCATTATTAATAAAATTTGATATATCGCCGATGGGTTTATTTTGCAAATTTTAAAAGAAATTGCAAAAAGCTGCAATATAACTTATTCACAGTGAGCCAGGGGCGGACTGGCTATAAGAGCGTCATGTGCAATCACAGAGCTGGTGCGGCCGAAACCGCCTTTGGGCCGGCACAAGGTACGAAACAACAGTAGGTACAGCAATAGGGAATTGCAAATATACATTTACAAGCGATCTTGTCTAAAGCAGGAATCACATTTATACGAAATCCGACGATACTGTAATCCGACAGGCGTATGATTGGTCAACAATTTCCAATGTCAAGCAAATTTGAAATTGTTGACCAATCAAACGCCTTTCGGATTACAGTATCGTCGGATTTCGTATGCATGTGAATCCAGCTTAAGGCGGGTGACTCACTCCTGTTTGACTTTGACGAGTCATCCTGTTTCACTTTAACGAGTCATGCTGTTTCACTTTAACGAGTCATCCTGTTTGACTTTGACGAGTCTGGCCGGTGCAGTAAGTAGAGTGCTTACAGCTGCTGTTCTTGTTTGAATTGTGACGTGAATAGATAAGCAAATATATTAAAATAAAAATAGCCCTTGCATTGATGTTATAATTTTTGTAGTAGCTGCTGGCTGCATCTTTTAGAACTCATTGTGTTGAAGGTTTTATGTCGGGAACACCTTTTTCTAATTTATCTTCAAATGACGAGATCATTTTTTAAAAGAATAAACTTGAAATTTTAAGTAATCGACGTGCATTAAATGTGCGGGGATAATCACATTTTGGTAAGTAGGTATTTTAAATTAGGTAAGTGGGCATGAATGAAAACTTGGCCTTTTTTCACTCGCAGACATTTTCTGCCACAGCTCCCCAGCCTTTAACGCTTTTTTCACCAAAAGACAGTGCCACAGACCATCAACGGGACAGCGCAATATTTTCTAAATTCTAAACAAATGCTGTGAGTATGCGCTGCAGCATTGCGCCGGACTCGTCAAACACGATGACTCGTTGCGTTCGTTTACGGATTCTAGAACTGTGGCCTACCCGCGGAAACATAAAGTACTATCTGTACCTACTCTTATACATCAGATCCTATACCTGCTTCCTACCGCGGTACAGATTGGAACGGCAACACGCGTTCTTCATTATTTCTAACTACACTATGGCCATTGAATTTATAGAGTTATAAATTCAATGCTATGGCACAGAGCCTTACAAGTTACATCAGTTATTGCGCCGTTCCATGACTCATACTGCGATAGATAGTTAGAAATAATGGCAGAACGCGTGTTGCCGGTTCCAATCTGTACCGCGGTAGAGAGTAGGTAGGATGTGTGCAATAGTACAGATACTAATTAGGTACGCTACTCGGAATTTGTTAATCCCTCAAAGTACCGCTGATGCCGGCTGAGGATTTAGTTGTCTTTAGGTACGAATGTGTTAGTTCTATGTATGACGCGATGTGTGCAATAAATAATATGTATCATTGTATTGAAATCATTCAATTTGCTCTCCTGCCAATCATTCAATAAATTCAAAATGGCAGTTGGCGGGCCGGTATACCCTTCAAATCCCAGGACCGGTCAGTTGTTCCCAGTCCGCCTCTGTAGTAATAGCATATATCTATTCATTTTTTAATAATGCTGAATACTATTTACTCAAAGTTGATGGTACAATTTAAACTTATGATTTGTTAGTGCAGCGGTTCCCAACCTGTGGCACGGGTACGCAAGCGGGCTTTTGGGGGTACGCAAAAAAATGTCAGTAATGGCAATTGGACGCCAGAACAAAACTAAATAAGGTACCACCACAGCTTACTTACTATCCAGCTCCGCAACTCTCGAGCGGCGCCTTTGATATGGCGGTCTACAACCAAGCGAGATGGAATGGTGCCCTCTTTCTCGCGCTTGGGGTAAAAGTCGGGGCCGGAGAATTTTCAACAGTACCGTAAGGCTGCATTGTACCACCGCAATGCTACAGCCTACATTGGCCGCCACTGCTCGTAAGCCTTTGATTTCTTCTAGCGCGCAGATGGAGCGTATAACTGAGCAAGGCTAGACTGGAGCCCAGTCATTGGACGCCAGAACAAAACTAAATAAGGTACCACCACAGCTTACTTACTATCCAGCTCCGCAACTCTCGAGCGGCGCCTTTGATATGGCGGTCTACAACCAAGCGAGATGGAATGGTGCCCTCTTTCTCGCGCTTGGGGTAAAAGTCGGGGCCGGATTAAACGAATTTTCATCGCGCGGTCGCTTCACAGTACCGTAGTAGGTGATTTTTGAGCTGCATTGTAATGTGAACGTTTAGAATTTGCTGTACAATATTACGTAATATTGCAATGAAACTAGGGTTAGGTGTTTAATACATTTTATTGCCTAATTGAATTGAATTCGGGACAATGGCCAACGTGGCAACACTGGGCTTGATTGCACGCCAAACAGGCAATGCAGTCTTTTACCCCAAGAGGCGGGGCATAAGCGCTGCGCGCGTAGATCGGCGCAAACCGCTCCCGCCAAGAGAGTTGTGCAGCTGGATAGTAAGTAAGCTGTGGTACCACTTTCTTTTAACACCTTCACCCATTTTTGAATTGTGACACGCGCACTATACGCCTTGGTCATCCTGATCCTTTGAGCTCTTACTTTATCTGTATAAATTAACGTTTTTCCAAAGACTTTTACATTTCTAAAAGTTCCTGATACGTTCTTTTCCGCTATTCCCCTCCTGGTTTAAGTCTTCAGAACTTTTCTTTGCCATCCAGAGTTGGACTGGGTCAAGCATAGAGTGACCCAGTGACCCGGTGACCCAGTTAGTTTACTGACCCGGTGACTCAGTGCCCCAGCTTGACCCGGTGACCCAGTTAGACCCTGTGGCCCAGCTTGACCCGGTGACTCAGCTTGACCCAGTGACCCAGCTTTACTCAGTGACCCATCTTGACCCGGTGGCCCAGTTTAAACCGTTGACCTCTATGTTGATCCAGTTGAATCCTCCGGTGACCCAGTAATTATACAATAATATTCGCCAACAAGCACGTAGCCCAATTTCATTCAAGAGAACTAATAGCTAAAATAATCAAATGTTTATAGTTTGTAGTCAGGTAGTCAATGAAAGTATTTAGAGAAAAGATTTATTTGGATTAAGCTAACTAGTAGAAGAAAATTAAATGAGAATGAACACCTGTAAGCAACTGGTAAGCCCTGAAGCAAAGAAATGAAGGAGGGAACTGTTTAGAAATAACATTGCTATAATACAATTCGGGACATGGAAAGTTTTTTACGGCAGTATTAAAGCAAATATCACAGAAATGGCAGTTGTCAAGCAATCGAGTATTATTTTCAACAAATCAGCATTAAGTTTCATTTATTTCATAATCTGTACACTTGAACCGAGGGCACTGACTTAACTGCGTTATTCGATCAAACTAGGTTACTAGGTCGAATTGGGTCCCCGGGTGAAATTGGGTCGCTGGGTCAAACTGGGTCACTGGGTCAAATTGGGTCGCTGGGTATAATTGAAAAGAGTATGACGTGACCCAGAGACCCAGTTTAATTCAGTGACCCAGTCCAACTCTGTTGCCATCTTCCCAATCCATGTCTCATTGGCACTCATAACTAGTCCATGATCATAGTATTAGTAAGTTACTGTTCCTTAGATTCTATTAGATCCTAAATACGAAGGATATAATCGTCAGTTCGGCCCTTTTTCAATAAAATTGATGCCATGGAATTTTATAATACAAAAACTACGCCAATATCCGTCATGCTATGGAATGTCTGCTACAAAACAAATCAAATTCTATCAAAAAGTATTTAATTTAGAACAGCGAATTCAACATAAAGAAAGACCAAATTATTAAAAACGGTTTCCCAATATAACAATTTACAATAAATCTTCGAATAAGTCACCATTAACTGCAAGACAGTAACCAAGTCGATCATAAAATCCATTTCGAACCGCTGCCAATTGATAACTGGACTTCTATTTGTTTTAGAAAATTCCATGAAAAAGATGCGGGTTTTATTTTTCCAATTTTCCGTCTTTATTATGCAAAAAATGGAAAACTAATACGGTTGATTGGCGTAAAAAAATTTTTTCTACAAAAAACTTTAATACATTTTTGCTCTAAAATAATTTGGGGAGCCAATAATCGCATGTTATGAATTTTACATTGAAATCCCTATGATGCGTTACACAAGTCACCACCCTGTATACTAATACGATACTAATACCTTAGTGTAATACACTATGCTAATACATATAAGGTACAATGACCATAGTATACTACATATTATGCTATCACAGTAAATAGGTACCATATAGTCATTACAACTAATGGATATGGTACAAGACATAATATTTTCAACTTCCAAGACGCCAATAACGGGAAGTAGGGAAAATGTGGTTGGTCAATCTTTTAAAATCATTACTTATTAGGCATTGAAACGCAAAATTTGATTGTATAACGGCGCGTTTGGGCACACAACAACACTGATATAAGTGACAAACGCATTTAATGCAATATTAATTGAGCAAAATGGAACCACATTAATTTGTTTTTGAAAATGAAAACTTATCGATAACATACTGAAATACGATAGATGCCATACAGTAGGTATCGATTTGGTAAATGCGTTGGTATTTTCTTTCACCTGCCGCCAATCAACTAGCGAAAACATCAAATAAATGGACGTCACTCTAGAACGTAGCAGCGGTATCAGGTTTTATTTCGTAGGTATCATATCTATCAATTAGCTACCTTCCCCTCGAACGGTTCGTTATCTAGTATTACCTACCTAGATTAACATTCCAATATTGGCTTACTATTGTGATAACAACAGATGAGCGAAAAAAAACATATTAAAAAATTATCATCCTGCCATTTGGAATATTACCTACTTCCGATTTGTTCATGTTTTTTCAAACAAAAGTGTGTGCGCAAGTTAATATCCACAAACATCAAAAAGTATATGGTAAGTGTTTTGTAAATATGAAAATTATTTGCCTCCACTCCGTAATCCAAAACATGGCATTGTTTATCAAGTACTGTTATACTTCTGTTAAACCTTTTTAAGACTACCCCAAGTATAATTATAAGTAGGATTCTCAATAATGGTACTGATAAATATAATGGAGTCCAAACTCCATTACGATTCCATGTAATACCGGTTGTTTTCAGTTTAAAAATGACACCTATGTATTATTGTGATTTTCGTAAGTGCATGGGGTTAGAAAAAAGTCAGGTTTTAGTTCAATTTTTCTTGTTTTCATATATAACCCGACGAAGACATCAACCGTTAGTGTGGAGTTTATTTTTGCGCACAAATTCAGTCCAGATCATTATGTCCAATCTAGAACGTTAAAAAATTTTAATTAATAAAATTTACGACCGCAAAAGTAGTATGGTTGAACAACGTGAACTATTGACAACTGATCTTTTGTTTTCACCTTTGGTATAGAGTTAAGCCGTTAAGGTGATTGCCTATAAGAGAGACGACTCTTAGACCAAACATATTTCCAGTGAGATGGTGAGATATGATCGCCGAATAGGTAAATCCTGCAGCATACAAATACAAATGGGAAATGCGAACCAACAAATTAAGGTATCTACTCCTTGAAGAAACCGACGGAGCCCGATGTGATAGGCATGTTGTTTGCTTATGCTGCAGAGTATAGTTATTAGGAGATCATATACTTTTGTCAATGACGGTACCAAGGGTTAGTTCGCAGCGTTATTTGGAATACCTTAGATACTACCTACTTGGTTTCAAAAAATTGAAAGAAAAGGGAAAGATAAATACTAGGTACTTCATATAATCTTATCGTTCTTACATAAAGTCTGTTTCTACGCCACTTTATCATAATGTTTAATAACAAGTAGGTAAACGCATATTAACGCTCAGTAACAACAAATGTAGAAAGTTACCACAAACAAGGCAATAAGACAGCGCGATTGTGACGGATTCGTCTTGAGTAAGTAAATGAGTAGATCGAATATAATATGATAAAATTAAATTGACGCGATGTAGTATCGAAGCATCCAAGAAATTCACTCCCTCTATTAGTAACTTGCAAATCTCTACAATTCCTTTCTAATTTTGGCGTTCTTGGTGACCTTTCACCTATATCAGCCGTAAATTCCATAGGGTTCTCTTTCCTCGGACACCGTCGACTCCCCCACAAAGCTTGCATCGCTTTGCTCTGTCGCTTATAATAATACCAAAGAGACTTTACAAGTGTATAACTTATGCCTACCTATAGACTTTATAAACGATATAGAAATTTAATCAATTGCAATGTTCACAAAAATAATAGAAACATTTAATTTAATAAAGTGCGCAGGAAATCTTTCCCTAAAAATGGCTGCATTGAAGACGACGGTGAAAGTGTTAAATGCGTTGCTCGCCACAAATTAATTTCAGGTGGTTTGTGTTATCCCTTGTTTTCGGAGAGTTCACAGTGTTAAAGATTCTAGTAAAGTTCTTTAATTTTATATAGCAGATGCTAAATTGACATTTTAATAGATTTGAATGAGTAGGAAAAGTCGCTATTTAACCATGCCTGATGATTTTTGTCATTCTTATTTCAAATGGGACGGGGAGCACGATATAAAATGACGTTAAGAACATATGACAAATGACAATGCTGTTTCTATGGTATCGTCTCATATAAGAGGAGTTATTTATCACGAGATGGTTAGTTTCCCCGTATCGTCGTGTATAATACAAAACTACATAAACTAAATTTTATAGCAGAAGCTATATAAACCATTGCAAAGCTTCTGACAATTATGTACACTTTCGGTATTATCATCATTTTTTAGTCTTCAGCGACCATCTACTCATACTGATCTAGTTCTCGTAAAACGTCTTCCTTCCAATCGCGCTCTACGTCAAATGAACTCAGTAAGATTGAAACTTTATGAATTACTTCTTATGCTTCCCGAGCTGTTTCATACTTACTATAATAAATAATAGTAAATAACACTTACGTCCATTTTCACCGGAAAATTAACCGAGCTGAGCTTAGGCATGGCAACCATTGTCGCAATAATCGTTATCATCAATTTTGAGCTAAAGGCATTAATCACGTTACTCGCTCGCTACAGTACAGGTTCATTTTATAAATTATAGTTATTAATGATATCTACAAGTTTGATATGAACACCATGATTAAACCCGTGTAATGTTAACATCACGAGGCGTCAGCCGGAGTGGTTTTAGTTACATACATTTCAGGAACGTGTATCATTTAAGATTTAATCAACGACGGTCCAGTAGACCTAGGTATTCAATGACTTAGGCCTACACAGCGATTTGGGAATTTCGTAAGATAATAAAGCGCTCTGGGTCTAGTCGTGCAAGTACCTATTAAATCAGATGCTTATTTTATCTGACTTAGATATGGCGAGAAGGCCGTGGACAATCGCAAAACACATTTAAATAAAAAACAAAACCCCACGTAAACTAATAGCATTAGCATCTGACAAGGTATCAAATGAAGTGATGTCCTTGCATAGCATGTTCAACGAAACAATTTATAGACGGTTACAGCTAAGTACTCTAGATAACGGTTAATCATATAAACACGTGTATTATAGGTACTCATGTTGAATACTGACAGTATATACCTATTGTAACTTGACCTCTGAGAGGGAAGTTTCAGAGCAAGGTTGCCTTTTGCTTATACATTTGGTCAGGTTCAAATGTTAAAAATTTGTATTCAATTGCGTTATTTCCACAGGTGCCAGGTACCTATTACCATATTTCAAAGAATAAAATTTCAATAGTATACCATACCTACTAAATCCTCTGCATGTATTCGTGGTCAAATTGATCTACGCATGCGCAAACCTAATTTTTAATTCGTTTGATCCGTTTCCCAATAATTCAGTTAAATTGTTGGTCAACATTTTTTATTTATCGCGTATACTAAACAAGTTAAAAAAGTCTCTGATGTGCCATCACTAGACGTCAGCGTATTTTTGATGTGGCAGATCAGTAGCTTTTCAGGCCGTTCACTTTTCAATTTGAAAAATTTGGTTTGACGGCAATGAAAATTCATATTATCATTGATTATCAACTTCAGGAATGACTTTCAGCTTTCAGACTATATGCGATGCAGGAATAACACGATAGTACGAATCGAGGTACGAATATAATGCCGAAGGTTCTACGATATTCCGTTACCGAGATCTCGATCGATTTATATAAGCTCCCTTTTGGGAATCAATGCGCAAAAAAAGTAGGAAAAGAGAAAACCATATATGCAAAAGAGGATTAGCCATGTTCAATAAACCTCATCAGTTTATTCCTGGCTCCACACCAACATCAATGAATGTAGATAGTCAGAACTCAGAAGAGATATCCTTCATCAATGCGAATAAAAAATAATTTTTCAATCGAAGAGTTTATCCGTTGTTGCGGTGTTAGCTTTAGCCTAATTGGTGTGTATCTTTATAACTGTCGAGTAAATCCCTTCTGAAAAAAAAATTATCATCAATCTATCACCATGTTGTACCAATTATTTGATATTCTAATTACATCACCCCACTATACGCCACCGAACTCCCAGATATTTACACAAAAACGCCTTTATATACGCCATACATACTTTCGCGCATTTTTATTTTAATATCTAACCGATGCCAAAAATAAACGGCCTTCACCAAGAGCAAAGTTAAACAAACATTATTGTTATACTATTCCAGATACCTACATCTTCGAATGTAAAGAAAATAGATCATCCTTACGGTGGGCATGCAAACAATGGAGATGCGACAGACGTGGGACAGATTCAGGGAAAACGCGCGGTTTTTCTGGGAAAGTTACATCGCCGTCAGTATCATGCGGAACTGCATCGTATTGGTATTTGTGCTGACGGTTGTAAACAGTTCTAATACACAGGTGAGTGATTTTCTATAACTAACTAATTAATCATCAATCAAGTTTATTTGGCCCCAATTCTCTCAAATGCCGTTTTAAGTCTGAACGTAATAAAAAAAAAGTTTAGTTCGAGAGTGATAAACTTCCCTTATGTTATTTGGATTGAGAAACCATTTGGTAAATAGACCTTTGCCTAAAAATGATTTAGATCGGGTGCTTTTTTTGTAATTCTTTAAAAAAAGTTGATGAAATAGCAAAACGCTTATTTTTTAATTTTATTTAAAGCGATGTCTTTCCCTACAAGTTGCAAGGTTTTAGAGAGTGCGCTGTAATGGGATACTAGCGTTAGATTCTTTTAATTGTAAGTGTCGCGGAACAATAAGGAGCGGTTTCTATTAGCAAAAGTACTCATTATTAAGTAAACAATCAATGACATAGGAGGCACATTAGAAAAATTCTATTTATAACTTTCCCTATCAATATAATGAAACAAACGGTAATATAAACATACAGAAATATTTATCTGAAATTAGATTTCCAATATTATTTGCAGCTTCAAGTTCATCTTTTATTACACTATTCTATAGTGACCGGTAATATTCGTTCGGCAGCATTGCCAATATGGTATGCATATATTGTTTTGTTTGATGAAACAGATGGTAAACTTTTCACATCCAATTACAGTAGGTAAAACCTCCTTAATCTAAACAATTAATGCCCCAGATATGTCCGAATTAACAAGATAGTTGTCCGGGTTATTTTATTGTTTCTTATATATTATATTTTTATTATTAGATAGGTACTATAGTATTATAACAAAATGAAATCAATGTGGTTAACTCGCAAAAATACCCAGTCTCTTCTCTATGTGCTGCCCAAAATCTTTTCAGCGGTACGGCTCGTAGGCTGGGTGTCGTTAATATCTGACTCTCGGCGTAATTTCGTTTTCTAGGTATCGCCTCGAAGAAGATATTCGCTTAAAAAAAGGGGCGGCTCAAATGCGTAAGACAACTACCGCAGCTTCTGCGTCTGAGGCTCCCCGTGGGCTAACTTACTTCTCACACAAATCAAATTAAATCAAAAAACGTTTATTAGTTTTGGGGACGGTTGACTATTTGAGACATAGATATTACACGATGGCAGCTGTTCAGAACTCAAGTGGTATCTGGTGTGCCATGTGTTGTTCAGTGGTGTCCTAGTAAATCTTCCAGTATGGGAATTACACTGACCATGTTCTGAGAATTGACTAACATAGGCGACCCAGAATGCCTCCCCCTTCCCCCTTTATAAGGTGGTGTTCGAAATTTTCACCGATTAGTGTCTAACCAAATATTGCAATGGTTATATTGGTTTTAAGTTACTAGTAACACACTGTACCTAAACTAGTAAGGATCTGCAAAACACCTTGTTCCCATGTTAATTCCCCATGTTCGGTTTTGGAATATTCACCCCATATGTGATCGGATACATCTTTGAAAATCCAATGTTATAATGCGCAGTCAACAATTAATTTTAAATACTTTAGATTACAGGAGCAGTTGGAACTACAAGAGTACCATCATTTATCACTCCAGGTAAATATCTTGAAATCAAACAATATTGATAACATAAATTTGTACCATAGACCCAAATGATTCAAAAAACAAAAACGAAGAAAATGGAGATACGGAAGGTAATGAATGTTAACATCACACTACCATCATAAAACCACCTTTTTAAATTCACTCGCCCATATTACAAACCTATACGCACCAGGTAATCATACAACGGTTCTTGCTCATAAGTGGTACTATTTCAATCAAGGAACTTTTAAATTTAATTTTTCCAGGTGGCGTGTCGAACATTCAAATTGAACCCGAATATAATTCCACGAGAAATAAAATAATCCTAAATGTTTCTTGGGACAAACCATCAAGTAGGTACGAATCAAAGTCGAAAAGTGGTTTTGATAATCTGCTCTGCTTGTAGACGAGTCCTCTGTTCGATATTATGATTTTAAAATCACCCCCAATTCAACTTACCAGGAATGCAACCATGACGAGTTTAAAATAACAAAAAGGAACAAGGTAGAGGGATCACCTTTTTTTTTTATGTCCCTATAATTTGCTTTTTTTCAGACATGGACCAGCATGCGTTTACCACCAGACCTCTACAGGTACGAAATCTTCCCTGGTTGTACATACATAATTAGTGTTATAACCGGTCGTGATAAGAACCGACGATTCCAAGACGATATTCTCTATACCCTTCCAGGTAGCTACCAATCCAACTTTTGAAATTCTAATACTAAGGTGTTCAAATTTCAGAATGCGTCGGTAACAAATGTTCTTGCATACATTTAAGTCCTCACGTAAACAACCTATCAGTGAACGAATTCAATCCAGGAAGCATAAACATTTCCTGGGAGATTAACCGCGAAGGATCTAACGAGACAATTTTCAATATTACAAGAATATTACTCGAGTAAGGATGGGAGAATTCGATTTTAAGGTATAGAGTTGTTTATTTCGTAGGTATCGATCAAAAGCTGATCGCGTGCCCTTCAACAAATTAGCAACTGTAGATACCGTCGACGATGATTATTTTATTCAAAGAGAAGGGTACAAATTATTTACACCTGGAGAGCTATACGAGATACAAGCCACGTTTTACAATACCTTTGAATGCAAAGTAATCAATTACACGAATTTCAGTTGTAAGTATGTACTATGGCTATTATGTTCAATGAGAAACTGATTACGGGAAGCTAATGTGAGTAGAGTTCTGAAAGTTGGTTCATAAGGGTTATTGAAAGAGACAGTGAGACAGGTCCTGGTAAGCTCTGGTAAGGGTCTAGCACTATAGCTAGAGAATCTGGGAAGAGAGCAGTTCTAATACCTAAACCTGTGCGAGGGTGGTAGAATGCCTTGGAAAGCATTTAAAATGTTTTGAAAAGTTTTATCATTGCCCCGTGAAGTCTCCTGGACACATGATATAATAGTCTTTTCAAACATTCTAGGTGCACAAATTTTCGTTTCGTTCCATTTTTAAGAAAATGGTTTTACAAAAATGGTTATTCAAGTTTTGAGCTGCCTCTATCCTTTTAATGTGTCTAATTCTGGTAAAACCTGAATCCGTATGAAACGTAAAACATTTTAAAAGAGACAACTTTTATGTAGAAATTTTCGGAAATCTATTCACGTTTGCTGGGAAGTCATTTTCATAGGACCTCGCGGTTCTGATACAATAAAAAAAAATTTTTTTCGCAACATTTTTCTTTTTATTTTTTCTTTTGTTTTCCTTTGTCTTTTTTTATTTTAATACTTTTAACATTTTTTTTTTAAATTAATACATGAACATTGTTATTGGGGCAACCTGTTATGTTCATAGATAGCTAAATAAATAAATAAATATTTAAAAAAGACGTAACCGAACTTTTGTAGTGGCTGCACTGGAAGTGTTACAAGATACAACATTAAAAGGATTCTCATGGGAAATTATCTTATTAATAGCATGTTCTTCATTGACGATTCTTTTGTTTGGATCTTACATTATCAGAAGAAATAGATTAATATTAAAGGAGATCATTTGTCATACCTTCTCTTTGCGGTTTGCAAGAACTGAAAATTATGCAGATAAAAGTCCTGCCGCGTATATCATTATACCAACTGCGTAAGTACGTTTACCGTAATTAACTATCTAATAATTCCAGAGATTTTTAAAAAAATGAAAATCAATCTTTGGGCGCGAGCGATAAAAATTGAGTTTTTTTGGGGATTTGCGCGATACAGTTAACTTTAGTCGATTTTGAGATGCATATCGTGATGTTCGAAATGAAAAGTGGTTTCAGTGTAATATCAATACAACCTTTTTGTAAAGCAATTATTAATCGAACTAAATTTTTATCTGTGCCTCGAATTTCAAACTAATTCTTGAATTGGCAATATACTCAAATTTGATCCGATTTAATTGGGCGGTTTTCTTCGGACCTCTTATTGTTTGCGCTCCGATTTGTTTCGGTTTGAATATTGTAATTATTTCATTTTGTCCCATTTTTTCGTTCTTGTCTCATTATTATATGTTCAATTTCAAAAAGTTTTTTTATAGAGTGAAAAGAGAAGAGGAGACGAATCCCTTATATATTGAAAAAGAAATTTTGGTATGGAGAACCATTTATATCGTTGTCTTCACATTTGCATTGTAGGATGGAACCGTAGATCAGTTTGAACTTCCGAGAGCAAGGATTAAGTTTCTCAAATATCTTAAAGGTGGTGAATTCGGTCAAGTATTCCTAGCGAAAGTGTTAAACATTGACAACAAGCCAGGATATTCGACAACTGCCATAAAGTCTATCAGGGGTATGTCATGCGGCTGTTATATTGGTAACTTGACCGTAAATTTTTATAGAAGGTGCACCTGATGATGAAAAAGCAGCCTTTATAATGGAGATAGACATTGTTAAGAAACTTGGGGAGCATCCGAACATCGTGAAAATATTCGGATGCTGTCAATTGCAAGAGCCGTATCTAATAATTATGGAGTACATTCCGTGCGGAGATTTGCGTAATTATCTAATCGACTTGCGAGAAAAGTGGAAGCAGCAAAACAAGGATGAACGATCGCCCATGTTTTCAGAGTAATAAACATGTGAAATTGTGAAGGCATAGACGGGCTACATGTAGATTTTATTTTTTACTCAAAATTCTGTTTCCACAAATTTTTTGAATTTGCAGAGTAGGTAAATCCTAGACCCATTTTCTAAAATGTGAGAATATTTAAAAATTATTGGGAATGTGCCAAGACTTCTACAGCTAAGGCCTAGAGGCATTGAAAGGCACTCGTATTTTGTGCCAGTGTAGAATCCTTTCAAATTTTTTTGGAAAGGAAAATAGCAACTTTCTCCAGTTTCAGGGTTTAAAAGGCTAAAGATCATTAGAGAGGCTGTAGATACATCTGGAAGGGTGACACAATGCTCTGAAGAGACACTTTAAGAGACTTTCTATAGCCTCTAGACAAACTTAGGGAGCCATTAAAAACTAAATTTGGAATTTACACTTCGAATGCGAACATAATAAATTGTAGATCTATATGTAGCCCCCTTTACGGCTCCGTATGAAACAAACCAGAGAGTAATGATATTATGATGATCATTTCAGAACGAACAGCGCGGCGTATATCTTTCCCAATGTGCCAAGGAGCCAGAAGAAGTCCGAGGCATTATCGTTACCAGAAAGTGAGTTTTTTGTTTTTCAGCACGTTGTCTAATGACCCATTTTAGCCGAGTATTCAAATTTGAGCAGTGATGGGAATCCCACTCCCACTGACTGTTATCTTGCGAAAGTCGAAAGTAGCCTAGATAATAACGAATTACAACACTTTGCGCTACAAATAGCAAGAGGCATGGAACACCTCGAAAGCATGGGAATAGTTCACAGGTATACCGTTCATCTTTCCACAGTACCACCACTAATCTCAGCTTCTTAGAGATTTAGCAGCTCGCAATATTTTAATTAACGAATTTCGAACACTCAAAATTACCGATTTCGGAATGTCTAGAATGAGCCCCTATGTGAGCGGTATACGTGATAAAGTGCCTTTACGGTGGGTGGCACTTGAGGCAATTGAAAATCAATATTACGACAGCAGGAGCGACGTGTGGTCATTTGCTGTCGTTCTCTGGGAAATTGGCACCTTAGGTCTATATATACGTTAACCTGCGTAATGCTTTATAAAGTTATAGTGTTATTATTATAGGCGCCTTTCCCTATGGAAATGTCGCAGATGCGAAAATAGTGACATACTTACAAAGTGGAGAACGATTGGAGAGACCCGAAGTGTGTACGGACGAGTTATACTCTCTTATGCTGAGATGTTGGTCAAGAGCAACACAGCTGAGGCCTTCGTTTCAGGAATTAGTTCACCTGCTAGACTCCAGAAAGAAACACATATATGTAGACTTCGGGCAGTTAAATCCTTTATATATGTTTCCTCCTACCAAAGAGTAGATTATTATAGTAATGTACAGTCGCTAATAAGAAATCTGTGATATTAAAATATTAGGAAAGACAAATAGTACAAAAGGAAGTACAACACAGTACTACAAATAAAGTAATTCAGTATTCTATTAGCCATTTTTAACACCATTAGTCAGATCTTGTCGGGGGATACCATATTCCCTCTGTCGGTAAACTGCGGATCTAGAAAAATCCAAACCGTCGACTTCAGGCGAAAGGCGAAAAAATACACGGCAAAACGTATCAATAATTATGGGACAAGGGAAAAAACGGGATTTCCCAAAGGCGGTACGAAGTTCGCCGGGACCGATAGTACTTTATAATAATAATAATAATAAGCCATTTATTGGACACACTTCCACCTCAATAATATATAATAACAAAACAAAAAAACAATTTAAAAAAAAAGAAAAAAAAAAGGAGTGTCCAAAGGGACGAAGTTCAGTCTTGCCAAAATTAGGCGACTGTTCTACCACTTCATCCCAAGATGAGACTAAATTACTGTCTGCTAATTAGGAAATGGCGTACATGTAGTTTAAAATGATCAGAGGGTAAGGTTTTAAACGAACCAGGTAACTCATTATAATACTTCGCAATATTATATGCAAAAGACCGCTTGTAATAATTCAAAAAAATTAAAATGACTTACATATATCGCTGGAATCGGTGTTTTCTTCAAGTTAAAAATGGTACGGCGTTCCCTTGCAAAAGAAGGGTCCCTCCAGGAAATTTGGAAACTGGGACGCTCTCGGTGTGAGACAGTTGAACCCTTTTGTGACTTGCGTTCGTACAAAATTACCGCTCGTAGTACTACGGAAATGTTCAGGATAATGAAGCTTGTATTTACCTCGACCGCGTTCAAAACTTGCGTCACATTTTCGAAGAAATAATTCGAATTGTTTGTGCATAAGAATAAAAAACCCAAATTCTAACTACTTTTCGTTTGTTATTTGAATGAATATTAATTGTATTGATAACACTGAGTATATGTACGTGTCGGATTATAGCGAATTGTCTTTATCGGAATTTTATTAACACGAGCGTTGCGTTACGTACCTTTTCTCCGACGTTTTATCTGCATATACTCCGGTTTAAATCATGGCTATCCTCCAATTCAGACCCGAATGATTTAAGTTTTTTCCGGGATTCACAGAACTTGGCACGGAAGTTTATATTCTCCAGTACTCCTTGATGGCGACAATCTCTGGCACGGAAAGCGACACCTTGCAACTAAAATCAAGTGAATTTCTCTTACAACCGCGTGATTGAATTTGGGCGATCCATAAAACTGTACGACTAGCTCGCACGCTATTGTGATCGAGATTGAGCTGGACCTCTATATATACCCGCATTTTATCCCTCTATCTGTCTCTCCAGACGATTCTACGCAACCTCACAGCTAGCCCAGAGTCCGCCGAAATTGCGTCAACAGCGCACGCTTTTCTCAATACAATCGTCTTATCACTATCCCACTCGCGTTTACCTTTCATATGAAGCGGTATATATCTAAATTTTTCTATACTAAAATGAAGTAAAAGTTCGAGAAATTAGAGGACAATTTTTTATGAACAACAAACGTTTACATGCTATCTTGGCGTATTAAATTACCACACATTCTCAACGATTGCATACGACAATTAATCACGATTGTAATGTTCTAGAAATTCACTAAATATTTAAATAGACCAAGTATTTACATAAATGCCTAGGTCTAGACCTATGGCAAATAAAATTCGCCACAAACTAATAATCAGCGGCGGTGTTTGCCAAATAGTCACGCCTTCCAATGTTTGAGGCTTGTTTGTTCTGCAACGCTTCCAACTTAGGACAATCGGTGATTCGATGACCCAATCCACCGCAATAACTGCAACCCCTATCATCTGAAGATTTTAATCGTTAACCAACCCCACAATTATGTAAAGTATCCTACCTCCCAAATTGAGATACTTCTCGCTTTCCGAGCATAACTCAGACAGAAAAGTGGGCACCTTCTGCTTAGCCTCCATCAACAAATGTTTTAAGTCCAATAATACCGACTCATCGTTGGCCTTATTAATAAAAGTTGTGGCGAGGCCTTGTTGCCCAGATCGCCCAGTACGACCAATCCTGTGCACTGGAAAATTCACCAGAATCAGCACTGTTCGTCGACTTAAATACCTACTCACCGTAATTTTCAACGTCATCTGGCATGTCGTAGTTAATCACGTGTTGTACGTCAGGGAAATCTAATCCCTTCGAAGCAACATCGGTGGCGACGAGTACATCTTTTTGTTGCTTTCTGAACGCCTCAACTGATCGAGACCGTTCTTCTTGATCTTTACCGCCGTGAATTGCAACCGCCTCCACCCCTTTCAATAGTAGATACTCGTGAATTGCGTCTACGTCTTGCTTCTTCTCAGCGAAGATTAGTACTGGTGGTTGAGTTTTTTGTAAGCACTCCAACAGATAGACTACCTTCGCTTCTTGTTTTACGTATTCCACTTCCTTCAATTCAAGATACATTTTATGAATTAGATTAGCTTTTTACAAAAATGTGTCCGATTGTTACTTTATGCTTTAGTCATCTAGTGTGAAGGATATGTATGGAACAGGATAACAGTCGTTTTTATCAGTAGAGCCATATTATTTCATAAAGATTAAATTAGCAAATTATAGATGGGTATTTTACCTAAGATTTGAGATCGATTAATTGATTTTTTACCCATTACGTGAGTCGAATGACTATCTTAATCCATTAGTTTTAGTCAAAATCGATTTGTGGATTATCTAACATTAGCCTCCTGGAACACCACTAGTAATTTCAAGTGTACTTACTTGAATAACATTCATAGATGCAGCACCGGCACGTCCCACATTAATAGTAACTGGTTTCACAAGAGCCGACCGAGCGAAATTTTGGATCTTTTTCGGCATCGTAGCAGAAAACAATAAGGTTTGTCTCTGTCCCTGTTTAATGCTAGAGTTATGTGTTACTTGCTTGCAGAATACTTACATTAAAGTATGAAAAAATTGTCCGAACATCTTCCTCAAAACCTAAATCAATCATACGATCCGCTTCGTCCATACATAAGTATCTGCAAACGCTTAACCGTGCTATTTTTTTTTCGAGCATATCCATGAGTCTTCCAGGAGTTGCTACCATAATATGCACTCCCCTTAAAATAAAAATTTGGATGTGGCCCTTCAACCTCGCCGTAAAATTTTAATTAAATTAAAAAACGTACCTTTGGATAATTTCAATTGACTCTGAAACTGGTACGCCACCAATTGCTAGACAACTCCGTATTTCCGGCATGCCATGTTTCTGGAGCGCATCACAGAAAAATTGTATAATATCGAAAGTTTGCTTCGCAAGTTCCCTCGAAGGGCAAATAATTAGTCCGTACGGTCCTTCATTTTTGATGAAGGGCATCTTCATCTCTTGCTCGAGGCAGAACATAATTAGTGGCAGTGCGAAAACTAGCGTTTTGCCAGACCCAGTAAATGCAATTCCAATCATGTCGCGACCTGATAAACTAAAATAGAAGTCAAAAAGTAACGACACAATAAAAATAACTAACACAGTCGGAATGCCTTGGATTTGAATGGGAGTGGGTTTTTTAATTTTTTTCTCTTCTAAACCGGCTATAATGCCTTTGTGGAGTTTCATTTCTTTGAACGAACGAATAGGAGAAGGTACGTCTTCTCCTTCCACCAGAATCCTAAGTTCGGCCCGTAAACGTTCGTGCCTTGCTTCAGACATGGCCAGGATATGCCGCGGAGGCCGCCAACTACAAAATCCTAATAAAATGTACTCATAAATACAAGAACTACCTTGTCTTTATTGGTTCGCTGTACTGAATTCCTTTCGCCAATTCTGAAACACCCATCAAAGCCTTCTTTTCGGCTACACTCTCCAATATTTCTTCTTCTTTGCGTAGTTGCCGCTCGACTGCGCTGACTTTCTTTGCTGCGATTTTGGTGTAAGATATACATGCAACAATAACGCGAGTGCTCACCTTCGGCTAACTTCTTTAATTCTGTATGCTGATCAAGCAACGATATATTGTTTTTCCTACCCCAGGCTTGATCCTCGTCCTCGTCCTCGATGTTACTGTCATTCTCGCTCGACGATTTCACCTTACTTTGCTCGGCCTCCTTTATTTGGCCGAGCCTCCCGAGCTTGAGAAGTTTTTGTTTTTTGCGCTCTTTGATCGGAACGTATGGGACGTATTTGGAATCGTCAGAGTCGGAATCATCTTTAATTTCCTTCCTATACCTCTACAACAAGTGTTTCAATTAGGTGGACACTCTTGGAAGAAGAAATTCAACACCTCCCAAAGGAAGCTGAACTGCAGACTTTACAAAAAGGAACAGAGAAAAGAATTGGATGTCTGACAAAAAACTCACAGACAAACCCTCTTCGAAATGTAAAAAAAAATAGCTGAAAACGATTGACAAAATGTACACACTCTGTATATTGCTGCGCATTTGTAACATATCATCATTCCCTCCGTTTATTTTCAAAAGAAGCAAAATCGGCGTGCACGGTCGGTCAATTTTTTGCGAAGCGAATAATTGAATATTTTAGGCGAATTCGAAGACAAAATAAGTTTTTTTAAAAAGTTGTATGAAGAAGTTGTGTTCTTTAATACGTAAATAGACCACGCAATAAATTTCATGGAAAACCCCCAGATATCCAAACCTAGCGAAGATCAAAATTGTTTTCACAAGGGGCGTACTAAAAATCCTAGGTAAAGCCGTAAATTCCATCCTTCTATTCGTTATGGTAACTAAGAAAGAAGACACGCAAAGTATAGGATTTTTGGGGACGTATAGCTCCCAAACTGTACACGCAAATTGGGTAACAAAAGATCTGACTTCGGATCAGACATTGACTGACCACCCTATTATTGAGCTCGCCATTTTCGATTTTACAAAAAAATATAAATTCCTACACCAATCCCAAGGGAAAGTAACATTAATTTTTGTGTACAGGGTGGTTCAAATTCGTTGCTCACCAGTGGGATCTTTGAAAATAACTGAAATATCACCGAAAAACTAAAAACGAGACTCACAATGTCAAATCTCGTTTTCATTTCCCTAGTTTGAACAGTACAAATGGACGGTTCTCGTTAGCAACTTCTATTTTTTTCGGAGAATCTGAATCTGTCATCAGCATTTCCATAACCCGCCAGATGTAGTTGCTACAGGGTACTAGTTTTTTATTTCTTATGGGTGCCATATTGGATATTTAGGGAATGAGATACAAAACAAAAATCTCTAATTCTCTTCAAATTTGTGCAAGAGAATTTTGAATATTTCGTTTTTATATTGTCATTACTATCAAGACCTGTTTATCGAAAGTTAATAATCCGGTAAAATGTAAACTGAAAAGCCTATGGGGAGGTGGAGCTATGACTGATTACTACAAGCAAAGATAATAAGTATTATCTTTGCTATAAGGTACACTTTTGCCTCACAGTGTTGTGGCATCAAAAGGAGACCTAATTTGTGCCAAACTACATTTTTCAAATGATTTGAGGTTCTCTTCAAACTTGACTTTTACTTTCACTTAACTCACGTCAACTTAGTGGCCAAACAAGCAAAAAAAGCAGGGGTACTTTTAAGTAGCGACCCATGCAATGCCAGGTACAAGTCCATTTTCTTAAATAAGTACTTTTTACTTATAGTAGTGATATGGTCTACCTCTGCATACCTCCTCAATTTGACCACTGATCAAAATGATGGTGGGATTCATCCCTACATACCTACCTATAAGAAATATATAAAAAAAAACTTTCCAATGCAAGTAAGACTCTCAATTTGTCTATGACACCTTGACATATCCCAGCATTTGTGCGAAACACCTCACGATCCTCCTTTACAACCCGGCGAATTTTAAGCTGGTTAGCAACATTGCTCTAAAAGACACATTTTATTTACTGTTACTGCCATTTAGCCTCGCATTTAGCTAACTACTGAAAAGTGGGTTTTTTTTTATAACGGTCGCAAAAAGGAAAAAATTATGAGAGACCAAAAACTTTCCAAACAAACCAAAAAATCAAATTCTTATTTTACAATTTACCAGTGGCTTACCGAAAAAGGTTCAAGGGTAGAAAATGGAACATGCGAGGGAACAAGGCCCTTGAAAAAAATAACACCCAGTAGATTCTTACTACCAGTGACATGTCCAATGATGTAAGCCCTTCAGCGTAACCTACGGTATAATAAAATAAAAATGCGTAACCTATATTTCAAATATGAGCAAAATATCTCAAAAACTGCAGGACTTAAACTTAAATCTTGAAATTTTAACACCCTGTAGATCGGTAATCAAGCCTATAGATTTTTAGTCTAAAGTAAGTAAAAAATTCGCCCCTTCTGTATGTATATAATATTTAGAAACAGCCTGTATACCAAAATTCTATCTTGGTTTCTCTCTTGAGCAATTGAATCGATTTGTGAAATTTTATCCACCACAGCCAGCAAGGAAATACTTGACTAAGTAAAAAGCACAGCAAACAATGACATAAAAAATACGGACAGGTTCACTTCAAGAATTCTTTGAAGATCTAATGGTGGAGGTGGAGCGTCCATCCTTCAGACGATGAAGATTAAGATTGTGGCCGAAACCATTTAGGAACCTGGCCTAATGGACAAACACCTACATTATACAGGTGATGTCAGAAGGAAATCAAAACATCACATCAAGTTATCAGCCAATGTAATACTGGGTGTCCTCTTCGAATTGCAAAGATCACACAAAACGATTTAAGGAAATCGAACCTCAGCAGACTTCAAACACTCCTTGCTCACATCATACTTAACACAAAAGTGGATACTTTACTGCACTCACTTTAATAGGGGGATCGCCTTCACTCATGATTTGTTTTGTTTTAAACGCGCACCAAAACAAAACACATAACCTGACTTTTGTGTCACTTTCATAACAAACGTGGCATTAGACACAGTCGTTTTCCTGAGTTTTCCACTTTTTCACTCTTTTAATCAAGTTTTAAGTGAATTATATCCCATTTGTACAATAACAATGACTATGAGACCAGATGATCACCGCAGAAAGTGGGACCGCGCAGAGTATGAAAGATTAGCAGAGGAGAGAAAGCGCGAGGAACGAGAACGAGAAGATGACGAGGAAAATCGAAAGAAGGGCCCTCCGGTGAAACGTGAACTACTGAAACCGAGAGAGTATAAAGTAGACTTAGACTCGAAACTTGGCAAAAGTATCGTTATTAATAAAAACACGCCGACATCGCAATCGGGCGGTTACTACTGCAATGTGTGCGATTGCGTCGTTAAGGATTCCATCAACTTCTTGGATCACATCAACGGTAAAAAACACCAACGTAATTTAGGTAAGTACACAATTTATTAAATATGTGGCGGTATTATTCTAGTTTTTAGGTATGTCAATGCGAGTTGAGCGTAGTTCGTTAGATGCGGTGAAAGGTAGATTTCAAAGTAACAAAAAGAAGATGGAGGAGAAGCGAAAAGATTACGACATGGCCCAACGCATGCAAGAAATCGCAGAGGAAGAGGAAAAATTGAAGGAGTATCGAAGAGAAAAACGAAAGGAGAAGAGGAAAGCGGAAGAAATGGAAGAACCTAACGAACAAGCCGGCGAACTTACTAGTATAATGGGATTTACTGGTTTTGGGTCAGGAAAAAAAAAGTAGTGCTAGTTAAAATAAAGAGACATTGTGAGTGAAAATTTCAGTATGAGAATCGAGACTAGCATCTTCAATTGAAATGTAGCAATACTCCCACCGCTGTCCGTTTCTAAAACTCCCTTGTAGGTTTGGTTGATATTGTCACATTTAATTACTAGTACACTATTAATAACTTCTGTTGTAAGCTCTGCCATATTTTTTGCAGCTAAGTTTCCACAGTGAGCGAGTGTTTCATTATAGTAACAATTTAGTATGCGTTTGTAAGAACTATAAAAGCACTCTGTTAATGTTTGTATAAATCAAACACCGCCAGTTACTCGCATATTATTTCATTGTTACTATTTTCAATCCAATCCTCGGGTCCATTGCATGCTACAAATGCATCTCTAGATGTATGAAGGCAGTTGTGATGGTTTATGAAGTCTCGAGCAAATTTGGTGTTTGTACATAATTTATTATAAAGTGTGTCGACTCCTTGAATTAACTTGGTAAATAAACTATGTTCGAAGGGAGTGCATGACTGTAAATATGTACTTAATTGATTTAAATTTTCCGCAATTTTACTAAAAATGGAGTGCAGTAAGTAATATTAGTGTGATTAATCTGAAACACCTACTCGCATAGTTTAGGTAAGCTGTCGAGTGTGGACAGGTTTATAATCATTTCTGGATTAATTATTTGCATATTGGCCAGGTATTTCATTAGAATGTCCTCGTTGCATGGTGGAAGTGCCAAAACTGTAAAATAATGTAATGAAAGAATTTTAAGGTTTATAATTTTACCATTGCAAATGGTAAACAAAGCCAAAACATATTTCATTCATAGAGTTTGATTCTTTTCATAAAACCAGCAAAGAACAAATGGCATGTACAAATGACAAATTGAAATTAAAAGAATTGTCAAATTGATATCTATAGGCAAACAGTTTTTGAAAAATGAGACAATAAAGACCATTTCTACAAACAAAAGATTTCTGATCTGCATATAGTCTAATTGGGTTGCAGTTAGCATTTGCGGATTTAGTTTGGTTGTGTCTTAATGTCCAATTTGGTTTCTATACACCAATTGTGTTCATATATATAAAATAAGATACCCTATTCTTGTCACTGAGATGTTTGATGATTATGTGTATATCTCTTTTGAATTTTGTTGTCATAGTTGATTTATTGCGTCTATTTGTGTGGGTTATGCCGGGTTTTTTGTTCACAAAAGGTTTTCCTAGTACCGCCTTCTTGTGTAGGTACTATATTTTATTGGTTCTTGTTTTTTCTTACGCACAAAATTCTGCATTTAATTCAATTGTTTTCCCGATTAGCTCTCACCTCTTGACACATAAAAGGACCGATTACCCAAAGCTGGATGAATGAAAAAGGACTTTAGTGGGTCACAAAATTATAAAGCGGCACCTTTATAGCAAGAAACCAGTCAACATATACTTAGATGTATATGGGGCAGCCGTCCTAAGACTCGATAAGTATATTATGTAATCATTGGAAAGCGCTTGAAAGGGGTACGTACCAAGATAGCAAACATTTGGCGACGACTACTAGGATCAAAAGGGGGACAAAGAAGAATGCTGCCATCGACAGTTAATAATGTATGGTGCTGTACGGATGCGAAACGTGGGACGTAGCTACCCAAACAAAAGAGGTGCAGAATATGCTCAAAGAAAGATGGCCGTAAGCCTCAGCCTCGGCCCCAGCATACCACATAATGCCTACAAAGGATTTATTTGTGGTGGCAAGCACAACACCGCTGAGACTTGTGGTAGACGAAAGAAGATTAGGCGATAAAGACAAGAAACAATAAAAATATTGCCGCCCGAATTGGGAAAAAAAAGGGTCGTGGACAGACACTGGTAGGTCACACAGTTTCTAACAGACGACGGAGAAAATGGAGTTTTTTTTTGCGGACATAGAGGTTGGGAAGGTCACGGAATGTTCGAATGTCCTAAATGCGGCGGCCAAAGAACAAGGTTAGCGCTAAAGGTAGTAGATAACACAATGCACACTAATGCTATAGAAAGCGCCGAAGACTGGAACCTTATAAAAAAGTATATAGATGGAGTAATAGCACAGACTGTGGTAATAGCAACAAGAAAGTTAGAGGCATCGAAAGAATGCCAGAAGCTGTAACCAGTTAATAAGAATGGAGAAATATTTGGGTTGGTGATAGCCCCACACTGCCTTTATAACACGCGGGAACGTATTTTGGATTCGTCGGTTGTTGGATTGTCATCGGAGACAATATTCAAAGGCGCATCCATGGTTTGTTCGAAATCGGTGCGTATCTGTCGCGGACGTTGGAGGATCAAAGGGAAATATCTTGTAGACTACACTCCAAGGGTTCTTCGACATGCTGGCCTCAACAAAACGTTGCCATGACCTACCTAAGCTTTGGTTTCCTTGCATCTAGTTTATAGCTCTTTAATGTGGATTCATTCCACTATGAGCTCATTCCACAGTATTATTACTGGTGGACCAACGGCCGTATTGCGACCAATCCTGTCCACCTAGTGAAACGTCATCCCTATAGACTTTTAGGACCCAGGGCTTGCATGAAGGTCATTTTGATGTCGTCAACCGTCTTAATGACGTCGGTTTTAAGTACCACAACGAAAGGAAACACAAAATACAGACACAAACGGCCATGCGCTGGATCTTGGTGCTATGCACAGAGCCTGCACTATTTGAAAGATGGAAGATTTATTTCCATTTGAAGAGAAACCAGAGCACAGGGGGATATACTGTGACCAGATGTATTTTCTTATACATTACATTTATTGTGCCACTTGTAGCTATACATAGGGATATCAGCGGGTGAGTGTGCCAGAATTAGAGTAGGTACAACTGTTGGATTTCTTTATCATGTACCTATTACTTACTTATCAATAAGTTGCAGGGAGAACAGCTAAAAAAACCTGAATAATAGTAAACCTGCTTTCGTTCCAATTTATTTAACAACACATGTATATTAACATAGATATACCGTGTGAACAAATAATACCTTTATGTTAAGAATCGGAATTGTATACTAATTCGCATATTTACACATTACATTACACAATAACGTTAGATAACAGCTCTCAAAAATGAATTGAAACATTGATACAATAAAGAACAAATAATAAATAAATAACGTTCGTAATAAATAAGATTCAAAAATTAATTTATAGTACCTAGGTAGGTACCGCGTAAGTTTTGCATTGCAAAATAAACGTTAATACCAATGTAAAACTTGCTTTCAGTTAACACCACAATTGTATTTCGTTAGTGTAACATATAATTGCACAAATGCTAAATTTACAGTTAACGTTAGGTTTAGGTATAAATATTAGGTAGCGTAATCACAGATTAAGAACAAAATTACATGGTAATGTGAAGCAAGTTATTAAAATATATTACACTCCTCTATGAGGAAGGTATTTTATGTATTTGTACAATAGGTACACTATTACGTAAAAATAACATTAGAAACCTAAGTTTGTTATGGGACACTTACCACTTGTTTCGTTTCCATTTTAACTAACAATATTAAAAATCAAATTGTCTACTTAAATGTGTATAAAAGCAGAGAACACAATTTTTAATACTCAAATTTAAAACGGTTTATGTACACTGAAATGTACATTGTTTTTCTTCTAGGTATCAGAAGTATCTACAATTTCTTTTTTTAGTCGTGCCATTCGACTCTCATTAATTGCTAACATTATCTCGGGGGAAGGGGTTTAGAATTATTTACAATGTGATCACAATAGAGAATTGCTTAAAAACAATATTAGAAATATTAAATTGGTGTAGGTAGGACAGTAAAATCTTGAAGAGCACACTTGACAGTTTCATATAATGGCCTATTCTCCTCGCTACAATACCCGTCCGGAGTACATAGGGTTTGCAGTTTTGTTAAATACGAATCAAAATTCTCTTGTCCGATTTTTTCAGGCGTGGAGCCACCACCTGGGAGACGAACGTGCTCTAACAAGGTGATGACATTGTTGCGCAAGCTCTCGTAGTACTCGTTGAGGTTGCTGTTCCGTTGGGTCAAGGCTTGCGTTTCCTGGTGGGAAATTTTTAGTGTAGTCCGAATGCTTTTTTATGAAAATGCTGGCGAATACGAAAGTGAAGTTAGGTGTACTTTTAGACAAACTTCGTTTTTAATAGTACAAATATCGATACAATCTAGAGAAATTTCAGAAGTGGTTTAGCTCTCTGCACTTGTTTGACTGTAATCATCAAAAATGTCAATAGGCAACAAGCATGACAAGAAAGTACCATTAAGATGAATGTGATTTGAGATCTTTGATGATTACCGTTTTATAACGAAACATGCAAAAAAGGAAAAAAGCTGATAAATGCGCAGGCAGATCCGACTCAAAGAAAGTGTTACACGATTTTTGAAATAAATTCTAGAGTGTATTACATTTGACAAAAAAAGGCGGTAAATTTGATTGACAAGTAACACCTTATACCGCACTGCACTGTATATAGCAAAGTGTTTGTGTAATTCTTATTCTTTACCTTTTCTCCATGACTAAGATGGCTTTCCATGGCATTAATATCATTTTTTAATTTTATCATTTGAGATTCTACGCGCGCATTTTCTCTTTGTAGTTCCGAAATCTCTGCCTCTAAAGTCATGAGGTCTTCACCGTTCCCAACCGAGGTATCCATACCTGCAACAAGTAAGGCGATTTAAGTTTGTTACGAAGACGATTTAATTTTTTTTAACACGTGACCAAACGCTGTAACTATCTATTTCGGTACCATGAAAAGGTCTCTTAGAGAGAAAACTGTCTATATTCAAGCACTTTGCTTTTCATAGAATAAGTATTTTTTAAATGCGTTCTTCTTTGTGGACCCATTGTGAAAGCATTGATTAAACACAGTGTGTATAATCAATGGTGAAGGTAAGTAATGACATTTTACATTATGCGGTAAAGATGTTTTACTAGCGAGCCGTTATGCAAAAATGGAATTGGAGCTTGTAAAAACCGTTACCTTACGTATAATGTATAGGTACTATTTCATTTGTTACTCAATAATATTAAACTTAAATTATAGTCATGACACTATAATACCATATTAATCTCAATGAAATTTCCAAAATGTCTTCATTGTTTACACGGAAAAGGTTAGTAGACTCGGAGCTGGACATTAGGGCACGAGACGATAAGGCACGAGGGTAAAAAGACGCGAGACAAAAGGTTGTGTGTCAATAGGGTGCGAAGGCAATAGGGCGCCGAACGTTCAAGAGTTGGATACTAAGAAGCTAACAAAGTTTTAAAAAATCCATAGATTCGATTGGACATTTCATAATACGCAGACATTATTTTTCAAAATGAACATAGGGTTGAAGCACCGTTCTAAAATCTAATGCACTAGGGTCGGTGAGTACGGTTACAGGCAGTGGACATGCAACGGGAAAAACTATAATCAATCAATGGAATTATGGTATTTTAATTATTTTTAGTACATTATTGGCATGATATGGCAGGCAACAGAACAAAAATCAATTTCTATAAAATGTGTTTGAGTCTGAAGGAGCAATGCCAGTGGTTCAATCAGAGGGGGGGGGGCACAGTGCCCCCCCCCCCCCCGGCATCTAGTTTGACTATCAAATCGTAATATGTACCTACTGCTTTCAGCGCCCAAACACTTGTCTAAAAAATTTATAATTGCAGGTTGTCCAGCCCCCTTGACTAGCATTTCTGGTTGCTAACTGCCACTGCCACTGATTCAATCTATAACATACTCATACTAACTCCCGCCCTTTTATCGCGCGCAGTATGCGCCTTCTCATCTTCGGCGCACTAGTGGCCGCGCCGTTATGTCCTAGACCGTTTGCGGACTTGTACGTTGGGAAATTATGTATTTTATGTTCTATTAGTAGCTTGTGACACTTAAGTTCTGCTTGATTTGAGTAACAAATAAAAGTCTTAAAAATTTCTATTTCACAGCCAAAATAGAAATTTTTAAGGTGATTACGGCGTTACGCTATGTGTAGAAACTGAAGTTCGGAATGTTGCAATTACCTGTTCCGTATCCCTTCGAGTAGAACGATGGCATGTCTTCATATTTGTGTTTTTTGGCCGTCTGTCCTGCAACCGGACAACCACTTAATGATCGATGAGTAAGAAAAGATCCGTTAATGTGACCTGTGCCATCACAGCCGGGCGTAGGACAATTAACGCCTTCGAATTTCATTGCTGAAGCTGCAACCGCCGCTGCCTTGTGTTGGTCTACATTGCCGCCGGTGTCAATTACACCACGCATTTTGTTACGATTTGCTATTGGGCAGCCTGAAGCACTACAAAAATATGAAACATTAATTAGGTAGGTACTCAATTTTGAAAAGACAAAAAGTAATACAATGTTTCCGAAACGTTTTCTGGGCATTTGTTTTGGATTTTGTATACATGGTGGAGCCACAACGACTTCAATACGTCACTGAAAATAATTATTCAAAAGAACACAAACGGATTTTAATTTTGATTGGGAGAGATGGTCAACCCACTATTTAACTCTCCATTTAACTTCTTAAGCGTAATGGCAACTTTCGCTCAATTTTATGATAATCAACGAGTTAAAAAAATATTCGTGATCAGCATAGGTATATATATGCGTCAGTGCCAACTCATCATTCTCGCTGGCATCTAACAGTAGCTCGGAGTTCCGTTTGGAAATTACAGAAATTAATGTTGGATTCTTCATTTTTTCCAAAAAAAAAATTTGGGTGAAATCTGATTTTGGAAAATTGGTGTTGTTTTACAAAATCAGAAAATTCGATAATCACTCTCAACAGCATATTTTAAGATCTTATTTAAACTTTAAAGCACCATTTTAGACGCGTTTAGCGAATATTATTTGGTTTTTTTTTGCTAGAATGTTTGTAAAATCTAAAAATTAGACAATATGCAGTTCGTGTTGGTACGTCCTCTGTACAGCGAGTTTTTGTTGAAAAAGATGTGCAAATAAAACTTGTCTTTGAACGGGCCACCATTTATTTATTATTGATTTTATTCCATTAGGCGGATACCCGATATGGGGTTACTAGAAAACCAGAAAATACCAATTACTTCTGACGATATCCCAAAAAACCGAAATTTGCCAATTTTTTTATTATGTTATTAGAACAGATACCTACAAAAAATTTAAAAAAAACTTTCTCATTGTCACCTTTTGAACTCTACTGCTTTGAGCACTGTTGAGACATTTTCAGTATACCTATCCTTCGTTTTGGAGAAATCACCATTAAATTTATTTTTTTATATGGCCCGTAGAAAAAGTACATACTAAGCAAGGCACACACAGGAAACAAAAGTTGGAAATTGTTGGATTCAATAGGATGGTGCATTCGCACACAACCCCGGAATCGTGTGAGAATATTAATTATCGGATATATTTTTCATTTTCCAGGAAACGGTGTCTTGTAGGGCTCAAAAAGTGGCAATGAGAAGGCGTTTTTTTTGTATCTGCTCAAATAATATCAGCAAGAATGAATATGATATCGGCAAATTTCGGGTTTTCTGGCATATCTTCGGAAGTAATCGGAATTCTGTAGCTTTCTTTAAAGCATGATAATATTAATTGCGCAACTTCTCCCTAATTTGACCATCTTTGTATCTTCTATGGTTTCCAAGATCTCCATGTAAACCTAAATAAACCAACGAAAGCAAGAGAAAACATTTTACAAAATAACAGATCCAATACCAGAAGTAGTAAAAGAAGTTTGATGCTAAATATAAATTATTTAAAACAAAGGTCAAAAACCACAAAAAATTGCATGGTTTTCGATAGAAATTAAATTAGTTGTCATTTGCTACCTAAACGTTTAAAACGGGTGAATTACTTTAATTTTTCTACTTTTGCATTTATAGTAATGCTTCTTTTAAGATACTGAAAGCCCGAAATAAAATTGCGTACTCCACTCATTAGCGGAAATATTTCCTTTAGAGCCAAGTCTTTAAGCCTTACCTACTAAAATATGAGTTCTTTTTTCTATGCAACCTTAACATTTCGAAGGACCGCACAGTTAATCTTAACGGCTTTAAATGTGTTCGGGGATTGCTAGATGACAAACCCCGTTACGGAGGAACAAAATTCTAATCTCTATGAGATCTGGTATTTGCAAGGTTTTCAACATGTAAATAACGAATTAGAAAGCAAACATTAATATACAATTTAGGATTTTTGGATGAAACATTTTGGATCCTTTTGGTTCATTTCCAAAAAATCCCCTCTACCATTACCACCCAATCTTGTTTGGACAAAATAACTTGCTATGTTTTCAACATATATTATCCCTGTTCTATTTTTCTCTCGAAAATGTGAGTCAATTTTAATTAATTAAGGGATGAACTTATTTACTTATTTCCAACAGGAACCGTAATTGCATTTGTATATACCAACCGAAAACTTAAATTTAAAAATTTTAACTGAAACCTGGGACCTTTTTGAAAGAATGAAAAATCAAGAAATGCAGGTAGGTAGGTACTATTTGTTTATGCAACATATTAAGATTTTATTTCAACATATCCACGAAAAGTTGCATAATATCACTCAGAAAACATGATTTGCTTACTTTGACCATTGTGTAAATACTCTATTAAATTGTTCAATTGAGACCATCGTACCTTTCATTGAAACACGTCACGTTCATCACCACTCCAAATATCTTTTTAGGTAATTCGCCCTACTTTTGATATTGAACCATTTAGTTTAATTTAATTTCTATTTGGGCACTATAAATTGCTACGTTTATGACATAAACAAAAACCCTATACAAGTGATGTAGGTACCTACCTAAGAAGCCATTGTGAAGCATGTAACGCGTGCTTAATGGTCGGTTTAAAAACGTGAGAATTAAAACTGGCGAAAATATCAGCAATGGACATCGAAGACAGACCATGAATAATGTCTTTGTGCCACTATGCATAAAATACAAACCACTTTTGGGTGCTTTCTTTTTCTGTATACAAGGACAATATTAAGCGTTGGATAATTCGAATCCACTTACCGCGCATAATCAATATATTTACATACACAATAGCATTTTTATTCTCGTTTTTATTATTTTAATGGTGAAATGATCGATTGTTAGAGGTGACACTAAATGAGATATCAAGTTAGAAAATATGGACACTTGTATGTATAGTATATTCTGTACCTACATCAGAAATGCGTACTCGGAAAATTACCGATTACAACAAAGGTTGTGTGATTGTTAATTACATCTAGAATCAATGAAGATTCAAATGAGGCAATTATGTGCATAGATTTTTATTGTGAAAACTGTATTAGTCATTAACAGTGTAATTAACACGTATGGCATTCACAAGCATTACCTTCTGTGCGACAAGAACTTTCCCGTCGCATGTCCCGAGCCGTCACAACCTGGAATAGGGCATCTGAGAGCGTGAAAAGCGCATATTTAAAGTTAGTAACGTAGGTAGAATAAAACTAAGAAATGATTCCTAATTGAACCTTAGTAATGCCTACCTTAGCGGTTCAGAGTCTTGTCCGTCTCGGGGTTTACTCTTGGGCTTGTTGGCTCTTGGGCAACCGGATAGGCTTCTATGCGACGAGTAGTTACCCGTGACGTGACCTGAACCATCGCAGCCAGGCGTGGGGCATTTTAATTCTTGAGAGTGCGCTTGAATTTGTGACCGATCCGCCCTTGGGCACCCCGAGAGGCTGTAAACGCACAAAAGTCTCATTAGATACAAGTTGATTGGGTACCAGAAAGAATGTGACTCAGAGACAATCAATTTAAGTACTTAGGGATGGTCATGGTCGCTAGACTAAGTTGATCAAACGCGTAACCACAACCATAAGATTTGATGATTCCATAGTGCACATGGGTATTATATGGTATCAGTATAGCGTACAACATTATCACTGTGATAGTGATTAACCGTGATTGCTGGACACATGCCCATACCGTAACAGCTTACCGTGCTACGCTGAATCAACTCCTTTGCGTGATCAGGGTGGCGTGTTCCGTTGAAGTTAAGATATACCGCGCTGCGATCAAATACCGATAATCAGAGTCTAATTTGCTCTAGTTTTGAAAATTATGTAATGAACTATTGACTGAAGTAGGTAAATCTAGTCTCATTTCAGGTCTAGATCGATAATGTAATTCAGTTAGGCCTCCAATATCCAATAGCTTCAGCTATTAGATAAGAGTAAAAGAGAAAAATTCATCTGATAAGTAATCTCGAACGATTAGGGAGTTGTGCGCGGCTGCACCATCCTGTTGAAAACGAACAGTTTCCAACGTTTGTTTCTTTTTTTTTGTGCCGTACATCGTTGAATTCGTAACCAAATAGATTGCTACTCAATACAGTATGTACTTTTTTTTACGGGCCCTATACAAAAATAAAGTTGATGACAATTTCTCCGAAACAAAACGTTGTTGAGAATGAGAATGAGAAAGTGTTTTTTTTTGTGTTTTTTGATATATGACCAAATAACATCAGGAAAAAATAAAAACGAAATCGGCAAATTTCGGTTTTTCTGGAATAGGTATATTCCAATATATAATCGGAATTTTCTGGTTTTCTTTACGGCGTGATAATTACTCTTTAATTGCGCAACTAATTTGACCATCTGAGTATCTTCTATTTTTCCGAGATCTCCATGATGATAGACATCCTTATTTTGGACACAGTGTATATCTGTCAATTGACACTACAAAATCATTAAGTGTCAATTAACAGACACTATGTCAGTTGCATGTGTATTTTAACGTACAATAAGTTTGAAGTGGCGAACAGTGTCAATAGAAAATTAGTATCGGAATGACAGATACCAAGTGACAAATGATAGACAGTATGAGTGAATTAACAGATGATAAATGTGAATTAACAAATGCTAAGAGAAATTGGTATACAGGGTGATTTACTTGCCATACATACATGGTATGCGATCTCCAATTTCCATTTTCCCATTCGAAGGATATAAAAAATGTTAAAGAGAAAACTTTTATCCTACATTACTTTTGCACATGGGTGTCGACAATTTTTTTAAAAGTTTTATGCAGAAATTTTTACATCAATTTGTTGTAAAGTAGGTAGTACATAGAGAATTCACCTACGTAGCAAATTTTATTTTATTTATTTATTTATTTTATTTTTGCCTTTATTTTTGAGTGGGCGGGGTTTCATCCAAGGCCGTTCCACCAACCCGACCCGCTATATACATTTACATAATATACATGCCGGAACCCGGATTCGAACCAGGGACCCTTAGTACGCCATTCCAGCTTCAATTGAACTGCGCCATACGGGCGGGCAACTTCATGAAACTGACCACCCCAAAATACGCTATTTTCATGTTGAAAAAAAGACGCAGTTACCAAATTTCATTAGGATTAGCTATTTTCGCATTACCGTACGGAATCCAAACCTTGCAACAACTAAACACCATACCGAGGTATGTGCACTTGATTTTAGTTCTGTGGATCTGTGCCACCATTGAAGCCGAGTTGTTAGGTTGACGGATAGGGTTACGTTCTAGATCAAGTACATGAATAGGTTAAATGGTAGATCATCATACCTTCCCACTGAATAGATTAATAGTAACTGCAGGATAAAGTGACAGTACTGTGCACTCTCGGGATTAAAACAGATACGCACTTAGTCCCTCGTTATACGGTGTGTCCCAAAAAGTTTTATACAAATGAAGAAGAAGGTTTTTTTGGTTTAACCCACCCAACCACTGCATATATTCGAGTTTCAAAACCTTGAACCTGACGAAAGAGGGAAAAGATCTCGGGATTTGGCCGATAAAACCACAAACCTTAAAAAGTTCGACAAGATATCGATGAATGTGGCTTCCACGAGTTAATACATCCACCCTATAGTCCGAATATAGCACCCTGCCACTACCATCTTTCGTTGAAATTGAAAAAAACACGAGGTCATAGATTTGCTTCTGATGAGGACCTCAAAGTCGCTATTAGTGAGTATTTTGAAGAGTTATCAAAAGCATTTTGTTTCGAAGATATTTGTTTATTGCCAAACCGGTGGAATAAGCGTGTAAAGGTGGAAGGTACATAATTTCGGAAAATAAATTTTGTTTTGCCTTAAACTTCTTTTCTTTCATATTTGGCAGATTATATCAAAATTCCCCTCGTATACAACTTCCAACTATGACGAGTCTCTAAAACTAAACCGGAAATTGCAATATACAGACTTCATCACTTACTCTAAGAAGCCTAGCATTGAAATTGTCAAAGTATGTCATGCGTTTAATAACAGGCAAGAGGTAATTGTATTATTTAACCTTATATGCGCAAGCAATTTATTAATGACCAATTCGAATAGATACTATGGTAGTCTCTTCTTCGTATACTTAAGATTTGTTTTATTTAATAAATGTACTTACCATTGATCCATTCGTATGGTAGAATAACACAATAACGACGTAAACAAACTCTACTCGACGACTGCCATGTTAAAAGTAATACAAGCACGTTTATTTATTTATTATAGGTACCTGTCAGCATAACTTCATGATGTAATAAGGCATACAGTTATTAACTTGACGATAAGGTGATAACGTTTTATCTACCGTAATTGTCGTGTTCGTATCATACAGGAAACAAATGCCATTTTATGACGTTTTTAGTAAAATATCTGCAAAATAGGTACCCATGATTTGAGCAGTACTGTTATCGCCCTAGTAATCGAAGAAAAGATGCACAACGCCATGTGACATTTTCTAGTTTTTCTATTCCTTTGCCAATATGCTTTTGTTAGAGCAAATAGACAATCAAAAATTTTTCGGAATCAATTTATATTTCTCGCGAGTCAAGCATTAGAGTGTGTTGCGTTCCAAAACTGAGATCATCAAATCCCCTGAGCCGATTTGGACGAAATTTGGGGTGCATATAGGGTGGTATGGGGAATCGAAAACGCCTTATTTTGGTTTTGATCCGCAACCTTCATGGTTGTTGAGGGTGTCAATAGTGTAAAAGAAGAGCTATAACGGCTTGAAAAAAATTTTTTTCGCATTCACTGGTCGAAATGGCTTAAAAAACTCTATAAAAAGGTCATTACAATTTTTTTGCGAGTTCCTTTGTTTTTGAGAAGTTTTGAATTGAAAAGTTAAACTATTTATTTTATTTTCCTAAATTTGCATTTTTCTCTAAAAGTAAAGAGTGAAGAAAAATATTAATTACAAAAAAGATGTGTCTTGATGAGATCTACAAAAAAGGCTTCTACACTTTTTGCGTCGGGTTCAAAATAAAGGCGCTAGAGGGCATTTTATAAATGTTATACTATGACCAAAGATAATTGCAATGACTATTTTAAAAGTAGTCGGAAAGTAAAGTCAGGAGGTTTACCTGACAATTAGTTTTCATGGTCAAAGTTTATTTCATTGTCGAGCAATTTGCATTGTGACGTCATTTTCGTGGCTATGCACAAAGTATCCGAAGCGAACCATAATAATGAATTTTTGCCCTAGGTATATACAGTGTGTTCGAGATAAGCGGTCTCTTTTATTTGGCGGTATACGAAAAATTTGTTAAATATAATGTGAGGCAATACGGTCTATCCGGTCGCATATTGAAACTTCCGATATCATTTCCGATTTAACCGTAATACAATGCAACTTTTGTTTTTCAAATGCAATGCCTATATGTTAAGATATTTGAAAAAATCAATCAATGCGCTGTACGAACACATAAGATATGCATATGGTTGATATACAACAAAATGAAGAAATTCTTGATTTAGGAAAAAGTGGCGTCCATTTTCGGTTAAATCGGAAGTGTTACAGGCAGTTTCAATATAAATATAATTAAAACGTATTTAAAATATTCCATTTATCAATTATTTTATTACACAAATAGGTAAGTAATATTAAATAAATATACAGGCTGTTACAAAAAAGTATGTAAAACAAGTTGTAAATCAGCATATGCATGATTAAAGCGCATTTTTGGTAATGCAGGTCAGTATTTTATTAGCGAAGTTTAAAATTATCGATCTCACGAGTAATTTTGGCTGCGTTAAATAATTAATTTTATTTAATTTCAATTGACGGTACGTCTTCATTTTGTAAAACAAATCACAAAGTAAATAATAAGTTTTTATACTGGTAGCGCTATCTAACGGTAAAATTATAGCACCTCCGAAACCCATATCGAAATTATTTTCTTCAATTATCGATCTCACAAGTAATCTAACTCAAAATAGACTAGTGCCTGCACATCTACACTATAGCAGAAAGCTTTTAGTGAAAATTTGAAGTCTCTAGCTATTGTAGTTGTGGAGATCTAACGGACAGCCGGCCTGCCAGCAATAACGAATATAATAGCGTATTTTTTTCAAAAATGCGCTAAAAATTGGGTGGTGGAGAGGATCAAAACAAGCACTTTTTCCAAATAAACCGAGGGTCCAAAATTCAAAATTCCTACCGCTAAAGGGCGACTTAAATCATTAAATGTTTATTATTTGCGACATTTTCAATTAACTACATGTGAAATTAGATGATTCACTAGTAGGCGTGGGGCACTTTCTGACCTGAAGGACCCAATTTTATGTTTGAACAGTGATTTTAAAAAAAACGACAATTTTGTTCCTTAATCCATCACGTATGTGCACAACACATATCGTAGAAATCTCTCAATAATTGTTGCCCGGCCAAGAATTGCGGTGGAATTTTTTCGAATTGTTAAAAACTAATTTCAAATTCTTGATTTTCATGTTCAAAAACCCCAAGGTACCAAATTTCGTCGAAATCAGAATTTTTTCGTCGGGCGCCCTTTTGTTGTAGCCAAAAGCATATTCAAAGGCGTGCCACCGGCCTTTGAATGGTTGCTGAGAAAAAAATTAAAGAAGAAATGTAAATTTCACCACTTTCTTGAGAGTGAGGGTTTCGATCCCTTTTAATACACAATTTTTGTTTACATACTTATATGTAACACCCTGTAGACTCGATAAATGAAAAATATTATTAAATACGATAAGGATAAATAAAGAACAATGCGAAACTACACCTGTATATAGATTTGTCCTTTTCCAGTGAATTACCTAACTACGATCAAACTAAAATGCGCAAATCTTCGCCAGAATGATGGTGTCCTCAATTCACACGCAAATGATGATTAAGTATTAAAAATGTTACATTTAAAAAATATTAAAAAATACACCGGTTTTTGTACCTACAGTGTGTTCACTTTCTAAAACAAACTTCATGCTCAAATTATGGGCCACATTTCCAATTTTCCAGGGCCATTTTAACTAATTTCGATAACCTATTCTTTAAATAAAAAGATGCGCAAAACACATTGAGATGCACTTAGCTATACATTTCGAGGATGATTTTTAAAACGTGAATCCTGGTGAATCCAATTACAAAAGTACGTACAAATGTTACTGAAGTTGTAATCTAGAGATCCACTGTTCCAAAGTATCGAAAAGATCGAGTTCGGCAAATTTATCCCATTTCCCAATAAATTCGCCTCAGGAATATTCACCCCCGGAAAAATCATCACCGGAAGATTCGCATTCGAAATATTCACCTCGCGAATTATTTTTCTTCTAGAAAAAACTCATCTCCGAAATCTTCGCCACCTCAGGAGTATTTGCTCTAGGAAGATTTGTCATCGGAAAATTTGGTGGCAGTAACTTCACTTCCAAGGATAATTTGCTCCAAGGAACTTCCTCATAACGTCTTACACTTTCGAAAAGTAGCGTCACTACCATCAATACCACACCGGCTGTAGGAAAAACTACTGCAACATTACTCCGGGCCAAAAATCAAATTTTACTAACGCATTTTTTAAGAATTAGAAAAATGTGTAGACAGTCTTCAAAATTGTTTGCTATAAAACCTCCTCCTCTTGACTTTTTCTGAGATTCTGTTTTACAAAGCATCACCAAATTCTATGTGCAATTACTAGTTTATGTCAAATAGCGTCAATAAGCTTCTACCTTACTTTGCGTTGAAATATTCCGACGACGAATACTTCTGAGGATGAATCTTTAGACGAGTATTCCCAGGATGAAATTTCAGGGGGTTTAATTTTCGGACGCAAATTTTCCGGAGGCGATTCTTCGCAAGGCAAATTTTAGAGAGCGAATTTTCCTGGAAAAAATTTCCGGGGCGAATCTTTGGAGAACGAGTCTTCAGGAAGTAAATCAAATTTAATTTGGGGCTGGTTCTCTTGGGGGCGAAAACTTTCATTCCGTTCCGTTTAAAGGCTTCTTGGCCTATATATACAACAACAAGCATTTTTTCCGAATAAATCACAGGTCCAAAATGAATGCTTAAGTAGATGTACCTCCAAGTATCAAATTTTGCGATTCTTAAATTTTTTTCTCAAGAACCATAACCGATAGAAGGACTTGACACTTTACTTATGTTTTTATCTACGGCCCTATTGATCAGAATATGGTGGGTTAGATAAGAAAAATGAGTAACTACTTAGGCCCGACCAGACTGCCAGTAGCCTTGACCAACTAAAAGCCACACTATGCAAGAGAATGATGGTATGCTGAGTCAAAAAATCATCCGTAAGTGTCTAAAGTAAACCCTATACACGGGCACTGATTAGGCACAGTAATGCGCCCAAATTGCCACCTTTAGTCAGTCTATATCTAACAAGAAAACCCTTATCATTATGGTATTACGCGATTGCTCTCGCAAATATAGCTAGCTAGCACATATTCACTTCACTGGAAGGTGTGGTTTCGTAACCCCAGTGGAGGATTAATAATCAATGGTAAAATCTTGAAAGAGTAAGCAGACTTACCCACTATCTTTACTCGGCCCTTTGTCGTGTTGAGACATGCTATGCTGCGGAGGAGGCATCGAGTAACACGGACTCGGCGAATATCCTCCTGGCGGTGCTGGATACCCGGTAGTCGGCGGTCCAGGATATGCACCTGCGCAACTGTATCCGCCACCTGGGTACGTGGAGTACGGATTCGAAGGATAATCAGCGGGCACCGGCGTCATACCGTAACCGGGATGCGGACTAACCGGACCATATCCTTGTACAAATCCAAAATCTAAATGTTAGTATAAATAATTCGCACGATATTCATTACAATGCTACCTGATGCGTCTCGATAGGCCTCCATATAGTGCGAGCCGCCGCTGTCCGGTGTGGATTCTCTGCTATATCCCGATCCGGGCGCCAGCACGGGTCCGGCAAAGGTGGCCACGGGCCGCACGCCGCTAAAATTAACCGGTTCGTTAGCGGTGGAAAAATCGACCGGTTCCGTTTGTTCGTCTCGCGGTCCAATAAAACCAGCGGGTACTGGAACTGCATCAGTGTGCCCGTTTTGATATTGTGGACTGGTACCGCTACTGAAAAAAATGTCTCTAGAGGATGTTTAAATATTGAAGAATATCAGCACCCGGAGGCCTTACTGGACATAAACACGATACTTTGGCTGCAAACGGAAAGTCGATATATATTTTAGGGAAACATCAGAAATTTTATTGGCGCCACTTTTACAACGCACTATATAATGGCAAGAAACAGAAACAAATTTGTAACCTCCAGATACCGTATTCTATACTGCAGAGAGTGAAAGACGCTAGACTACCTTATTACTATCATCTAAGCTTTGCCATTATTTCAAATGAGATTTTTAACGCGCTGACGAGAGATCTCGAGATGAGACACATTTTTACTTCTGATGTATCCGATGTATACATTAATTCATAAACAAGTTTCTTTACATACAACCAACTGCATAATGAATGAACGTAGACCAACCTGTGGGATAAACGACTGACGCTCAGGTCCAAGGTTTGACCCTGTGGGCTGGGGACTTGGGGACTGGCCGAAAGATGCGGACTGGCCGCGGCTTGCGGACTCGCGCCCACCCGTTGTCCACCGTAGTGAGGGGAACTATACGCCACCTGAAAATAATAACTCCATACAGTTAATTACGAAAGCCGTTAATTATGTAACGTATGCGGTCGGTGCGGTTTACGTTTACGGTTTTAAGTAACTCGCAAGCTAATTACGGATTTATCACAGATTACGAACCTGCGGACTTGTCGTTGTCACGCTAGAAGTGGAAAGGTCTATAACTGTGCCACCCGGGGAAGTATGAGGGCCTCCCGGTTTGAGTTGCGTCTGAGTGGTCGTCACGCATTTTACCGAGAGATTGATCGCGGAAAACCCCATCGGAATGGGACCTGAGGACGCGTCGTATTGATACATTGGCCTACAATTATGGAGATTAAGGAAGTCTAGCACGGTCGTCTTGAAAACCCACCTTGGATATAAAGGTCCTGTAGGTTGCTGGTCTGCTTCGGTTTTCATCATACCGGCGGCAGTGGCGTTAGCGACCGCCATTTGATGTTGTGCCACAGCGGCCGCTTCCTGTTGATATCTTTGTTCGTGTTGCTCATCGAGAGATGTATATCCATACATACTTTGAGGGGGCCTTTGGGGCATCACAGTTTGTGGTATCGATCCGCATTGATTCGTTGAGTCGTATCGCTCAAACGCGGTGGCCGTTCCTGGATCATAAGGTCTGGTAATTGAAGTATCGTAAGGTCTAGGTCCCATTTCGCTTGGATAGGTAACAGTGGGCCTCGCTATAGGTCCGGCCATAGGTTCCGCCATATCTCCATACGGTCGCATGGGATGATCCGTCCTGTACATTTCTTCGGATGACATGGGTGATTGATGGTATGGTAATCTGTGAGACATCGGATGCTGTCGAGTATCGTCTATACTATAACTTGATTGGTGTGGATTAGGATGAGGCAGGTTTGGTTGCTGTGAATGTGGCTGTAGCTGATGATGAGGTCCTCTCGAACTCATGGCGTCCATGCTTGATATTGAGGAGGAATTTGAATCTTGACTCATGTATGGGTCATATGCTGGTCGCATACTTGATTGAGGTGAACGACAAGAGTTTGACGAAGTTTCTGTTTTTGGCACAAGTAAATCGCTCCGTCCAGTTACGCTGCAGCAACTGCTTGTCGTGACTTCCGTTTTGGGAACTTTCATACTATCCGATTTCATCTCTTGAAATTTAGAGTAATAGGTGCTATAGTTAGATTTTCCATCAGGTTCCGGATTAGGATTTGGGTTTGCGCCATATGGAACTAAATAACTAGGTTTAATATCGACTGAAGTTGTCATTGCTCCTTGTTTACCATCAAATCCTGAGCTGTACTCGCTTTGGCAGGAACTTACTGAAAGTTAAGATTTTTGTCAGTGTTGCAAACGGCGGTTGTTATTCGCAATGGGTAGAAAAGGAAGGGGAGGCCATGCCGAAACGAACTTACCGAAGGGAGTGTGGGGAGATTTAATACGCTGTTGAAGACTTGACTGATACTTTTGTTCCCGAGCCGCTTGTTTATTAGCGGCAGCAATGGGACAACCGGAAAGACTTCTGTGCGTGTTTCGGTTGGAACTAACGTGCCCGCGCCCGTTACATCCCGGAGTAGGACACTTGAGAATAGTCTCATGCATCGCCAGGACTAAATCATGTCAACAGAATCAGATTGAGTATAATAATCGCAGTTACGTTTGTGTGTGTGTCGATAAGTTAGCGTTAATAAAATTTAAAAAAAAAACGAGCGGGTAGAGAGAAAAATAAAAGCAAACGCGACATAATTAGTAATCAATCACACACAATGATTTAATAACAGAAATTATTATACTCAACACGTTTTATGATCTGAATCTGATGCATGATTAAGGTAAGGGTGGATTGCAATGGGAAGCTACAAACTACGCAACAACAACTGTAAAAAAAATGCTCTCTACCCCGCAAAATAAGCAATAAAGCGGTTCGCAAATTAAATATAAACACAATGCAAAGCCGATCGATCAAGTTGAATCCACTGAAACGTTTATATATTTTTGAACACCAACACGTTTCAATGGTTCCAATTTTCAAAATGGGATCACAAACATTAAACTTACTTTCCGGAGTAACTTTGTCTTTACGCGGACAGCCAGACAGACTACAGGACAAAACGTTAAATGTTTATACCAAAAGTTAGACGTTAAAAATTTACCTTCTGTGATGGGAATATAGTCCAGTCACGTGGCCTTGCCCGTTACATCCTGGTGTGGGGCACTTGCTTCCCTCTAGAAGAAAAATTTTGCAATTAATCCTTTCAATTTTGGTAATTCAAATAAATTTTACTCCACGCGTTAATAAGATAACAAGCGGTATGATTAACCAATTTGTGCTTCTCGTAACAAACGTTTTTTTCCTAACTAACTATGCGTTGTATTTATTTACAAGTAAAATGAGAAAAATAAATGCAAACAATGGAGTCACATATTCAAATCAGCGGGCGTCCCAAATCGTGAGAAATGTGTATATTAAGGTTGGCTCAAATTACCCTTGACTGTCCTGCTGATTCTCCAATATTCCTCTTTTTTACCAGTCCATAAGATCATAGTGGCACCTTGCACTGCTTATGAATTTGGCCATATCGATGTGAAATTTAAAATTTAGTGCGAAATGTTTACGCGTCATTGAGGTAAAGGTGCTCTACACAACGCCCTGCATAGGTAGAAAGCTTCCGATCCAAATGAGAAACCTTGCAAAACTGTAATTGAAGAAGAGAAAGCCCAATTTTTGGTAAAAGAAGAATAGTCAATAGATACTGTGCTGAATATTTAGGTCAGGGAAATGGTGGAGCTTGTACATCAGGGGATTCACTGCTGAATATAAGAGACGCCATCATTCTGTCCTAATCTCACTATAGAAAAATCAAGTCACTTTTAACTTTAACTAAACAAAGAACAGAAAATAGCCTGCTTCTGGGTAGGTAGCCAACGTAATATGTAAAAACAGATGATGTAGGAGGAGTGGATCACATGGTATCACGTCATGTAAGTATGTAAAAAATAGGGTGGTAAAGGAGTCCAAAATTCTTTAAGTAAGTATACATTCATGTGTCGGAGCTTCTTCTTATGTGATGGTTTTGTCCGTCTGTTCCTGGTCTAAGTCGATAACGAATAGAGGCAGCGATGTCAAACCTTCACCAATAGATTTCTGCGAGTTCAAGGACCAGTGCTATTGAATATGAGCCGGATTAAAAGTCGTGTTTCCGAAAAAGAGCCGAGAGTAAAAAAAATCCCCTACTGAAAATCGTATGCGACTCTTCGAGTCTTGTTTCAAATCTGTCTTCGCTAAAGCCCTAACCAAAAATGTTTCATTGACATTCTGGGAGCCGTACGGTAGATAATTTGGAATCATTTGAAATATCAATTTGTTTGGTCTCCAAAGATCTTAAAATTTGCTGTGCCTAGCACAGATACCACCCAAAAGTTATTCAGCTCTTCCTTTTATGTGTAATAATATGTATACCAAATTTGGTTCCAATCTGTTCATTCGTTTAGGTGAGAGGACCGTCAAAAAAGTGGGGGGGGGGGGAAGTTTTACTCGAATGCAATACTTCCCTCACTAACATGCGAGTGGCGAGGGCCAACAGATGTCAAAAGCGATATTTATGAACACATTTCTATAGGAAACTATTTAAAACCGTAGCTAATTTAATATTACCATTGACTAATATCATTGAATAATAAATCTGAATTATTATTCAATGCTAATATAAAGATACAATAAGATACAAAAGGCAAAAACTGCCTATTTTAGATATTTTTACGTAGAAGCCAGTAGCGTAGTCAAAAAATATTTTGGACCACCTCCTCTGAGATTTGACCATCTTAATAGGTTTCTACACGTAGGGAACCGAAAACAAAAAAAGAATGTCGAATTATTGCAAGCGCATCCAAATTTTGTTATTTACTAGATAATCTTAAATATCGATACTTTTCATAAAAGTGAACCTAGTGCGTATGTGCAATACTAACTTTCTTATCTATAGCGCGATTTTTAGGAAATTTTGAGATTATCTCCAACTGATTGAATACATTTTCAAAAATTCAATCAAGATTAAAGAGCAGACGCACTTGCTAGGGTCGGGATTCGAATGCGAATAAGTCGAGAACGGAAGTGGGTAGTTACAAAAAGAAAAGTGGAGGTCAAACGCATCTATTAATAGAGTCAACACTTCCCATGCAAATATCTCGGAAGACCGTACTCACACAGGGAAAGTGATAATCTTCCTGAGCTGTATCAAACGGCAAAAGACATATGATACCGTTTTAAAGAACAGAGTGTCGGAAGTGGATACTCGCAAAGGGAAAAGTAACAAGTCTCACTGAGGTTCATCCAATGGTACCACATTTGATTTTATTGTATCGCCAGTGAAGGGTATTATGTTTACGATCTATTTTGGAGAACGTGTTGTTGAAATAGGGTAGGTACACACAAACTGAAGATAAAATGTGATGACTTCATCAACTGAAGATAAAGGTTTTCGCCCAGATGCGTCTGCCGTACTAGTGAAACATAATTTGGAACATCGTCATATTTACTTACAGCATCTGTATACGGTTACACTTGTTATGAGTTATATGCAAAATACGCCAAATACGTGCAAAATATATTTTTAAGGTTCGTCTGATAAATACGCTTTGGGGCGACGACTTTATTATTTGTTTGAAAAATGTCGATACTTTTCCTTACATATTAAGACGGTTGTCACTAAAAAGGAGGACCAATTGTAAAAGACTGGGTGATGCTAACGGAGTCAATCCAAACCGGAGGGTCAAATCATAAAATCCCCGAATGTGACGTTTCTGTACAACTTGACTACGCATAACACTGTACTATACCTATACAGTAATATTTATTAAGAATTAGACTAATAGGGAATTATGTGTATTGTTTTTCCCTATGTCTACTTTTAAAAGACAACGTCTCTTCTGAAGGCGCCTAAGTCTATGCATCCAAAATAACTTTTTAAAACAAATAAACATCTGGTTGTCATAGTTTGAATGTTACAGAAAATAAATCCTTGACGCTTCTTAAACTGTTACCGGTACTATACTTGCCAATTGACAACATCAACTTTTTCTTCAGTTGAATATATCGCACACGAACGAAAATAAAAATACGGAAACCGAACTCTGAACCAACAATATTTAAATTAATGAAATGACAGCCAGATCTTTGTTTTAAGAAGTTATTTTGGTTGCAAAAAATTAGGCGCCCTTCAGAAGAGATTTTCTCACATAAAAGTAAACATAGGGAAAAACTATACAGGGTCGCTGATAAGTTTGGAAACGGTCGATTATCGGGGAAAATATACAATTCGCAAAATATGTTTCATGCAAAAGTTTTGGGATTCTTCGATGTCTACTATGCGGTAATCATTTTAATTATACAGAGTTGCTCATAAAAGCGACGCCACACCAAAATTACATTTTGTAAATGGAACACCCTGTACTATTTTAATTCACCTCTCAATTTTCAGCAAAATTTGTAATAAGCATAATGTACCTAAATTCAATCGTTTCCGGATTATCGAGTTTTGAAAATTAACGCTATTGTTTTAAAATTTACTAGTAATTTATTATTTTGTTATTTTCAGAAAGGAATACCTTTTATTTTCAAAACTCGATAACTCGGAAACGATTGCATTTGGGTATATTATGCTCAAAATGGGGAGAAAAATTGAAATATCGAATAATATCACCACATCAATCTGCCACGCCTTTATGACCAACATTTAAAATACTACTGCCTAGTACATATTAAAGAACCTCAAATCTTTTGCATAAAACTTTTTTTGATACCTTGTCCTTGTATATTAGCTCCCAAGCGAAGAAAAAATGCACTGCTCACTAGATACCTTCCATGAAACAATTGTTAATGCATGGTCTCGAGGATTGCACCAAGGAAGACATTATTTAGAGGTCAATTGAGCAACAAGTTATGGCAAGTTATGGTTACCCAAAACAAAGTACACGCTGAAATGAATTGCGTGAATGGAAACGAAGCCAATTTAATCTGTTAGGTTCAGGTCATTGCTTCCTGGAGAATGTATTGCTGGAGAGAGACTCTGACGTAAGGTTTTGGTGCTGCTTTTGTGTACCTAAAATATTCAAAATTTGGACTCATTTCTAATTCGGTTGTAGCAATAGAACATATCGTATCTATAAAAACGAAGTAAATTTATAAATTTTCGTTAAATTTATATAAAAGGCTAATAAAAAAATAAAAAAAACCGAGTAGTGAACCGGGTAGTTAGGAAACGTATATACCTATCTGTTGGTGGAGTGAAAGCCTTGTATCGTTGCTAGAATTGACTATAATAATGGATATAAAATGTTGGTCAGGTGTAAAATTTTCTGTAGAATCCCGATATGTAAAATATACAAGGTGTGCCATTTTAATTTCGAAATTTGGGGTAACTTCCGGTCAAACCAGTAATGGTACTCATAAACACTCACCAATATTTGATATACCGCCAATTCTTTGAAAGATTGTGTGCAAGTGTCTGAGGTAAGGTTGTCTATCATGGAGATCCCGGAAACCATACAAGATACGAAAATAGTAAAATTAGGGAAAAGTTGCGCAATTATGAGATTTTCATACAACGTTATATTTCGCAAAAATCCTCCACTTTATCTTTTTAAATGTCCCATAAAAAAGTACCTTACATACTATTGAGTAGCATATTTTAGTACGAATACAACCATGTACGGTATACAAAAAAAAAACCTGGAAACCGTTATTCCTGAAAATGGAAAATTCATCCGATAGGTATTCTCGCACGATTAGGGCGTTGTACGCAGGTGCACCATTCTGTTGAAACCAACAGCTTCCGATTTGTTACGATGATATTTTATATTGGCAGCTCTCTCTGCCACCAACTTGACATTTGGCATTTACGTTTAGGATTACGCGTGAAATTCGCAAAGACAAACAAAAGTGAATAACATTTAAAAATAGCTGTACCTACTAAAAACGAATAAGCAGGTAAGTTGTTTTTAATTAGAAATATAACCTTTACAAATAATTTCATTTTCAGTCAGTGCTTACACCTGCTTTTCGGATGCACTGCACTCATTCATTTGTATACCTACAGTATACACCAGATTATTAATTATTTTTTTCCTTTAGTTCCTATTAAAGCATACCCATTCACGTACAAAAATGTTCACAAAGTAAGTATCTAGTATGCCGTGCATTTCTTTCAAAAACAACGAGCGCAATGAGCAAGTTTGCATTGATACATATGAATTAAAATTGAACGGGAAAGAATGATGTAAGAAGTATAACAATATACTATATATTTTTTACACATGAATAGAAATGCTGCGTAGAAGGATTCGCTACAATGAGGGCTCATTTTTAAATACAATTCCAAATCTTACAGCCTAGTAGGTAATATGGTAGGTACGGATTTCGTTGGGAACATCAATGACCAAACGCATTCTTTCTCGTTTGTTTTTTTTTTGTTCGAAATATGTCAAAATCGTTTGTTTTACAACACTCAAGCACAGCCGTCTATAATTACAAGCCGTGCTGAGAATTGTGGCAACACTGCATGGTAGGCCGATTTCTTAATTCAACTTGACAGATTTTGGGTGTATTTTATATGTGTTTGGGGTGTAATATTCCAATTTACCTGCTGGTACAGGAATTTGAAGTCTACGGGGCTCCCCTCTTTAAAAGCTTCGTACCTAGACCCACTGGAGTAGTGACTGGCTTAAAGTCTGCCATTCCGAATCACACCTGGTCGTTGATAAAACCTCGCTGATGCCCAGCGATTTACTGTCCTTTTACCGAAATTAAGTGCTCAAGCGTGGGCTTCACCTCGACCTTTTTCGACAGAAGTTCACCAATTTCGGAGATCTCGATGGAAAACACATTATGATGCAGTTATCAATTTACAGCGTTCCGAATTTTAAAGTCAAATAAAAATGTTATTATTCATTTTTGTAAATAAATAATATATATGCACAATTGTAAGCTGCCTAAGTATCTTTCTTCTATATTAAAACCGCCAAGGCGAAACACAGGAGAGAGGAAAATGCCATTTTTCAAGAGCAACAAGACGCCATTAAAGCTTATATCGGCCCACCGATTGACTTTCGAACAACGTTGCCAAACTTCTTAGCATGGCTTGTAATTATAGACGGCTGTGACTCAAGTCGCTTTTCTCGTAAGAGTTTTAACTTATATTTATTGTTCGAATTCATAATATCGAAATCGTCATTTGAACCTATCGTTATTTTGTGTATCACAATTCACTTGCTTTATGGATGCACCTATACTTACACCAATAAATTTAATTTATGAAGAGATTGATATAGTATTGTAACGTGATTTATAAAATTCGGGTTGGATTTATAACAATATTTATTAAACAAAACTAAAACACTATCAAATCCGTACAATTTATATCGATTATTTATATCACTCACACTTCGCAATTTATTTCAGATTTTCGCGCTCGATGTTTCATACGTACTCGTTCCGTAGTAGACTGCCGCGATGTTCGGTCCGCAACCCTTTATACACGCAAGCAATGTAAGTCCAGTACATTCTCGAATACGCGTAGAAAATTCCAGAACGCCAAAGGCGACGTCATGTCTGCAGCATTTCCGTTACAGTATCAACCATCAAAAATCAACGGGGTGGTGGACCAATTTTCTGCCTACTGTGAAATACAACTGGATATTTAAGATAGGAAAGGAGATGCAAATTGAAAAAAAGAAAATATGAATGAGTTTTGAGTTTTAAAGTTGGAAGTGGCCGAAAATGGTTGTAAATGCTCAGCTCAACATAAAACTTCTGCGCTTACTCCCATAACTTACTCTCAAGTAAATGGAGTAATCGGTTCAGTTATGAATGTAGGGAGTTTGGGTGATAATTAGCATCTTTAGTTCTCCCTTTAATAACGTTTACGAGACTGACGGTATCAAGAGACGTCACGAGAGATGCGACGGGACGTCGGACCTGCCTTCTTGTCTCCCATCGCATATTCAATAAGTCATTTCTATTCAAATTTTAGGGACGGTAGGTGTACCACATAGCGAAGTACGCGTGAGGATTCCAATTTCTAATCTTGATTAAAAGGAGTAGACAAGGAGTAAATGACAAAAAAGGGGAAATTTAACGTTGATACATACAAGTATCATATCTAATAACATTCGTATCATATTACCGTACATGAAGGATGAACATTCAGGGTGGCGTAATACATCTTGATGGAAAAAGGAAAAAGGGAAAACTCCGCCTAGCGGGTCGATTAGCCTATCCAAGAGTCCGGGTGGAGACTCGCGAGAAAAATCTTTTTTGGAAAAAAGAAACCACAGCTGTGAATGGAGAGCGGTGCGGGTGCGCGGCTACGGTCACGGCACCTGCGGACTAGCGTCGTTTGCAAACACATACCACCCACCCGTTGTTTGCTATTTTTCAGCTTCCAATTACATTCTCAATGTTTTAGATGGAATTTTCTACCCCTATCGTTTATTTATTCACAATTCTTACGCATGAAGGTAACTTCCATATCAAGCGCAAGACGTTTTGAAGGCTCGCTCAGAAGATGCTACTTACAGAAGAGGGTGAGGTAAGAAGACCGTTCTGAGGCGAGTCACGTCGACGTCGCTGACATGCCGGATTATAACTTGTATCAAGTAAACCCATAATACTGCTCGTGTCGTTGGATGGCACCGAAGAGGCAGGTGACAGCTACGTGCTATGAGATTTCTGTCCTCAATTAGAACTTTACAGAGACTTAGTAGCGCATTACCTTCAAAATGTACACGCATTACCTCTAAACAAACGCTAAAGCTCACACTTAGGCTTTTAAATAAAAACACATCGACTTACCTCTTCCTAGGCTGGTAGGCGACAGGGCTCCAGTAATTCGTTCGAAACCCGCGGGTCCCATTTTACCGGACGAGTCGTTCGATGACGACGAGGTGCTGCTGGAAACGGCAGAAACACTTGGAACACCTTCACGGGCGGCTTCTTGTAGTGCACTCGCAGCTCGAGAACCAACGGGGGCCGGTTGAAGAATTGTATACTGCTTATTCATAGCTTCCGGAGAAGCAACCGAAGACTTCGTGTCCGAATTAGAACAAGAATTACTCGATTCTATTTGCGAGGCGCTCTCTTGCTTTAATTGCGTTAAATTAACGGTCGATTTTAATTTATCGTCGCTTAATGGCCCACTTGATGAAGCGATACTTGCAGAGTAACCGACAAATGTTGCCTCCTCCGGATAGGGACCTAGTGCGCTTAAACTAACAGATGGCTTCGGCGCTGTTTTATTAGAGTCGGTTTGCGGAGGCCGGAAAGCCGAAGTGGATGAAAAAGGCGATACGGTTGACGTGACAGGACGCTGAAATGGATGATAGACGGACTGCGTTTGAGTGGAGGATTCGTCTGAAGAGTATCTTGATCGTTTGACGTCCTCGGTTTCTTTTTTCTTACTCTTCGAGTCTAATTTATCATCATTAACATCATCCTTGTCAGCAGCTGCCTCAGACATATCAATTTCTAATTCATTCGAGGAATCGTCAACCAATTCGTTAAAATCGGGGGGCTGATATTGCGAGGGTGGCTCGTTCCCCTTGCTCTGTTTACCTTTCGATTTGGTTTGGGTTTGTAGAGAAATGCATTCACTTTCAATTTTGATTAGATTATCGATTACGGCTTCCTGTTTAATTTTTAAGGGTTTACTTAATTTGTTTATTTTCGAGGATTTATCGAGGTCTTCGTGGGGATCGCGTAATGTTATAACGTCCTTTAGGGAACACGTATTGTCGCTACTACTGTTGGAGGACGACGACGGCGATAGTTTCGGATTCGCCTTTTTCTCTTCGAACAAATTTTCAAAAGCCGGCGAATCCTCTTGTTGCTTATTATAAGATGACCCTCTAGGTCCGGGCCAACTACCCGATAAATTTTTAAGGGCAGCTTCGGTTTCTCTAATTAAAGTTTCACTGACGGCGTTTTCGTCCTGTGAAGGCACCGGTTGGCCTAATTTTTGAGACTTTTTCGCCGGACTACTCGCAGAAGATGAGGGCAGAACGCGTTTTTTCTGTGGCAGTATAACTTGTTTAGTACTAGAATCGGATTCGTCAAAAGATTTCTTCTTTCGCTTATCGTCTTTTAAGTCACTTACATCATGCGATTTTATAGTTTTAGCAACACTAGTCATAATTGAACTAGAAGACTCTAGGTTTCTTTTCTTCAATTGCGGAAATCCTACGGAACGACTTGATCTGAAAAGAGAGATATAAGTGCTAACACAATAGGTATTGCTTAAAATTTTTGATTATATCGAATTAAGGCCGATCGTTACAAATGGAAAAATGACGAGTATCTACTTCAACGCTTCGTGCGCTATAGAAATAAATGCACGTTACGCTAATGGGGGCAATCAAATGCATTAGTAGGAAAGCTTTATCATTAAGTATAGGTTGACTCTTTAATCCACGTATAGGATAGTGAGTGGAAATGGACTCGGGCCATTATAAACTATTAAGAAATCGTCATGTTTTCAATGTCGGGAAGCTTGGGGAATCACTCCAAATCGCCAATTAATGGCAAATTAGAGAGGAATCTAAATTTCGAGTTAAATAAGTCAGGTCTGAATTAGTGATTATAACATTGACCGCAAACTATCGAGGTGGCTTACACTATTACCATCACTCCTGGCAGCTTCGGTCGAAATCCCGTCTGCCGTTCCTGCAAGATACAGATAGCTAAAGTAAGGACTATCCGGCATCAGGATACTTGCGAGATAAACCACTTAATCCCTGCTTACTCTAAGCAGCTAAAGTTTAGAACATCACTTTTCTTTGGAGAAGAGATTTCGAATCACGAGGTCGAATGCCAAATCCGTTTGAATTAAATCATTTAACTGGGGGAGTTTTTTTCTTTCGCACCCTTCTCGCGTGTATTTCTTCCGATCGAGGGGGCGAGCGAATGTGGGCGCAATTCTCTCGCAAAATTTTAGTTTTACGCGAGCTTATATAGCAAGACTTACCTCAAAAAAATGCAGTGCAAAAATTTAGTACCGAAGACAACAGATTTAAAAAGAAATCACTAATTACTTATAGCGACAACAATAAAATTACTTTTAAAACTTAACAGAAGAAAATGAAACAGTACGTTTATTGCACTAAAACCACAGCGTTTACAATTCACAACCACTTAGAGTTTGTAGGAACGTCGGACTAGTAAATATCGTGCGACGAAAGCTCCCTCGAGTTGGGCGAAAGCTCACGCACGCGAGCTTTAGCAGCACTACCGTGCGTAGGCAACACGCACAGTGCTGCAACTGCTGCAGCAGGAATACAAGGAATAGCGGGATTACTATACGAAAGGACTAAAAGCTAATGCACGCGCGCGCACATTATAAGAATGCAACTCCAGTAGTAGTGCGGTGGACGCCACCCCTTGTATTAGGGACGGCTGAGACAAGGGTTGCTCGTGCTTTATGTTCTTTCCTTCTGCTGCCGTAGATTTAGTCTAATATTAAAGCTCAAAATGAATTAAAACGAACATTAAGGCTTAGGTATAGCTAACGAATATTGTGAAAATTTTAATTTTAAGGGATATACGTTTGCTGGATGTGTGTATTTATAGAAATTTAATTAAAATCAACCGCAACCCTCATAAATAAAATAAGACACGCTAAAAATGCACTGAAAACCAAACTTAAGCAAACCCAACTTTGTGAGAAACAAACCTCTCAGACCGAAATTAACTGGAAATAGTTGCGCAAGTTTTATAAGATCAAGGAAAAATGGAAATAGTTAAAATTAGAAACTATGTTCGCCTAAACTATGTATCAGATTAGAAAGTAATTTTAGAGCAAGTTTCATAGCAGAGAGCGTGTCTCGGAAGAAATACCTACGGTCATCTAAAAGCTTGGACTTTTTCCTAATCTTCTTTGCCTGATGGAATGGCACAAAGTTCTGATGATTGGGTTATGAACATATGACATCAGGCATTCATTTATACTTGGTATAGGTATAGTAAGCCCCTGCGTAAAAATAAACTTGAATTATGAAGTCCTAAATGTAAGACGTAAAATCGAATGTAACTTAGGAAAATGGTCGTAAATTCGCTAAAAAAGCAGGACATAAAAGAACTTTTGCTAATTCAAAAGTGCACAGTCTGGGAAGCGACCTACCCCACAAAGTTCTTAACTAGTTCACACAAGTTAGAAAGAGAAAGTACAAAGAACGTAAGTGTAATTTGTGTCGACAAAGTTTGGATCTAAGTTAGCGCCAGTTTGAAATTAAAGTTGAACTTTTTATAGTCTGGCATGAATTTTGAAAGATCGATATTGTTTACGTTTTCGCCATGTGCCGATGGACGTGTGGTCCTCGAGGGATGCACAGAAAAATCGCGAAAAATAACAGCCAAATAAAAGGTGGAATTAGACGTACGCAGCATCGAATAAATTGAGACGGAAAAATAAAAATTTATTGAGGTTGCAATTCGTGGACCTACTTTTTGAGTTTTCCCTTGTTTTTAGGGGTGAAACCCGCAACGAGCTCACGTCAGTCACTTGGTATTACGGCGCTTCACAAACACACGGTTTAATCTTTTTTAAAGAGGGCAGGGTTTAGTTTGCTAATTAAGAACCATTTAAAATGTCATTTTTCTGTTTGCCCTTTTCGGTCTAATTGTATTTAATTTTTTCAACTTTTTAACCCAAATTAAATACCCTTGTCTTGTATAACAATCCCGTTCTTTCGCAAATTGAAACGTTTCCATTTTCTCGTTTTTCTGTACAAGTCACCCGTAAAACCTGGATGGAAACATTCGTGCCGCAATACTTAATATTAAAACTTGATTTATTGCATCCTTCGCGTTAACCAGATTGGAAATCGCATTCTTCTAAATTTGGCGAAAAAATCAATTAGCATTTTTCATCCAATCGTCTATAACTATTTAATTAATGTGCTCTCAAGTTATTAGGAAAATTTTGCTCCGGCATTTTAACGCCGACTATATTTTTAATGAAAATTTAATCAGAATTCCGAGCTGTCAGTGCATGAAATGTGTGTAAAAGTGTTCAGTTTTCATTTCCTCCGACGAGGGTTGCTTAAGGGTGCATGTGAGCATAACAGCAGCCTGTCTGGACTCAGTTTGAATTTAAAACCCGACATCAGGAAGGGAGGAGATGCGTTATAATGGAATGACCATCGCAAGGGAGAAAGCCGTGACAAGGTTCCTCATGTAAAAAGAAAACACATTTTAATTCAATTAAATTCGTAAACCTAACTGAAAAATGACGGAAAAGTGTATCCTACCATGCCCGTTTTTCACGATACGATCTCTTCATCCTTATCACTACGCTGTGCGAGTTGACAGCGTGCTAATAACAAAATGTTGATAAGTTTAAAAAGTTCGCCTTTCATTTGGCTTATATCTAAAGCAAGGAAATATATTGTGTTACTTATATCAAAAATGAGGCGAGATTTGTTCGGACCCCATTCAAACATTTCTACTGAATTCGTAAACGATATATACCTAATGATAGTTCAGCCATAGTATGAAACTATGGGAAAACTAATGAATGGCATCAAAACGGAAGAAAGAAATATCATTTATAAAATTGCGAACACCTACACCAATTTTGAAAGAATAGAAAATGAGAAGCCCGTTATGTAAACCAATAAGTATAGCAATTTATATCATTAGACCTCCTACATATCGAACTATTGGTTGTGCAGGTGCAATCTATAAGCCGTTCAGAGGCACGATCAAAGCACTAACGATATGCATTAGTTCTGATGTTAGTGCTTTAAAAATTAGAAGGCGTACCATAGAGCACAAGGGAGTTCATTTGCTCGGAAAGAAGGCTGACACGAGTTATGGACATTCTAACGAAGCACTAACGATGCGGGTTAGTCCCGATGTTAATGCTTTCTGCAAAGTTACGAATTCGGCACTCCTAGACTGTCAATCTTGGATGTCTCTTTCTCTCTCTGGAGCATGTCAAGAGGGCATCATCTGCCAAAACTTCGGTTCTGTTTCCGAGGAAGTCCCTTCTTTGGCGGACAAATCTTTGAAGGTGATGTTTCGGTTTGACCCAGGCGAAAGGAGTACGTGTCACGGGATACTTGAATGCAACGGTGCCATACGCAAGCATCTTTTGCATAGACGACGGATATCAGTATATGCCGAGTGGAATGTCTGTCGTATACATCACTATAACCGGATCGTGTGGTGCTTTAAGTGCCAAAAATTCGGCCATCACTCTTCCGACTACTGTAGTGAACTTCAATGCGGTCATTGGGCAAGTAGTGCCCGAAGCTCCAACAGTAGCCCTCCTGCGAAAATTGTAGAGGCGGGGACATAAGCGTGATGGTATCAGGCATAAGGCATCAGCCTCGAGTTGCCTTTCTTATCTGAAGCGCGTTGACTCCAAGATCGCGAACACTAATTATGGACTGTGAGCAAACACTCAGATCTCGCAGGTTTTCCCATGTGAATCCACTTCCATTGCCACATTACAGTGTTGCCACCTCTTTTACATCTATCCCTACAGGTTCAACTAACATCGACGCGCGACTTCATTCCCCTTGGGGCGCAAAAGTTGTGAAGAGTGACCACCACTGGTAGATTCGATTTAACCGCCGATTTTCGAATCGATACTTCTTTACTTACGATCCTTGACTAAGATCTGGCCCATCTCAACACGTATTGCTCGAGTAAAATTCCTTTCTACCTTCCCCGTGGTGCTACGTGTCACGATCCTGAAGAGGTAGCCGAAATTGCAAGGATGCTGACAGAGTTGGTCGGTCATACAAGCCAAGTATGCCTTAAACTGAGGATCCTGACTGCTGGAGCCGGTGGTGTGAACGACTGGACAGGCTCAAAACGGTAGTAAGCACATTGAAGCACCACTTTCAAATAGCTTCATCGGAGCAAAGGCGTAGTGGCATGAGTCCTATAAGTTAGCCTGCAAACGATATAAACTGGCACTGATGAAAGCAAAGTTTGGATCATGGCAGTCGAGTCTAGCATGTCGGCTAACCCCTGGGGAGTAGTATACCGCATTTCCCCTCAAAAGTAAGCTCCCTTCGACCTTTGTTCCCATGTCCGCGACGGTGACAGATACACTGTTTCCAAATAGCAAACGATGGACGCGATTTTGAATATCCTCTTTCTTGACGACGATCTTACACAAGACGAACTCCTCCGAAATACGTTCCCGACAATTCAACTTGGAATCCAGACAATACTGGGTGGTCACTAGGCAAGATATCTTTGCACAAGCGCCAACAACAAAGCTCCAGGACTGGACGAAATTCACGAAAACGTACAAAGAACGCTGCTGGAGATCATTTCTGACATTCTCGTCGAATTATTCAATTCCTGTATAAGACGGCTACTTTCCTGTCAGTTGGAAAACTGGCAAACTTATAACTTCTAAAACCCGGTAAAAAGAATTTCACCAATCCCAAGTCGTACACACCGATAACTTTATTACCCGACATTGGAAAGGTATTCGAGAATATTCTTCTCCAAAGACCGTACGACGAAATCCCACCTCAACGTCTTTTTCATTCCAAGCAATATGGATTTATCTCCGGACGAAGGTCGACCGACTGTGTGCAAAGACTATAGCAAACAACGTTCGTTTAAGAAGCCAACACTGCACGAGGCCGAAAACGGTTGATCTTTTATATAAAAGCGTTAAAAAAGTATACCCTCGGCAACGTTAATCAGAAATGCAAAGGCGAGGACGGGGCTGAAGAAAAAAGTAAAGTTCTACATTAACTAATGACGAGTTAACGGGTTTAAAAAAAATTAGGAGCGCTGGATGTTTAAAAACTGTTGCCAACATTCGAAAATCTCGCAAATCTAAGGAATATAAATCTATTACACGAAAGAGGATGTGCAGTCCGATCACCACGTCTATTAAATTTTTCGAGGAGAAAAGTCAAACTTTTCATCTACGTTACTTTGCTTTTCACTATGTTCTTTGTAAGTCAGAAGTATTGGTTTGATGCAGCTGAGATATGAAGAGTTTATTTTCTTTGTGATACAATTTCAATCACTATGTGGTGTTACATATGGTAGGTGATACGCATCATTAACAGTAGAATCAACATAGCGGGATGTCAGCAATGCGGCGTTTTCCCCACGCAGTGCTAAAATCATCCCCTTCGTCCAAAAGGGCTTTATAAGGCGACGCGCATGTGGTAGAATTCATTTTACTGCAAGCTGTCCTACAGTAAGCAGTGAGATCAAGCCGAGCTGTCCTATAGTGAGGCATTAAAACGACGAAGCTGGGATGACGTATAGTGACGCATCAACTGCGCAAGCTCTTCCGTAGCGCGGCAAGTCGACATGATACGGGACGATAAACATGGTTGTATCTACCCCAAAGAGGGGGCAGAAGCGCCTTAAGAGCGCACTACGTAAGTTCCGTAGACGATCGCCAGTGCCACCATTATGCGCTTTCACCAACACCCCAGCAGGACCTGGTGCTACGTAAATCATGTGGTTGTAGATATTAGCCTGTACCGAGCATATGTGACCCGCTTCCGCCTACACTGCAAGATATCCAATCATGTAGATATATTCCTGTACCAACCATAGCTAGCCCGATCTCGTTATCGCCACAGAGTAAGCATTTAAGCAACAACAGCAACTGAGGTACTTAATTATGGAGGTATCAACAGCATATGCCAATGTATGCCGTTGTCTAATTTAATAAGACGATTCTCGCCAGGAGGACTAGACGCCTCCTGGGAATAAACACAGTACAGTTCGCAAACTGTAAGAGTTTGATTATATAAACATTTCAAAAGTCCATGTTAAAAACTGTTTACTTCCTTTTTCCTTTTTATTGTTAAAATCGTTCAATGTTCACAATTAATTCTGTGTTAAATTAATTATTTGGGAGTTGTTATAAATCATTTCATAATTGTAAATATACGATACCTCTCGGGCACCGCTAAAAAAAGCATTATGCGGGTCACTCTGTAATTGAGCGAAAGCCTGTTGGGGACCCAGAGCAAGAGAGGGACAATAAATATAAATAAATAAATAAATAAATAAATAAATAAATAAATAAATAAATAAATAAATAAATAAATAAATAAATAAATAAATAAATAAATAAATAAATAAATGGAATAAATGAATAAACACTGAATAGCCATAACTCTGTTGTGGAACAATCAAGTCAAAGGGAGGGAGGGATATCACTCAACTGGCCAACTAACCGTATTTAAAGACGCAGTGTGAGGATTTTCTATTCGGATTTATTTTTATTTATACCCAATGTCGATTCAAGTCATATCAACAATTACAGTTTGAATTAATTAACGGACAAATACGTAACGGTGGTTGTACATTCAAAGATAAGTGCAGTAGCTTCAATTCCGGAAAACTGCTAATTGTGCGTTCAAAAAGGAATGTTGAGGTAGCTTGGTGCATCTATTTTTGTGTTATTCAGGTTATATTAATTGGGCCAGTGGTGTAACATATTCTTTGAAAAAAGGCATTTGAACACCCATCTTCTAATAATTTTGATTGCAGAACTGAAGATCGCCATAACACTGCATTTTTTGCCTCAAAACTGTTGTGTATAATATTTTGATTTGCAACTACACTGAATGGCACTTCTTTGAGGACACTAATGGAAATGGGAGAGAAAATACATGTACATAATCTGCTATATCTTGCGTTTGGATCGTTTTAATGGTTATATAGTGAAATAGTCCAAGAATGCTCCATTTCCAAATGTAAATCTGTGGTTTTAACGTAGCTACAGCCTCACAGAAAAGTGTGTATGTAATGACGTTTAGGTAAATACAGATCTCGCCGGGTTTGGTTTATCGTGCCGCGTTCCTCTTCAAATCTTAAGTGGAAATAAAGCTGTCGGCAGAGCGCCGCTTATAATGACAAATTTATTAATTAAAATATAGAGAAATCCCGGCATAAAGCGAAAGAAAATAAGGAAACAAACAGAGTATAAAGTTCGGTGGCTTAGGGAGATGTCGGTACCGCTTGTGACTTGGCATACCAGCCCTTGTGGCTCTGATTTATCGGACCAAAACGTGATATACCGTGTGATATATGAACCTTACTGTGCAAAGAAATCTAACATATACGATATCTCCAAACGATCTATGAACCCGCTCGTAAATATATCCAGATTTATGCTGCGCCTCACCTTTAGGATATATACGAAATCCGATTGACTTCAAAGTTTTCTAATTATACGGATGCCATTCAAAGAACGGTTGTGATTTGTGGATCTGGAGGAGAAGAGTCTCGATATTTTTCCGCTCCTCTACATCATATTTGCATTTAAGAAAAAAGGCGACGGTGGCGGGGTTTCTAACGTTTTTCCATTATTGTAACAATAAAAATCGCTTCTTCGCATTTATTAAGCGAGCGGGTCCCCACAAACTTTGCTTTAGAATCACGTATAAAAGGGTTGGTTTACAACTGCATTATGAAAACCACAATTTTGTTTTGCTTTTAGCAGTCAGGTATAATCGTAATAACGTTTATTCGCTATCTACCTCCCGGTTACGTGACATATTGTCGGCGTACAATAAAAACGGAGTGCCATTACAGGGAAATGCATAAATACGACGTCGCATTTGCCTGCGACGCGATAAAGAAAGACGAAGGAAAGGAAACCAGCAAAACTGATGACTAATTTGTCGAAAGTCTCATTGGGGGCGATAAGAAGTATGCGGAACCGTGCCATGTGCAGACTGTGTTCGAGTCGCCATGTTGTGCTGATTTATGGTGCCGAGGTGTGGGATGCTCACCTGCCACGTCTTTACCATTTTCAATTCTTCTGAAAACTTGAGCATTTCACATAGATAAGTAGCTAATTTAAATGAACCGATACCGCCTGAGTTTTTATCAATTAAAAAACCATCTTTTATTTCCAGTTATTGGTACTAAACAGAATTAATGAACTTTCATTTTTCATATGCGCCCCCATTATTCTGTAAAGCAGTCCTTAAATAATCACAACCGATAAATACTCGTAATTTCAATTTCATTGTGAAATTCAAACAAGGGTAGTTATTACCGTTCTTGCAAAATAAATATGATACAAATAAAACACGAAATTTCAATAAAAGGTCATTGTTTACTCACTTTTGTTCAGCATTAGCTCTTCTGATCCCGGGTCTGCGTTCGTCCACCTGCAATCAAAGAGACCACATCAAGGGCGGAATGATTTAAATACCCGACATTTTACAATCATCGGAATTGTGGAGATCGCAAAGTGACCGCAAGTTGCGTATAGTTAGATTATAATAATCTGGATAATTTAACGAAATATACAAAGCCGAACGCGCTCGCAGAGACCATTTTAACGAATTTGTTTTTTATTGAAGAGAACTGGAGCGGTTGTCTCAGGAGAAGTAAGGGATTTATGAAATGGTAATAAAATTTATATGACCGAGTAAGGTTACGATAAATAGCTCGAGCAAAACCAGCTTTATGTATGTCTTTTGGGACACGTGTTTATGATTCGAGAATAGCAGGTTGCGAATAAAATTCCGGCAAAATATAAATGAAAACAGCTTCCGTTAACTAAGTGCCGTAAGGAGCACCAATAAAATTATATATAGTTAGTTGCCTACAGAAAAAGTTGTGGGTAGGTACTTTACATCATAAAATATTGCGAAATCTCCAATATTCCTAGCCAGAACAAACTTGAATGTGACATATTAAGTATTGGAAACACATTTGCATAAAACGAATGTGATTAACAGAGTTCCAATAGACACGACACTGTAAAAAGGTAAAAAATGCATAACAATTCATTTTCCCAAGTACGTATAAGTTATATTGTTTGTTTGAAAGTCACTGTATTATTTGGTTGTGGTTTTAATTGCAAATTTCTCAATTCTTTGGCGATTTAACCTATTTTTGTGGGATTTCTCGGTGTGGTTTTGGACGAGTTTTGCCCAGTTTCTCTCGTTTGGAGGATATAATTGGACTTATTAATACGTAAGTGGCAGCCATTTGTTGAATTATTCATTATCTCTTAAGAACGTTTTAGAAATTCTCTTCGCCGTATATGGAGTTCGAACCGATTTAGTCTATTGTTACTGTATTCTCTAAGCAGCCGTCTTGTTAGTTAGAGGTACGTTGGTTTTGTGTCCAAAGGGGTATTACATGTTAATTCTTTTTAGTGTTCAAGTTTTAGCTTCTAATTTTAATTTCAAGTCTTATGCTACGTTTTAGTTTCAACAATTTCGTTAAGGGCAATATGTAATCAGCGCTTGTGACGTAGATAAGATTTAGGTTTAGGGGCAACTACAATTATCTGATTACACTGGAATTAAAATGAGTTTGTAATTAATTGGATAACTGCTATTTCAGGAGTATGTCAATGACAGTTCTTTTCATAATCTAATGTCTTTATTTGATATATGATCGATTTTGAACGCTGTACGATTCTGTTTTGTGCTTGGTTGACGTATTCGGTTTTGAATTTTGGATGTTGTAGGGACGCCCCTTTTACTCTTACGTCCCTGAGCTAGTTGGCCGTTTATGCGACGGGTTATGAGGAAAAGCAGTTCCAACTCAACTCACAAAGTAAGGGTTAGTTCATCTCTGAGCGCATATATACGACAGTGTGACGTCATTTTGGTTAACGACGTCTGATGGCGTAAAACTAGCGATCAAATGAAATCAGACGTCATTTTGGCAGCATTCAAAGGACTGACGGAAAAGGATGACTTACTCATTACTATACAGGGTCTGCCACTGTAAACAGTCTATGCCAATTTTGGTAACAGTTCTGTCAGACATGTTCTAACATTTTAGTTTAGAGGGAGTCATTTAAATTAAATATTATTATTTACGTATCTTCAACCCTACGAAGGGGGTGTTAAATGGGAAGGGGTGGTGAACGTTAGATGGTTCGAAAGGAATGTTCATTCTGTTTTTATTTTTGAAATCCGATCAGTAGGCCCAGAGAAAGCTCGATTTATGGTCCAAGGTGTGCTCTGGGCTTTCTCTGACGAAAAAAGTTGCGACCTTGGTGAAGGGATTTCCCGGCCCGTGTGGCGCAGTTGGTTTAAAGCTTGACTGCGGTACTAAGGGTCCCTGGTTCGAATCCCGTTTCGGGCATGGATATTTGCAAATGTATAGTGGGTTGGGTTGGTAGAGCAGCCAAGGCTGAAACCCCGCTCACTCAAACTAATAAAAATAAACACCATCAGGATGGCAAAAGGGCACTTTTGCTTACAGAATCTAGTTTAGTTTTATTCCAATCCACTATATTGTATCGAACATTCCAGAAATCTCGATAGATATCGAGATGCCACGACTGATTAGTCATCGTAATTATTTTTATGTTACAATAGCTTAAATTTTATCAAAATCGAATGGATACTTTTGAAGATGGGTCATCAAAAGGACAACGCTACTATTAAAAAATGACAAATTATTCATTTCAAGTTTTACAAAGAAAAGTAAGCAAACACGTACAAGTAAAACAAAAAAGGTTCTGTACGTTCATCAATAAAGTTGACAAAAGGTATTCATTCGCAAGAGGATAACCAGATAATACTATCACTATAATCGCGTAAACTTTTACGAAATGATGAGAGGTTAATAAAACAGGTAATACGCTAAAGTTATAAAGCGTGTGGGGACGATTGAAGACTAACAAGGAATAGAAAGTATTTACACCTTAATTAGGAATGTATTCGAAAACAAGTTAACGTTGCAATTGGGTTCTTGTCTTAACTTCCTTTCCAAATATTTATAAGCTTGTAAATTTATCCAAACGCATTCAAAAAAACAAAAACGTAACTTAAATGAGTGACCTTGTTTTGCAGTGCAAAATCGTGGCCTTGGTGAATGCGATTTCGACGGCGAAAAAATCGTTACTTTGGTGAAAGGAATTTAAAAAAAATTCTTGAATTCTTGTCCTAGCTTCGTGCGGATATAAGTGGCGGGCTCTCTGATTAGTGGAATATATGTGGCGAATTTAATGGAATTAACTAAGGTACGCGACTTAATTAAAATTTAGGCAAATTCCACTTTGTGGTGTAAGGTCGTGACTTGGGATTTGTCCGGAGTTTTCAAGTTTAATTTTATACAGTTCAGGCTATCCCAAAATACACAAACGAACGATACAAAAAAAATTGATAGAGACCGAAAGATTTTAAGATTAATTATAAATTGGATGATCATTCTTGTACCATTTCCTCAAAACTTCAAAAATGTTGAGGTTACAATTAAATCAAATAAAATAATAATAATAATAATAATGGCCTTTATTATCTTACATAATGGGCGGATTTATTTGAGGTTTTTAAATTATCTAGTTGCGACGACATGATATCATGCATTGTAAGCTTGTTACTAGGGGCCGATGCGATTTACACAGATAACAGAATGCATTTGACCACGGTAATTAAGGTAATATAAACAAAGGGTAAGACACTTCCACTGTATATAAGAATGATATACAAGTTTGTTTGGATGTCACAAATTTTCAGTAACAATATCGACAAAAGGCCGTTTTCTTATTATCGTAAATTTATGTTTCATCTTCGGAAACTAGAAATATACCACACACAAAGCCGTTAAAAAGATAATTATAATTTTCCTAAGGCCTAAGGTCCAGCCTCGGCAACGATGAAAATCTCAATATTAATTTGAGAAATTCAGCAGCCTTAATTGCCTATGTAATTCCAAAGAATTAATTAACACCTGATGTAATTCTGGGTATGATACGAAATAAACAAATTGACTGAATTAATTTGAGAACTTTTATTTGGGTCGTAATTGAGGCTCGGTTGAACAAAACCAACCATTTACAAATGACGAAATTTATTCGACATAAAATATCACCATAAACCTAAACTGAAAGAAAAAAGGCACTCAGGATCTGCTCCTGAGCACACCACGCAAAAACGATCGATTAAATAAATGAAGTTTAAATAAAATTACCTTAAGTTAAGTAGGTAGTCCTTATCATCCGGTCTTAAGTTCGCTTTTCAACGAACAGTTAAACACATACCACAAACACCACACTGAATGATCGTTGTAATTACAATCACTATAGTCTGGGCCCTTTGATGGTAGACAAAATTCCCTTTAACGGATATTGGGACTACCTCCTACCAAACTTTATAACTGATGGAACGGACTATCTTACAAAAAGCTTCAATACCTGCAAATCTGACTGTTTTACAACAAACAACGCCCACCAAGCAAAAATCCACGATTAACGTCTTCATCTTCTATTTAAAACAATTTTCCATTCTTACTTTGTCTCCTGCTTATCTTGAAACTAATTAGCTTACGCAGCTATAACGAATCGACTCGCAAACGGCCGGGGACAACTTTTACAATACCAATAAGCTTAATTTTGGAACGCGCAATTTCTTTACAATCAAATAAACAAAGCGATTGTTAAAATAAAATTAACAACGTTCAATAATTTAAATAATTTTGGGATGCGTAGCTTGTGCAAGTGTTATAACCGCACTAAAGGAAAACATGTAAGCAACAGTGTCACATTTCTGGATTAGGGTACTTACGGTACTATGTTACCAAGTCATAATGTGCTTAAAACTGAATTGGAATAAAAAAATGTGTCGACGCCCGACGGTGAAATATTAATTGCGCATTTTAACAATTTAATTGAAGTTTAGAAATGTCGCTAGTAATAAATCAGTTCTGCCAACTAATTTTAGTTACATTTTTACCAGCCTAGACCGCAAAATGGTAAGTTTCTGAACGCTTTTAGCTACGGAAAATAAAGCTTTGAAGCACAGAGACTGTCTATGATAATACTAGTACCAGTAATGGGAAAACGCAGTCTTCTTATATGCATTGTGACAGAAATTAATCTTTTTGGAGTATTTGTTCGCTCGGTCGGATAGTGTCGGACAAGCGAGGAAATGAACACATTCGAGAAGAAAACAAGCATCGAGAGGCGATGACGAATGTAGCGGCAAATAATGACCATCAATCAGATGGTTAATGGTACGTGCAGGTGAATCGACTATTTTATGTAGACGTTATTGCATAGACTTGGAAGGCGAAATTGGAACAAGAAGTGAATGTATGAGCATACGAACCGCGAATAACGTATAGATCACGTGCGTTCTTTTAGAAAATATTGGTCTATCGACTGTATGCAGCAGCTGTTATGCTCGTATTTCC